AGAAAAAAACATATTGCTAAGGACCCTTAGGCACCGCAAGAGAGAGAGAGAGAGAGAGAGAGACAGAGAGAGAGCTAAAGAGAAAAAAAAAATCTGCCAAGAAAAATTGAGAGGTTCTTTACTCCCATAGGAACCAGGGTTTAGAAGTGGGGCTTCTCAAAATCTGCAATTCCCCAACCTTTTCAATGGGCCAATGGTTAAGAGCTCGGAGAATTTAGTTCCTCGCTGCTGTGCTGGAGAAGGAGATGATGGGAATTCAGCACAATGCCAGAACACTGAGAGTGAAAGCTGCCAAACACTGACTACCTCAAGGAAAGGGAACATATAGAGGGAAATTGAAGGAGGAGAGAGTGAAAGAGATGGGAAGAGAGAGAAAGGGGGTTTGGTTGAGAAAAAGCCTGATGCCCGACAAAGCTGGAAACCACCTCCATGGAAGACTGGATTCCTAAGCTCTGCTGAGGCTCTTTTCCACTCAAACCTTATTGTCCTCAGCACTCGTAAATTCCCAGATGGAGTCACATGACACTGTACACAGAGTACAGGAGGGGCAAGACTATTTGGCCTTAGAAAAAGTGACTTTGCTTGCATACATCACCCCAGCACAGGAAGTAATCTGGGAATCCACCCACCACCTATATCTGCATATCCTTGAGGGTCACGGGGCGCTGACGCTGATCCCAGATGAAACTGCGCAAGAGGCGGTGTCTACCCTGGACACCAGTCAATCACAGGGCTGACACATACAGACAGACAAGCACTCACACTCACATGTAGACCTGCATTATCCAGTTGGATACATTTAAAATGATTTTTCAAAATCCTTTTCAAGCCATGATATTGTGAATTTGAACCTGAATTCCCTTCCAAAGATTGTATATGTCAATGGTTCCCAACCTGGGGGTCAGGACTCTCTCAAGGGATCAGAAGATACATCTGAAGGGTCTAAACATTGTCAAAATTTACCAATTTAAAGAGAAATATTGATGACCCACAAACTGTCTATTTTCTATGACTTTTCACTAATCTTTTTCATCTTTTTTTAATACAGAAACACTGGAAAAGTGCAGATTGTACTGTTAGTTTTCTCAACAGCATAATCTTGAGCTTCTGTCCACACATTACAACATTTTAAAGAGTCACTTAATATCCCTTGATAATCTTGTTTTTGCTGACTAACCAGTGGTTTAACTCCTCACCTAGTTGCAGTGATATACAGGTGTACTGCAGGACCCGGTGACATCACTGTTGGGCGGAGTTACAGGTGCAACAGAGCACTTTTCTGACCACACCAGGCTTTAAACTTTCAACCAGAGAGGGCATCACAACCTTGCTTTTCAACTTGGTGCTAAGTTACTCTTTAAGCTACATGATTTTTAACAAAAAAGCATCTTGGGAGTTGTAGTTGTAGTTTTCATGTACACAAGCTTGTACCTTTAACGTTTTCTCAAAGAACCAAAAGCAGTTTAGTACTGATGATTCAGCCGACTTTCATGACCATACAAGACGTGGAAGTAGCTGCAACTGTCAGTCACCTCACATTGTCTGAATGGGACTTCTAACTCCAGAGCCACGGGGGCCTGAAACACCTCTTGCCACTTTAAACTCTATAGAATATGATTTAGCAAAGAAATCTTTCAAACTAATATCCACCAAAAAAGGCAGGAATTGAAGCAACCCCTCCCCCCCACACACCCACACCCCCTTATTCCTCTATTGGTACAATGCTTCTAAATGCATGACATGAACAGAGTCATATGAGCGAGTCATGAGCGAGCCCAACAGGATCACAGTCTGTACTCCAGTCATGTACACTGAGTGGACAACAACCGATATAATACAATGACATCACAATACACACACACACACAGTATTAACAGAGTAGTACGAGATACGGACGCCTGTTCACACATGCATGAAGTGCCCACATGCATCATTCACACAAACACTCAGGAAAACACCCACTTTCACAAACACTTCAGCTGTACACACGCATACACTCACTCCTCTTTCTATCACGCACACACAAACTTATACACACCCACAACCAAACATGCACACAGCAAATAAGCATGAATAAATAAGAGATGGAGTTGTGCTTCACAGCCTAATCTCTGAGGAAAAAACAGCTTGCCGCATCGGCAAGGATCAGCCTGGGCGAGTGAGTGGGACACTGCTGGCTTCCAGGAAACCAATTTGTTTGTTTATTGTCTTGGTGTTTTGTCAGTGGTTACAGTTCATTGCAGCCAGCCCATCTTGGGCATGCTCCTTTAAATGGCATCTATAAAACATGGGATGTGCTCTCCCCCATATCCTCCTCCTCCTCCCACTCCCACTCCTCCGTACATGACGGAGCTGCACGAGTGTCACAGTGCTGCATCTCGTTCACTACGGTGGGGCTTTCAATTCCCCTTTAAACACCCAATGGATTCACCCAAGCCGCTCGAGTTGGCGCTTTGAGAGGTGGAACAAACTGTGCTTTCTAAACACATTAGCCTATGAACGCCGCTGAGCAGCAAATCTTGGGGTGCTGAAATCGGGTGTAATCATGTAGATAGATGGATGACTTTTTATTGTTCCGCTAAGCCAAATCTGCAGGGCTGGTGGTGAATACAGAGTTTCTGAAATGATGCAATACCCAGGATTTTATAGTTAACTCATGGTGCTGCAGTGCTGCGTTCTCTGTGACAAGACACTGGGCTATCACATGTATATGTATCCTGCATAAACTGGCATGCCCACACTACAGGAAATGCAAAAATGTCAGTGTTAGATGGAGACATTTGGAGGGACTGCAGTCTCAACAGGCGATCCCAACAGAGCAACTACCACAGCCCCATGCATGCATATACAGAATGTAAAAACTAAAGTGCATGTATTGTTTCCGATCGTGCCTGCAAAGACTCTCATATTATGCCCTATTGATCTGACAGAGTGAGCAGGAAGCTGGCGGAGAACACAAATACTGCCTGGGGTGGCTCCTTAAAACTAGAGACAAGCCTCTTATCCATGGTGTTCTCTTCCTCTGGAATCACCTGGTGGTTCATGCATATCAAGTACTCTCTCCAAGCCTCAGTCTGCGATCTGCCTTCTCCAGGCTCTGCTGTTTTTTTGGGTTTTTTTGCAATGTCTGTGAGATTTTGGTTTTGGAAAAAAAAAAAAAAAAAAAAAAAAGCACACACAGAAAACTGAAATTGCAAGCTAATCTGTCTAAACTCTGCGTTCTGGTTATTTTTGCAGAGACGCATTGCGTTCGTTGCCACCAAAAAGAGCAGAAGCAACCATTTTTGGTTCCCCAACATTTGTTTAGGGACACGCTTGCCACGGCGCAGTATGGGGAGGTTATGGTGGCAGGTTGTTTTACAGGTACAGACACAACTTTATTCTGAGCCTTTAGCTCCATAACAAATTCACACTTCAAGAGGGCAAAAATCTTTTCCAAGTTTGCAGTGTTACTGTCAAATACAGTGGAACTGTCACAGGAATCCCGTCCCCAGTAATCCCAGGGTGGCCTTTGCTCTGCCTGTCAGCAATACCAACCAATAACACTGCACAATAAAACCCTCCAGAACAACAGTGGGCTGCAGGCAGCTTCAAGGGCTACTGACGGCGATCTATAAAACAATATAATGGCTTGCCTGTCAGTGAGTGTGAAACAGAAGATCTACGCCTCCTCTGACTCTCTGAGGGGACTTCAATTAATCACAGCAGAATTGTATCACCCCGCAATAGGAGTGTAAGGTTATTACCATCCCTGTATTCCACAGGATGAAATGCGATGATAGCACTAATTGAGGGGAAGTGAAAAAAAAAACAGCTGACCGCACAGCGCTTGTCAAGAGGATGAAGGGCAGATAAAAGAACAAGGAGATAGACTGAGATAGGAAAAAAAAAAGAAGAGAGGAAGTGGGAGGGGGAGAGCAAAGAGGGGAGGGGTTGGAGAAAGAGAAATATTCACAGTGGTGTGTAAGCATAATCATAAATATCTAATGTGTGTGTATGTGTGTGTGTATATGTGTACATGTGTGTGTGCAGAGCAGCTGACAGCAAATACAAGAGCCTGTTTTCATTAGGGACTCCATCCATGTCCTCTCAACATAATCCAACAAGATAACAGCATTGTACTTTTCTTAAGTCACAAACAAGCCGCTTAGAGCTGGAGCTGCTTTCTTCTTAATTTGGAGTTGAGGGAAATCACTCTGATGGAGGACACGGCCCACGCTGTCAATTCAGCTCCAGGTCCCATTTCAGGCTGTATAGAGCTTTACTGTGGGGAGCCATGTTTATGTTTGGGGGGTTGCCTTTGCCAAGATACAGGCTTTTGATGAGCTTGAGCTTAGAAAATATTGTGCACTATTTTTTGGGAATAGATAGATAGATAGATAGATAGATAGATAGATAGATAGATAGATAGATAGATAGATAGATAGATCACAATAACTTCTCTGGATGCAGATGAGACCACACACATCACCCATCTGACTTATACATACATACACACACACATAAAGAAGACTATAAGAAAATCAAGTTTCTTCCTGCATTTAAACACAGACGGGAGTCTCTTCAATGCCTTTGTGCACCCAAAATGAGTAGGCAGATCTCTCTGGAGGGGAAACTTGATTTGTGCCTAATTAAAACTGTCAATGCTGATTGCATGTTGCTGCATAGATCTGATGCTCTCTGAATCTAGGCAATATGAAGCCCTACAGCTGCACCTGTACGCCACCTCAAAGCCACTGCCTACTGGAGTCTCATAAGTTAATAACTATTTATCATGGTGGAAACAATCAATAGTCTGAATCGATAAGCTTGGTTTACTCATAGGTTTGGCTGCTTGGCTGCTTCCCAGTCACACGTAAGCTGTTAGGTTTTGGAAATTCACAGAATGAATTGCTTGCATTCTATAATTTCTACTCAATTTAAGGTTGTGAAAAACATACATTTTATAGTTTAATGCACAAAATATGAGACAATTAAATTTCCCAGGCATGTAAACCTACCTGTCGTTGTGCAGTCAATTAATCCCGGGAAACGTCCCTTTCATTTATTCTCCATTGTCGACCACAAAAACCAGAGAGCTCTTCTTTAGACAAATGCCATTTCCTTGTCGCTTCAAGACGCCTCCGACAACACATAACCTAAAAACACTGGTCTAATGTCAAAGCTCTCCAGACGCACAATCCCTGAGTCAAAGAAGTCTAAACTGGGGCTGCTGGCTACTTGCAGGCGGTGGACTTAAAAGTCTATAAAAGTTGCTGGTCCTCCGACTCTGACTCACAACTTGCCATCCGCCAGAGCGACACAGCAGCTGGACAAAACGCCGGGCCGTCACTCATAGTTTCTGGATTGAAGCATGGTGTGATGTTTGGTTTTTGGTTTTTTTTACAATCCTCTCTTCCACATACTGGTTGCAGTTGGGTTTTGGCAACGTCTTCGCGCAGTTAGAGATATGGATTTGAGGTGTCCAAGGGATGTGAGAGCAGCCGGATTCATCACAGTGTGTGTGTATGTATGTGTGTATGTGTGTGTGGAGCCAGGTGGTGGTGCTGCTGCTGCTGCTGCGCCGGTATTATAGCGCCATCCAGTGGAGGGCGGTGATCCTGGACTGTGGACTGTGGTGCTGACAGGAAAGAGGGCAGACATTTATCTCAGCCAGCTTCATGATGATGATGAGTGGACGATGGTGCCCTCTCAAAGACAGCAAGACACCAACTATGGCAGCAAAATAACAACTGATTGAATGGTAGATTTCTTATGTTTCTTATCAATTTTCACCCCATATATTCAGGAAAGATATTACAAACAAAAAAGCCAGTTTATGATGTGGTGTGGTTTTATAGAAAGTTCTTTTGAGGGTTAGCAGGTATGAAAAAGAAAACTTTAGGGACTGTATGAAAATTATTTGGGTGTGGAGGGTGCTATCTATCTATCTATCTATCTATCTATCTATTCCACAACTCAATAAGATAGAAAAATTGATAGAGCAAAAAATAAATAAATAAAAATAAAAGATCCTCCCTTGCTCTCCAAAAAAATATGAGACTACCCTCCCATCAGTAAAAATAAAAATGACAACCATGTATAATAACTTGTCTACAGTTCCTTACTTAGAAAAACTTGTGTTATGACATGTATTAGACTCCTGACTACGCACCAAGGTTATGATAATACATCTGTTTGTCTCTGACACTCAACTTCCTCTCTCCTCAAGCCTTGCTGCCCCGTCTACAAAGGCTTCCCCCCAGTAATTGCATTATCATCTCTCCATTTCTCAAGCAGACTCTTTCGTCTGTCCCCCCACAAGGCAGGAATGGGTGGAATAATCAATACCAACCTTTGAAATAGCCTGTGGAGATCGGAGGCAAGCATTTGGATTTGGATTTGATTGATTTTGGACACCCTCAGAGAGTGTTATCATCATAAAGCCAAAGCCATCTACTACCTCACAGACAGCTCTGTAAGCACACACACGCACGCACAAAACACACACATGCAAGAAGAATCAAAGGGCAGAATACACAAATCCCAGGGGACTCAATATAAAAAATGTCAGCCCATTATCACTGACCGGGCTGAGCTATAACTTTCAAAGCAGATTTGCAGACCAGAGCCAGGCCTCACATCACTTCATAATTGCCTATGAATAGAAAAGCTGTTATTTTGATTCTATTTACATCATTTATTATATGACTCCCAAAGTCATCAAGTTTCTTTCTTCTTCCCTCTCACACACACACACACTGAGAGAGGAGATGACCTCATTAATCTTTAGTGCATTGTATAGACCTATCCTGTCATAGCCCTGACACTGTGGTTTGTGACACAGCTCTGCTCATTAAATCATATGACAGGATGAGGTCAGCCGTGAGGTAAGGTTTCTCAAGCTGTGCGAGAGCAGATAAAGCCAGCAGTGTGTGCCTCTGTTCGAGAGCTCAACAACAAATGTACTGTAGGTGGCAGCTGAGGTGAGTCATGTGGTAATCCCGGTTACTGAGCATTCAGAGTCAAAATCGAATAAGAGTCTCTGGTTTGTGTCTCTTTGAGGGACAAGCACACATCGGCTGTTGTTTGAGGTGTCATGTGATTTGGCACCTCACAGAGGAAACCTCACGGCCATTTTAGGTCTTGTTACTGTAGGTGGCACCTTGCATAACAGTCATCATCCCATGCTTGTCATCCTGTGATTACTTTCACTTCACACGGAGAACAAGAGTTGTGGGTGCTCAGTCGCCCGACATTGATTGCAGTGGTTCGGCTTAAAATAACAGCACCCTGCAGGGAGCAGTGTGAGCCCTCTGCCTGAACCCTCACTCGCCTTCATCGTTGAAGTGTGTTTGAAGACAGTGGGACGTCTACCAGAAAATTGCAAGAGGAAAAATCTGAGGCATAATGGCCTCAGGAATGGAGCCAGCCATCAATAATGCAGAGGAAGCTGCAGTTAATGCCCCCTTTAATTCAACAGGTCTGCAGACCCCGGGACAGTTTTTCTTCCACAGCCGCAGATGCTCAATGAGAGGCAACTACATCAGGCTTTATGGCTTTGTTTGCGGTTGCACTGCCAGGTCTTTCCCCCCAACCTCAATCCCAATTGCAGAGCCATTAATGGGTTTTCATCAGGGGCCCGCCCTAATGGAGTTTCCAACTTTCAGATATCAGTGGGGAGCTGTACCACAGAAAGAAATAATGTCCACTCAAAATCAGTGTACAGGCTCAGATTAGTCTGAACGGTGAGAGTACTGATGGGTTTGATAAACAAAAACAGGCCATAAGAGTCAATGTTAGACTGCAAAACTAATCATATAGAACTTATATTGTCTTACAAGTGTTATCAAGTTTAACACAAGTGAATACATCTTCCATCAAGGTGAGAAATTTTAATTTATATCAATAACTAGAAAATTCCTGAAAAAATGTTGAATGTGCCTGCTGCTTGGTGTGTATCCATCAAACACATTTCAATCTCTACAGAGGACGGTACTTTGAGTTTCATTCATGTTGTAGAGAATTATCCTAACCTATCCTGACCTCAGTCACTGCAGGTATCCCTCAAAAAGCTCTTTAAAACTTTGAGGACAGGCCAACGTGACCTCACAATGTTGGTTTGGAACCTAAATTTGTCCCAGCAACCATAGCAAGACTTGTATACACACATGTACATGCCCTAACAGAAGCTGATCTGCAATAAAGCTACCGTGATTTCTCCTGCTAGAAGAGAACATGGACAACAGTATAAAAAGCCCTGACTTAATCAGTCTAATTAGCCAATCAGAATCAGTTGTGTGAAAGTTTGGACAGCAACTGCACTTGTGTGTGTCTGTCAATGTGCCTACGTGTGAATTGTTGTGTGTGGCAGAAGAGCAGTCTACCATAGAGCCTTCAAAAAGCTTGTGTTACAAGATCGAGACACTTATACAGTTAATATCCATAAGGTGGTGATGTTGTTTGTGTGTCTGTCAATGTATATGTGTGCATGGTGATAGGAACTGCCAAAGCTTAACATTCAAAAACCGCTATGAAGTTGTCAGGACCGGCCCAAAATGACCTCATAATAACGTTTTTTTACCAAAATTGTCCTCACAATCCTGGAAAGACATGTACACACATGCAAAGAACCACACAACAACACGTAAATACACCGTGTTGATTTACCTTGGAGTTGCTCTCATACCTGAGTTAAAAGGCTAAGAGTTAATGAGTCTAATTAGCCCATCGGAATCAGCTGTCCATTTACGCCCAGTAACTGTCAGTAGCACCTACTGAGGCACTGGTTGCTATGGCAACTGTGGCCACCAGGGGGAGGGGGGTAACAGGCACACACAATTTCCTCTGTCTCCCTAGGCAGGCAACAGCTTTTAAGATGAAACTTGTGTTCGAAAATGGGATCACAGAGGAAAAACTACAGTCTTATTGAAAAGATCACCTCACCATTGCCGTCCCAAGGCTTCAATAAAGAGATTGATATCTTTTATGTGTACCTACAGTTTTCGGTTGAGGTTTTATTGCAGTTTAGAAACTCCCCTCAACTCTGTTTTTGGCAAGAGCTTCAGAGCTCAGTTTAACATGGGCGTCTATGGGAGCTTTGGACAGCCCTCTCTGCACTTAGGGGGGATTTCCTCAAAAACTATAAAAATATCAGAATGAGACCAAAACTGGGTGATACAGGACAAAAATCTCTACATTTTTCATATAGAAATTGACAATGAAGGTTGGAAATTGTGGGATTTAAAAGAGTTTGTCTGATATATTTTTAGGAAAATTTTCAGGGATTGCAGTTAGGGTGTGCATGATGTCATCCACTCTAGCTCTGAACATTCACCAATTGCAACACACACCAATTATAAAATCTGAAACTGTCTAAAAATTACACAAAACGTAAACTGTGATTTTATTAAAACCGTAATAGTTGTCAAAATACTGATTTAACCCAAAAGAGTCTCAAGTCTTGTGACTCGTTTAACATATCAACCACTTTTCTACATTTAAGTATGACACAGCAGTAGAGCTCCAAAGAGGGTTGGGTTTGGTCCTTTTCAGGACGTCTCCCCATTCAATCTCTATGGGAATCGGATTTTTTTTTGCTTTTATCACCATTTACGTCACCATGGTTACTCAAATTGCTAAGAAAAGTCATAGCACACCATTCCCGAGCAAAGCCACAGGTATTGATATGTATATTGTCTGGGTTTTCTCAAAGCTGTGAGAAATTTCGACACAGGATAGTGATATATGCCTTCAATGCTACTGCATTGCAGGCACATAATAATAGATAGATAGAATATTCAAAACATGTGAAAACAGATCAAATTTATGGCATACTATAGAAAAGGAAGGGAAGATAAAGCCACACGCTCATATGGTAGCTCTGATGCAAACTGTTCCTTTTTAACAGTGGTAAATACGTATTCAAAAGCAAAACAACCAAAACAACAATTTAAAAATACTCTATTAGAAGTAAAAGTTGCAGATTGCAAAAATGTAAAACCAAACGGTGTTTAAATTATCAACTTGCTCTGCAGTAAAATGTCTCCTGCGACTGTTATATTATTATATTTGACATTTTTACATTATTAACACTAATGCATCAGTGCATAAGCAGCATTTTACTTTGTAGTTTGAGGTGGAGTTGTTTGACAGTGATGGATAGACAAGAAAACTGTTTCACAAATTAGTCTCAATTTTTATAGTTTCTCTAAATCTTCTCCTTTTTTCTAAAAAATATTGGTTCACAGTTCTTTATGTAAAATCTTATAGATTACCTCACTGCTTCACAGCAGTAAGAACTACAATACCTCTGAAATGTAGTTAAGTAGGGGTCTAATGCAGCATAGAATGGAAATACTCACGTAAGTTACAGGTACACCACAAATTAATTTTGTCTTCTTTAAAATTGAGTTTATATATATAAAACATCAAACTCATAACTGCTATCTATTTATTTCATATATATATATATATATATACATACATATCTATTTATAATAGATAGCGGTTAAGATTTTGATGTTTTCTCCTCTTTTCTTTGATGTGTGAGCCAGCACATCACTACAGCACAATAGATGTGAGTTTTCCTTCAGTTTGGATTCAAAACAAAATGAGATAAGAGGAAAACCTGTACATTTTTTCAGCGCACATCTGACTGCAACACATTAATTTTGCTCTGAATGAAATACAAACTCCAAAAATTATTTTTCTTTTCTCTTGTTTTCTCTCCTGATGATCTAAATATCAGATGAACACACACACACACAAAGAGAAGTCATAGAAACAAATTCTCCTGTCATTTCTCTGCTTCTCTTGGATTCAGAGCAGTCTGCCTCAGCGGCCTCTGACAGAGAAGTAGTGGGTCATTCATCAGGAGAGAGATTAAATCTTCATCCACTGCGAGTGGATGCTGAGAGTACTTCATCTTTGGGAGAGGAAATAAAAGTTTAAAAAAAAAAAATCCATCCTTTGAGGCAAAGGAAATCATTTCATTTCCTTTTATCACTTCCCAGCATGTGATGTTGAGATGGTTAGCAATAAAACAGCTGTTATTACAAAAATAGAAAAAATGGTCACAAATAGGGGACAAACAAAAAATGTTTTAGCACAGATATATATGTGCCTCCAGCTGAGCTGTACAATGACGTGAGTCAGTTATAACATGGAAGACACACACACCTCCATCTTTTTCTGATATCAACAAACACCGTTGTTTATACCTCCTCAAGTCCTAGCTCCATTGTTTTCTAGTAGCATCTGATAGAACTTTGGCTCCACCTACTGGAGAATATACACAGGTACAACCATTTCTCTGATATCAAAACACAGTTCATACAACCTCCTCACTGCATCACACACCATCTGAGGTCTGTGAGATGTTTCATGGTGATAAAGTGATAATAAAAGGGATCTAGAGGGGATGTTAACTACAAAATAGTGCTAAAAAAGCAAAGGTGGAAAATGTAATATGAGGAGTTTTTCAAATAATTGTTACTAAAGTTTGTCAGCTGGATAATTTAATCCATTACAATGCATCATATTTTATATATTTTGTATGTAAAAAAAGTGGAGTAAAGTAGAAGTAGCAATGCCTCACAGTGAAAATACTCACACCCCTGAATTCAAAAGTGAAAGTGTGTAAGTATTACAAGGTAAATGTTCTGAAAGTAAAAGTACTTATAATGCAGGAAAATTGCCACTAAGATTGTTATGCTATTTGATATTATATGTCTGTATCATTATTACCAATGCATTAATGTATAAGCAGCATTTTACTGGGTAGTTTCATCTATGCCAGTACTAACTATGCATATAATGTTTTAATCTGGAACGTAATAAGTAATTGCTGCTGTCAAAAGAAGGTACAATCTTTCACTGTGAAATGTATTGGAGCAGAATTATAAGCATCTCTTATTTGCACTTAAGTACAGTATTTGTGTGATTGTTCTTAGTTACTTTCTAGAACAGATGTGTTGTTGAGTAAAAAGTACAATATTTACCTCTGAATGTAGTAATAGTATAGCAGAATAAAATGGAAACAGACCGCCTTCTCGAGCAAACATACTCAGTTATGTTGCACCACTGAATAAGATCAATAAATAAATACACAGCAAGCAACCATACAACTACTCTGGTCTATAATGAGATCCGGCTCTGCTTTCACTTTCTCTTCTTCCAAAAATGCAGCTAAATAAATGAACAAATACATTAAATAAAACTGAGTATTAAGTTTTGAAAAAGAAGTGAAGAAGAATAAACTTCGCATACTGCCTCTTTCAAATGGGTCAGTAAAAAAAACAGTAACAAAGATAACAGTACCACAAACAAATGCATAGGCTAGTTGATATCTTCAGTTGTGAAATAAGCAGGAGCTGAGAATGGATCAATGGATTTTTTTTTTGTTTACCTGGTGACAGTGATTTGTAAGAGCAAAAACAATCATTTGAATTACATGTCAGCCTCAAATCTTGAGCAGCTGAGAGCTTATCAGCTGAAAGATGGACTTTGACCTCAGATAAAAATGATTATGTAACACAGGCTGCTCTTCATGTGCCGTTACTGCTGCTATTCTTTGAAAAATGGACCAAAACAAGGATTCTTGACTACATGTCAAACTCCAGCTCTTTTGTTTCTTGATTAACTACAGTCTCACAGTGGTTTGGTGATGAGTATACAGTGAAATATTTTTCACTTTAAAACAAAGCCCTGTGGCAGGATGAGACGCTCACACAACTGCAGAACAAGTAGTTAGTCAGTGTATTGCTCAAACTCTGTCAAAGTTGTATAGCAAATGTGTAAATAAGATAAAATATTGTTAAATCATGTGTCAGTTCCTAATGTCATACAAAAATCTGATATGACATTATTGTTTGTTAGGTGTTCAGGAGATCTTTACCCTTTTAAAAAGGTTTATAATAAGAGTCTTATTAATAGTTCATGAATAATTTACTAATGCCTCACAGATCAGCTGTAACATGAACTCTGTGAAAAATCTATTGAACAAGTGCTTTCTCAGCTCCAGAATCCAGTGGGCCTTTTGACCTTTGACCTCATAGAAAAAATGCTCCAGAGCATCTGTCTTGTTAAGATTTGCAATTAAAGACCTGATGGATTATTGTTTGTAATTAACTCAACTTAATTTACCATTTAATTACAAATGACTGACTAACTTTTGCTTTCAGTAAGTGAGAAACCTGCATAAGGAGGGTAAACAGCACGGGACAGACGGGATGGAGCTGAAAGATGCTCCAACAGATAAATCTATGTGAGAGAGCTCATTTGAACTAGTTTAGATACTGTTGTTTCACCCACAGCACCGCATCATACTCACAACATCTTAAACTGTAGCTGACAAATCAATATAGTGGAGTGAAATGCCCAAGAAAGTGAGAATACACTGTAAAACATCACACAGCAATTTAGTGGAATCAACAAATATTTTATCATTATCTTTATATAAATATACGAAGTTATCAAGCCAATTCAACATAAAATGTCCTCAAATTTGTACCTATAGTGTTTGAGTTTATATAAATGCATTGTCACCCTTTTGATTCAGGACTTTTGTAACCACAGACTTGATGGTTTATTAGAAAAGGAAGACACTTTGGACCCTTTACTTTGATTTTGTAAGCCTAAAGGTTGTTGTAATGAATGGCTTACAACTGATCAAACATTTGTAAATGATTTATAAAATTGAAATGTACAGAGAGCTTTTAGATTTAGAGTGTTAGAGTGTTATATTAAACTTTGAATGTCCTTTATTGTAGCCTATATGGTTGACTATGTGAATGGTCATAAATCCACATATCATGGTATCTTCCTAAATTTATTGTCTTTCACAAACAAGTCTGTCAATCCTCGTGACTGAAGCAGCCTGTAAATATATGTGGTCTCAGGTTTTCAGATGTGTGTGATACTCTGTTCTGGCAGCACATCCCTGTGAAGCCCTGCCTTCTGAGATGAGATATAGCCTCCTGCCGGATTACAGCTCATACGCAGCCAGTGAAGGTTTTATTCTGTTTGCATGAGGAAAACATCGTGTCTGAAAGCTGTCACATGGGGCCAGCAAGGAGGAAAAAAAATCGCTTCCTGAAATGATCCTCGTCACTGGCTGAGTGTTGTTGTGTTTTTTTTTTTCTCTAATGTAATCTCGCATCGCGCTTAATTTTCCATCCGGATCTTTTTTTTTCTGGCCGACTGTCGCTGCCGATGATGATCAGCAAAGTTAAAAACGCGATGTCCACTCTGGTAGGAGGGATGATGCCGCACGGACACCACCACCACCACAACCATCACTCAGGTGGGGGCCAGACCTGCGGACCGGACAGCCTGCCGCCGCGCTTCCCTTACGGTCGGCCGGATTTCTTGGACCTCACCCCGGAGCTCCTGCAGTACTCCACCGAGCACGCATCACGGCCGGTTCTCACGCTAAAGAGAGGCAGCAGGCTTCCCTGGACGACGGGATACGCAGAGTGAGTGGGTCTAAGCACTCCCTGGTGAAAATCATTCACATTACTTCAACATTATGATTTTGTCATTGTTTCCTGATGAGTGTCAGGTCGGTGTTGCTGCAGCCTCAGCAGCTCCGGGTGCACTGCAGCAGACAGATGATGGCCAACATGGCCTTTTGCTATTGTAGTTTCTAACACAGTGTTCCTCCCCTGAGCTGCTGTAAATGAATTTGAGCACTATGTCTGAGCTGTAATTAGACAAAACGCTCCCTGTCATAATAGTCTGATATTTGTGTTCAAAGATCTTTCAATACAGGCTCCTCCTCAGTTCAATTTAAAGAGTAATACACAAGATGCAAGGAAATGAAAGCAGGAAATGTCTACCTCCTAACAAACCTCTTTGTGTTTTCTTACATCCATCTTGGTGAAGAACCTCAATGCTGCTGCTGATGCACTTGCAAAGAGCTTTAGGGGATTTCATCTTTGTCTTTCATTAAAAAAAAAAAAAAAAGGTTTTGTGGCTACACAAAGCACGGGCCATTCACATCTTGTGAGCAAATAGTGCAGAGCTCCACTCCTTCTGTCCTTGGTTTTACTGCAGGTGCTTTCACACTCCAGTTATTACACCTGCAGTACTCTCACAGGTAGAAACAATGCAGCACCATTTCATTCACACTGTTGGCCAGAATGTGCTGTCCAGGCAATTCCCGCTGAGGAAAAACACTTTCAGACATTCCACTCTCCCACAGGAGGGGGGAGAGATGGGAAGGACTGAATAGCCTCAGTCCTACAGTATGTGGGCTATACCACCCCTGCCTGCCTGTATGCAGACAGAAAAACAGGCTGACTCATGCAGAGTCTCAAAGGGACAGGGATAAGATTTGTGACGACGACGACTGTCTCAGAAGACTGAATGGGAGAGGTCAGATGAGGATGCTGTGGTTATTGTGTGGGAATGTGCACCGTCATCAGTGCCGTTATCTGGCTTCTGCAGCAAATCACTTTGATGTCACTCTGTGAAACTATAATCGCAGCATTAGCAGTGCTGTTTACAACACAACATAATCGGCTGATCTGTTCATGCATCAGCTGTCAGCGCTCATTCAGAAATCCAAATAGCCCACAGCCATCTGTGTTCAGTTATCACATTTAATGTAAGTGCCCTGAAGAGTACAGAACGCCGTCAGCACAGTGCACTGAAAACTCCACTCTTGACAATGCAGCATTGAAAGGGTTGTAAAGGCTGTACACGTGGGTGAATGTACGTAGTGTTTATTTGAGAGTGATTGGTCTTTTATTCCCTCACTCAGCTGATGAGGCTCTGATACGGGCTTTCAAAGCGACCAAAACATGGATAATTCATCATTTAAAATCAATCTGTCTGAAGTCATAATCTCCACAGAGCAAAGTTTATCTATTGGAGCATCCATCGGCTCCATCCAGCTGGGTTCTGTCTGGTACAATGATAGCCAAACAGTGTAGGTGGATTGCTTCCAGACTATGCAACTTCTCCAGTTTGATATCAGTTAATTAGTGTCTGTCTGTCATTCATGTGGTAATGTGGAATCATGGTCATTGTTGTTGGGTTGTCTTGGCCTGGCATCACATTGACAATTGAGTTTTTACATGCATACATGAGGTCTGATTTCAAAGGGGGTTTGAATTGTGGACCTGAAATCGGTGAGTCTGTAGCTTTGGCAGCACACGGGTTCAGGATGCTCAAGATAATGAGCCTAATTGATGCTGGTGCACAACATTGTGTCAGCCTAAACAGCCTGAGTGCGCCCATGGTGAGCCACTCAGAGTGCTTTTGTCAAATGGGTATTTAATACCATTTGATATGGAGGCACACTTCCAGGCCTGAACACTCTTCATGAGATAGAGTGTGAGGAAGCAAAGACTAAAAGAGTATATCTGAATCTAAATAACTACTGCGTGCTATATATATATATATATATATATATATATATATATATATATAGTCTATAGCATCATGCATAATGCATTGTTGTATGATGTAATTCCTCCATGTGATGTTATTACTAATACAGGAATAAACAGCTGTCAGGAGAGCACAACAGTAAAGAAAGAGGAGCATTCAAAGCCTCTATGAGGTGGATTAACATGTCGAGACGCCTTTTAACAAAATACAAATCCGATTTATATATAAGTTGAAAAAACAGGGAGACATGATTGTGTTGTTTAGGTTATATCACATGTTAAAATCAAATAAAATCTCATGAGGTTTGTCAGGCTTAGGGTTAGACACATACTGAACAAGATGGGAGTGATGTAAGTACAGAAAGGCAGATTAATTAAGATATTGTGAGATATGGACATGCTACAGCTACAGTGCATAGAAATGTCCCTGAGATGTTGTTCACTCAGTGTTTATTACCATGCAGTGGATGTAATTATTTAACCAGATTTTATTCACATCACCCCGTCCTTCTTCAAACTCATAGGTCTCATGCTTTAATTGACACTGTTCTGTGTCCAGCTCTTAAACTGACAGTTTACAAGTTGCAGCATGTTTTAATCAGACTGTTTGGGTTATGCTCCAATCAGTGTTTGAGTCATCGCTGTACCTTCTGTTGTTCTGCTACTGATTTGTGTTTGACAGGTCTCACCTCTGAGTTTTCAATGCAATATGTACCTTGCACCACAACAAGCAACTTCCTCTCCCTGAAAAGGAATTCAGAATATGACTAGACCAATTCCTAATGCTGCAGATGAAGGCTTTGCTTTTAGACTAAATAAGGCTTTATTTACCGGGCCTGCAGTGTTTGTTTATCTGCCAGCTTCCAACCTGAGCTAGTTTCATTCACCAGCAACCACGGATTTATCTTTGTCATGTTTAATTTGTAAGACTCCCCTCAAACAGTCCACTGTTACACTCTGAGATGTGTTAATATTATGAGCAGAGAGATTAGATACACAGCCAGAGCAGGTCAGACTGCTGAAAAAGGTACATAGTTTTATTTGAAACTCTATATTGACCAACAGGTATGCCAAAAGCACCATGGACAAGGATGTGTTTACATCCATGCTTCAGAAAACTCAAATATGGAATCAAAAATTATCAACAACTGAACATCTAACAGGATTATGAGGGATTTCCTTTCTTTCACTGGATGCACCACTGATCTGCTTCTGACTGAACCATAAAAGTAGTTTCACTTCACTAAAACAGCCATTCCTCAGTAGCAGGTATATGATGAGACATGTAGTGGACTGATATCCTGCTTTGTGTAGACAATGCGTCTTTTTTTCCCGATAGAATGATATTTAATAACACCAAACTTGCACAGACAGACATTTTCATCAGATGTATGACGTTAAAAAGTTCCTGTAGCTGCAATTAGAGAATTCACTGGAACTCTCAACTTCTGCTTTTGACCTTTCCTTGCATAATATACTGTACAGTGGCAGGGCTGAAATAGAGAAACACTGCTTCAGCAAACATGACCAATGTAGTTTTCAGTCACAAGTTGTGGAAACATATGACCGAAACGCAGATATATGCTTGAGGGTTTAGTCACATTATTAGGAAGGCTCGAGCTCCTTGTTTAGAATCACATCCTCCCACGCAGCCTACATTAAGTTCAATTATAGCTCATTGAGCACATGTGACTACTCTCAAAACACACAATGATTGCTGCTTCTTTACCGTGAGAGTGGTGAAAGTTTAATACACTGCAAAAATGTAGAAAGAGGACTTACTTTCACATTCAAACAAGTCTCTCCTCAAAACAAAAATGATTTACAGTGTCTAGTTTCAGTTTAAGTAGCCAGGAATTCCTCATTTTCAAAGTTTAGTAACAAGACAGAACAAGTGAGTGATTCTACTGGTATGACTCTTTGTTTTTATTATAAAACATGTTTATCGGATTAAAAAAAACATAATCTCAAGAAGAGCAACTTTACAAGATAATACTTTAAATTAGATATTTTAATTGCTGTTTTGTCAGCTAGCCAAACATGCTGTAGGCCTCCAGTGGCTTACAGAACAGATGCACCCAATAACAGAAAATAAAAAGCATATACAGTACAGTAATCTGTATTTGTTGCCAGCTTTTATATAAACCTCAGAGCTTCAGCGCAATTTTCTGCCAGCAGCCAGCCTTTTACAGATAGCACACAAACTCAACAAAAGGGCCAAGGACTTGGTTAAGTAAGAGCGAAGCTATAGTAAACCAAGCAATACGCAGGACTCAGCCAAAAAGAGGCCTGGCAGAACATTGCGGATTTGCTGTGATCATACTCCAATATAGATGGAGGGTTGTTTCTCTGCATCCAGATATCTGAAAATGTCCTGGCTTTGGCCGAAAGTAGACAACAATCAGGCGACTTTAAATTCTTCCCTGTCATTAGTCCTAATGCAGGGAGCGCAGTGCAGGACACTGTGGTGCCTGTCCACTGCTTTCAACTGATTAGAAAGTGAAAGGGCTTTTTATAATCCAGATTTGGGCAGCAGTTGCATTTTGTGCCTCATATTCGGTGCTTTCTGATATCAGTTATCAAAGCAACCATTTTCTGTAATGATTGTAATCAGCTGAACTATTTGGAGAGTGAGAGGTCAAAGGTCTTTTTTTACCCTGGTTTTCTCTCATCTCTTTTGTTTGACTGTACAGTTTGTTCTCTATCCCTTGCACTACCAGACTCTCTTTCATTTTTGGTCTCTTATTCCTTTTCCCTTCCTCTCATGATCTTAGCAGTAACTGATAAATGACTAATCCCTTCTCTGCAGAAGTTTCAGAGGGAATCTTAATGATAATAGTTGAATTACTGGAATTGTGCAATAGGTATTATGCCTTATTACCAAGCTAATGTGGCATTTATCTATAATTAAAACTGAAAATGTTATGTAATATGCCAGCATGAGTTCCAAACTGCAACCCATCCAAGTCTGTCTCATGTGGCATCTTAAAGGACCATACCAGCGGATGCTTGTGTGCTGTAGCCCACTCACTACAAACTGCATATTCTTTGCTACACTGCTAACCAGTTTTGGAAAACATAGTTTTTTATATAGTTTTTAGTTATGTTTTTTTCTACTGTTTCAGGCAGACGTTAGTTTCCTTTAACTTCAGTACAGTATAAAAATCAATTAGCAGATTTTTGAAACTTGTTTGTTAGTTGTGTAATCAATAAAAGTGAACATCATGTCTGCATTAAATTTGATACTAGGAGATTATTATTGCATGGTCATGCAGTTAAAGCAGCTCTAATCACTAATTTTGGCTGGATCACAACACTGACTGACTGACTGACTGACTGACTAAGTTACAAATTTGGTCAGCCAAATACCACATGACTGAGTGATAAGGTTGCAGCATTGGTCAGCTGGCTGGAGTTTCCCCATTGGTCTTTGCTCTTTCAAAATGATTTTGTGTGAACAAGCAGTTTTGCCAACTTAGTACCTTTGTCACTAGATTAACTGACTTTTCAAAAGAAGCACCTATAGACATACATACTACATTAGCTGCTGACAGAAACAGAAAAACATGTACATGAGAGAGTAAAGAAAACAGATAAAGAGCTGAAAGTGGCCTGTCACTGGGCAGAATACAAATATGACACAGTCCAGCTAGGTGTTCTAGGTTCTGACCTAGTCTTGATATGTTAACAGAAGATAAAATGACTCCATGTAACGCAAAAGGGGTAGTGAACCCATAGAGAATTATTCCCACAGCTCTACGGACCCATAGAGAATTATTCCCACAGCTCTACGGAGCCTTTCCGGATCTTTCAGCTCATTGTTTTGGTTTATATGGCCTACCGCTCTCACAAAACTCCTTTCCAGTGGAAACAAGCAGCTGTTTTCAGTGAAAAAAATCTTTAATAAACTCACTGTTTGCTACTCGTTCAGTGCACCAAACGACAGAGTTAGCATCTAGCCAGTGAACAAGCACAACATTTTGTTGCTGAAGAGCCAGATATTTCCCTCATGGGGTGGGTGGGTGGGTGGAGTGCAAAACAGAGCTAAAGAAACACCAGAAACACAACTCAAATGAATGCTAATGGTGCTTTGCATCTGATGGATGTGTTAATAAATGCTCCAGTGGGCCAAATAATCAATTAATGGAGGTTTAGTGTGCAGAATGATCACAATATAGCCATACAGTGATGTAATCCATCACTTTAATCCACGATAGATTACATTACAACTCCACCAAATTTCAAGAATCTGCTAATTGATTTTCAGAGTGAATATGGAATAGAAACCGATGGCTGCCTCAAGATGAAGGAAAAACTATGTATGCTCAAACTAAATTGTGAAATCTACCTACAGATTTCACAGTGTAACTGGATTTTTTTTCGTTCATCATTTTATTATTATTTCACATTAACAAACTTGTGAAGCCCAGTTTCTTACAGCTTCACCAATCCTTGCATTACTGTATTACTGTTCCTCATTGGTACCCACAGTGAACTCTGCTGCAGCATACACAAGATGGATGATGCTGCTCGAGTATGAAACAGTGCATTACTCTAAAGCCATTATCCTCCACAGGCATCAGCTCATAATAAAAACACTTAATTCTGCCTTCAAGTTCCCTCTGGGACATGGCTGCATCCTGCCCCACTTTTTTCCTCACTGTTTGGCCCTCTCTCCACCTTTTCTGGTTGCTGTTTTGTTTTCATGTGTTTAGAAGAATGAGAACAAACAATACAAATCATCTGACGCCAGGCTCACCTTTCTTCCTCGCCTCTTTCTCCAACAGGGTGATCAATGCAGGGAAGAGCATGCTGAACGAGGACCAGGCCTCCTGTGAGAAACTGTTTGTGAAGAAGCCGAGCGGCAAACACCGGAACTCCACTCTGCTGGAGGACAACGGGGTGAGCGAAGGGCAGACTCTCGGCCATCAACACAGGACTCAGGACTGTGGGATGAAATGTCAGGTTGAGGGCTGCTAATCAGTGATAATGTTCCTGGTTTTTGAATGTAACGTCAGTGTCCTTTAGAGTCGTGAAGGTGTTTGAGTGTGGTGTGTTCGTCACTGAAGAGTAAAATTCTTGTTATGCAGCACAAGCATGATGTAGTCTAAGCAGTATTGCACTGAAACTTCCACACACTGTCTGTGAATGCACTGTAGTTATCTGATACCCAACACTGGTGTTTTCCTATCCTATTTGGTATTGATGGATTCAACTTGTTAGTTGTAATTCCCCTCCTATCCCTGTGGGACTTATCATTTTCCACTGTCTACACTATCATTCAATTGTCTCTGATATATCCCCCCATTTTGTCATCACAAAGCTGAGCATCAGAAACAAGTTCCAAGTATTTGCTGGAATCTTTGTGAGAGACCTCAGTTCCCAAAAGGACCCAAAAAGACTTATGACCAAATTTTTTAAAGCTGCTACGATCAGTATTTTTATGTTAACAGTGGATCACATGACTGCCTGTATGTGAAGGGGACACTCGTAGTGACAAAAAAGTTATCACCCAACTCTGCAGTTCCCTTTCAGCACATTCTTTTAAATTTACGGCATTCAACTTAACTGTTTTGGTTAGGGCAGGGCATTGCCACTGATTCTCCACATCTATTCGATTCTGATTCACAAGGTCCCAATTCAATTCGACTCGATTCAATTCAATATCGTTTCAGTCAGAGATATTTCAGTTACAACATCAATTTTTCTTGGATATAAATGAGGTTCTTAAAAACATTAATGTTTACATTATGAACACAAAACAGTTACATTAATGCACTGTATATTTAACATGACCAACAAATGGGACACTTCTCAAGAAATAATAGATGTAATGTGCATTGTTAACTTACCCCAGTGCACCAGTTACACTGTGTATGAACAGGTACACACGGCTTCTTCTTCACATCTTGCATACAACTTTGCTTCTGTCCAGCTTTACAATGTCTTCACTGTGGAGCAGCCACATTGGAAACATCCATTAGAGCAGAAGCTGCTGTGCAGGCAGAGGTCCAGTGAAGCTGACAGGCTAGGCTATGACAACGTAGCTAAGCTAACAGGCTAGGCTATGAAACCGTAGCTAAGCTAACAGGCTAGGCTATGAAAACGTAGCCAAGATAACAGGCTAGGCTATGAAAACGTAGCTAAGCTAACAGGCTAGGCTATGAAAACATAACTAAGCCAGCTTTCGTCTTCAGCAGCACAGAGCTGTCCAAGTGTAACAGACTGATTTTGTCATGTTCCTGTGTAAATGTATCAGATAAAGAAACTGTCAGAAGAGTGAATGATGAATGAAAGGACGTTTTCTGTCTTTTCATCTTTACTACTTAACGATTCAATTCATTGAACTGCTCAGAGGCTACCGGCAGCTACTGGACACCTTTAAGGTGGAATGTTTTCTTGCTTGTTCCTCTATGCATGATTGACGTTTGGAAATCAATCAATACACCTTAAACGTCAATATGATAACCATTTCATTTGTTTTTATTAGCTCTCTATATGACATACACTTTAGTGATCAGATCTTCAAGCGATTATAAATGTAGATACATTTCAACCAGTTTCTGCAAACTTCAGATATTTTATTTTACCTTGGAGGGAAAAAAATGGCGGAGCGTCGTTCCGGTGGCTCCGGAAGTGTTCTGAGCCGTTGCAGCGCTTTTGCCCTTGTCGGCCACCGTAGAAGGCAGCTGTTGTCAGTGAAAAACCTCTAAAAACCCAGCTGTAGACTAACCAGATGTTAGAAAGATATGGTTAGTGACTACCTGGGAGAACACAGTAGCACATTTAGCAGCTAAGGAGCCAGATAGTCCCTTTAGAAGATGTAGAGACCAAAAAACAGAGCAAAAATAGGGGGAATATTGGATTTAAATTCATCAGGTGGTCAGTTACATTACTTCAAAGCGATGCTTGCTCTGTATCTGTTGAATGGGTAAATAGGCAATTGTTTGTCATATCAGTTTAAAATGGCCAAAAAATCTGTTGTTCCAGGTTTAAAGATCACAGATCTGGTTAAGCATTAGGTTTTTTTCCTTCTCTAAATCAAAGTGCAGTAACATTGTCATGTCACACATGCACACAGACACAGACAGATAGAGAGAGAACTGCTGTTTCCTGAAAACGGTGACTTGGTCCATAGAGCACAGACCAAAATTGTACTTTTGTAATCTTTCTAAATACATTTACTGTTTTAGATCTACCTGCACATACACTCACACACCCACACATGTCTGTCTGCCATTTGGTTTAAATGAATTACATCATCCCTTGTTGCACCCTTCCCCCACTTAAGTCTAGCATCAGAGGGGTAAGCAGATGTCTTGTGCCTGTTCATCTGTTAGTCAGTCAGTGAGGCCAACTCAGCTTGTAAATATGCCTGCAAACACAAAGGTGGCAACACCTCTCCCTCTCCCACTGCATCATAGTGGAGCAGCAACAGCCCTTGGATGAGGAAATTTTTCCTGCAGTGTAGATCCTGTCAGGACAGATGTAATGTTTGATTTATATTTTAGGTTAATAATAATAATGATAATAATAATAATGATAATGTGCACATGTGCTAAGTGCTGTAGTATTCAAACACTGGTGTTCTGTATTGTTTTTAATAGTTTTTCTACCCTATAAATCATGAAAAGTAAAAGTTCATGATAAGATTTTTATATCTTGCCAGCTTACCCCATAATATTATAATCTAGATTTACTGCAGCTGTGATTCAGTAAGACCTGAAATGGAAGAAACATATTGCTTAGCATTAAAAATGTTATCAGCTGCAGTCCCAGAGCCTGTAAACCCTCACAAATCTGTGCCTTCTGCTCAGAGTTGTAATCTCATGGGAGATTTTTAAACCACGCCCCTAACCATGGGCATAATATGGTTCAGTTATTTCATATTTTACTACAACTACAAAGCTTCCTTTATTTAATGCATTTCTGCATGCATGTCTATGTAACTTTGTAGGATGGCACAGGAATTCCTCTCCACTTCTGGGGGGTGTTTGATGGACATGCAGGTTCCGGAGCCGCCATCATGGCCTCCAAACTTCTTCACCGTCTCATCAGAGACCGTCTGGGAGAAATCTGCCACCTGCTAGAGAATCCCAGCAGCGCACCTCCGATCTGCTTGGCCAAGAACGGCAGCCCGTACCAGGCAGAGACAAAGAAAGGAGCCGCACAGGAACCGGAGGACCCAGACGCTGTCAACGACTCCTCAGTGCGCTTTCACATGGAGAAGGTTGTCAGTTTGGAGAGTCTGGTGATGGGAGTCATAGAGACCGCCTTCAAACAGATGGTGAGCAGATGATAACTAACAACGCATGTTGAAAAACAAGGAAACAGTATTTTGCATATTTCAAGCGTTGCTCATTTCTATCTTCAAACAGCGGAACTACTGAAGATGTTCACTTCAATTCCCAGAAAATACTGAGAGAAACTGAATACTGAGAGACCTTAAAACCTTTCCTTACTGTCATAGCCGGTCTGTTATGGAGACAGGAGAAAGATTTCTTCTTTCTCTCTCTTTAGCCATGCTAGTGGTGTGGACAATGTCAGTCTGTCAGTCAACTGGTCGACCGGTCCATTGGCTTTAATCCGGACTTAAATATCTCGATAACCACTGGATGGATTGCCATAAGATTTGGGTACAGAGGGTCGTAGTGCCCAGAGGATGACTCCTACTGATCTTCGTGATCCTCTGACTTTGCCTCTCGTGCCACCAGATGGTCAAAATTTTTAATTACTGAGAGATATACATCCATATCTGTCAGGCGGTGGTTGTAGACACTTTATCTTGTTTGCACAGTTGCACCTTCGAGCTTAAATGTAACTGCAAGTTATAACTTCAAAACCAGGAAATCAGGGAAATGTTATGAACTTAGTTGCTCAGTTATGATTCATACCAAAGGAAGATAGTAAACATATACAACTCACTGCTTCTTTATTACCTCTACCAAGGAGCTTATGTTTCCACCTGTGTCTGTTTATTTGTCAGCAGTATTACACAAAAAGTACTGAATGATTTGCACCAAACTTGGTGAAGGGAAGGGGTATGGACCAGGGACAGATTCAGGAAATTGTTTTTATCATTTTCCCTCACATTGAAAGACAGGGCATTTTTCAACATTTTTGTAAATTTGTTAGGAAATAATGTATGGATCTTGATGTAAAAAACCCCACACATATATATAATGTCAATGTCTTTGTACAGTTTGGTGCAGATCCAGATTATAATCCGGATCTGACAGACATGTGTAGGATTGTTTGGCCCTGGCAGAGATATGCGCTCTACTGAGAGCCATTCTAGTTATTTCTGTGGGTGGATGGGAATCCAAACCTGAGGATTAAACTAGAGCAAACAGGCCAAATCTGTTTGGTCTCACTTAGAAAGGATGTCTCTGTTGCAACCTCACTTCCTGGTTTAGATGATACTGATAACAACCCACAGTCTAGGTAATGTATTCTGTTGTTCCTCTCCATTAGCACTGCTGTTTTGTTTTAAATATGAATATGTATGGAGAAAATAATGAGCTTCTACTTTGATTTTTCTTGCTTTATTTCAGGATGACCTAATTGAAAAGGAAAAAACGTCCTATGCCATCTCTGGTGGGTGTTGTGCCTTAGCTGCCATTCATTTAATGGGGAAACTCTACGTAGCCAATGCTGGAGATAGCAGGTGAGTGAAACAGCAAAATAGTGTATAATAGTGTATAATATTCTCTCTAGCTCTTCACTGCACAATATGCTTTATACTCATGAGAAATCTTTTCTCACTAAGTAGCTTCTTGTGCCCCCTGGGGTTCATTTTGCACACTGCAGCATCATGTAACCCTCCTCCGCCAACACTCTTACTGACCAACCTACTCATCTGAGCTGTCTTCACTCCTGTGCCCCCCCCCCCCCTCTTTTTCTCTGCAGGGCCATAATCATACGAAATAATGAAGTTATTCCCATGACTAATGAATTCACACCTGAGTCAGAGAGGCAGCGGCTACAGTATCTGGTATTGTTTATCTTTTATGTTACAAATGTCAAACAAACTGTATTTTTACCAACAGACACACAGATTAACTGCACAGTGATCTGTCCAGAGTAGATTTGTTTAATCTTGTGAGTGTACATCAAGCAGTAAAAAGAAGAGCAGAAAGAGAAACTGTTATGAGTTAAATGAGGTTTTACTGACAGTAAAGTTGAGTTGAGGATAATAAGTAAGCAACCTGTTGAAGAGGGAGGAAATCCTGCATCACACTGAAATGTACTGACGTTCATCGGTTGCCTGTTTTAGGAGCAGGTTGTAGTTCTGAGTCACAGAGTGGGTGGATGATGTTTGCTGCTAAAACGGGGAGCTGTTTTGTGCCTTTCAGTACACAGCACACAGCACTGCAGGCCTTCTATAGCACATGCACTCTTAGAGCTTCTCCTGTTTTAGGAAAAACTACTGAGTCGTGACAGATATTTAGGCTTAAGTAAAGCTTTTTAGTCTTTAGTTTAATGCGACCTGCTCCATTTTGTGTGTCACTCCAGGGCTTCCTGAGGCCAGAGCTTCTGGGTAATGAGTTCACTCACATTGAGTTCCCTCGTAGGATCCAGCACAGCGAGCTGGGCAAAAAGATGCTCTACAGAGACCACACCATGACCGGCTGGTAACCTGGAGATCCTTTTTAATCACGTTTTTGACAGTTAAACACTTTTCATAGACACTTGCACTGAGAATTCAGAACAGTTTGGTTGTTAAGTAGAAATTTATGTGGATATTCAAACAAAGATGATCTTTTATTTGATAAATGAAATGTACATTTAGATCACTGAGCAACTATTCAAACCCCAAAGTATTTAGTTTTCAATGATGTAAAATAAAAAAACTGAAAATATTCATATTTCAGGAGCTGGAACCAGTCAATTTTTGTTGCTGATTAATTTCCTGTTGATTGACAAAATGATTAATTCATTAATTGTGTCAGCTTTATTCCAGTCATGTTTCAGTGACTCTGATCTCTGATCTGTTTGTTGTTTTGTTGTAGGGCTTATAAGACAATCATTGAAGATGATCTGAAATTCCCCCTGATATACGGAGAGGGGAAAAAGGTAAGAAACATAAAAAAACTCAATATATTGTGCTGGATTATAGTCTGTTATGAAGTTTTCTAACCGGTAAAGTGCTAAAAAGTTTCATTTACTGATAATATAACAACATATAACAAGTAAACAATATATTATAGTGTGGAGTCATGAATTTTTACATCTCCAACTTGTTTGTTAAATCCTGCAATGTCTGTCTGGGTAGAAATGACGCCTGCTCAGTATTTTCATTATTGTCTGGGAGAACATGGTCTTCACATAATAATCCTTTATAAATGGATTTTCACAGAACTGAAGCATTTCCCGCAACAATAACCTGCATCATTGTGTGTCTGTGTCTGTGTGCGGATGTCCCGTACTGTTCGCGTGAACCTGTGTCAACGTGCAATGTGTGTTGGTATCCGCAGGCTCGTGTCATGGCGACAATCGGAGTGACCCGTGGGCTGGGAGATCATGACCTGAAGGTGTACAACTCCAACATTTACATCAAGCCCTTCCTGTCATGCGTCCCTGAGGTGAGTGTGAGGAGTGAGAAGCAGCTCTGCTTGTTAGCGCTGCTTGAGGAGTCACATCGGCATTGTCGCGGCTGCCTCCTCGGAGCCAATGGGATACGTTTAAAAAGCTGTCGGGCCCCGGGCTTTGCTTTATTGCCTGCTGCTCGAAATGAAACTTGTGCATTGCTCAGAGCTCTGGCTCATAATATGTTTTTCTGGGCTTTTTACAAGCTGATGTGGCACAAAGAAACAGATTTATCCACTTCAGTTTTGCTTTTCTTACATGCGTGTCATTTTTTTTCACTTTTTATTTTTGACAATTTAAAGATTTTACAAAAGAATGAGAAAACAGACATCAACAAAGCATATGTGTTGTACACATTTCTTACTGTGCAGCCTTCATGTCCATGTTGTTTTTAGCGTCCTTGTTGTTTGCAATGAAGGTCGCTCATTTCTTTCAGCTGCTGTGAAACGTTTTTCCATATGTCTGTCTGTCTGTTGATGTGTGGGAGGTTTTGTTGGATGCCCATTGTTACCTATTGTGTTTTTACAGGCTTACATCTTGCAGTCCTGAGGGATCTTATAATCTAAAATGCCTCTTAAACATACAGTGTAGTCTCCCAAAATATGTTTTCACACAACCAGATGCTGTGAGCCAGAAGATGTGGAAATGATTAGCATTCATGTCACACAATCTCACAACCCTGCTGCTGAGTGTGAAGTTTATTTTTAATGTGAGGTGTGATGAAAAAAACATGGGCTTGATGAATTCTTCCAACCAAACTCCATGATGACACTTCTACATTCACAGTGTACAACAAAGCAGAGATCACTCCTGTGCAATATCACTAACATGTCAGTGATAGACTACATTGAAAATACATGTACGAAGGTACAGCCCCCAAAAGCAGAAACAAGTCAGTTTAGCTGTGATCACCGCAGCAAAAATGATCACACCTATGATTTACAAATAAGGCTAATTTCATGAACAAGCTACAAAATAAACTGTTAACACCACAGCCTTCTCTATTTTGGCCTGGTCGTGTCCGGTCGTGTCACATTGTGAGGAAGTGCCTGAAAACAAGTTCACAAAGATGGGAGAGGGTAGAAGAGCATCAGGAGGCCACTGAAATAAGCTGAAACACAGCTGCAGCCGTGGTTTGGAGCTAGAGGAAGATCCATACTACCAATGACAGAATGTTCAGTGACTGTCCTTGACAACTGACGCCACACACAATTCACTATTTACACAACCTTGCATTGAAAAACAGACGGGTAAGAGCTTCTGACTTGGCATAAGTGTTATCTATGGACATTGGGGTTTCAGTGACTGATCAGACGGTGCAAAGAAAATTTCATGAAGTCAGCCTCTACATACTGCATCCAAGAAGAAAACCATTGCGCACAAAACTTTGCCAAAAACACAGAAAGAAGCCTGATGAATGTTGGCAGCACATTCTGTTTTCAGACCAAAACTCCAAATAAATTTGCATGGCTCCGATGTGGATGAGCAGGTTTGACGTGGACCTGACCAGGATTACCCCAGTGAGTGCTTAGTGCTGACATGTGGGTGGGAGTTTGCTGATATGGGGCTGCATGAGTGCAAAAAGGTGTAGGGGAGATGACATTTATAGATGGCACTATGAATGCAAGGTGGTTTCCCAAACATTGAATATAAAGATGACTCCCAGTCTCAAGAAACTTGGCAGGAGATGAATTTCAATGACAAGAAAAGTTTGTAAGGAATAGAAAAGTGAAAATTATTGCCAAGAATGTCTCATGACTTGAATACAAAAAAAAAAAGAAGCTGCATCTGTGAAGAACGGCAGAACGGTTTTTCACAGATTTGTGGTATCATCCATCCATGCATCAGTCCTGTCATCAAAAATAAAAGCATAAAATAAAAAAGAATAAATTGAATCTCACTAATGAAGGAGCTTCTTAAATGTGGACTTTTCGTTGTAGTTAAATTCTGTTTTTCAAATAAATTCTCCTCATTCTTCTTGGGCTTTGGCTAAAAACAAATCAAATTGTCTTAAATGGACAGGATTTGAGAATATTTCCGTGATACTGACAAAGGGTGTGCTCAGTGTTGTTGTATCTTGACTCTCACAGTGCTTCTGATGTTTGTATTGTGGTGTTGAAAATACTTCCTTCTTCTATTGTTAGATTTTAGTTCACATTTCCTGTTCAAGCTCAGCATTATGAGATTATTTGAGGGCCTTTATTTCTTGAATTTAGCTTATCTGGCTAAATCAACCATGTAGAACAAGCGGCTCAGCTTAATGTAAAACAAATGTGAGTGACCATGAGCAGCTTTGCTACAGCAAATGGAGGCTATGTCCCTTGCACGCCAGTATACATTTGCTAATCTTCTACACAAATAGAAAATGTTGACTGCCTTCTTTATGCAAATCTTTTCCATCACGGTATGATGAATTAAAAAAAAGAAATGAATATGTTTGTCAATCACAGGTGAAAGTTTACAATGTGGATGAAAACAAACACGGCCCAGACGACGTCCTGGTCATGGGTACAGATGGACTGTGGGACGTAACGACGGACAGGGAAGTGGCAGATGCGGTGTCAGCCTACTTATCCTGCTGTGACCCCTCTGATCCCATGAGGTATGCAGTCTGCCACATAATCCTTTACATTAGGCTTTAGCTCTCGCTATACACTCGGTCATGTGCTGTGTGAACCTGTTCAGGAAAATAACATGAAAGCTGCAGTTTTGTAAATCCACTGTAACATCAGTGGTGTACTGTTGTACTAAGTTTGTCCACTAGGTAGTGACAAATACTTAGCTCTCCTGCTAAATTCTGCTTATAGTTATAGCATTTAATCATCTATAAGCTGTAAATAAACATAAAATAATTAGTTTATAACATGTTACAATGTAGTTTTGAGCAGATATGAGAACATTTTCAAATGTGTAGAAATGTGCAGTTTTTCCAGCAATTATAACTTATCAAGTAGCCATTTTATTAGGTACACCTGTACAATCATAATGGAATACAATACAACTCTTCTGTCATAAAGTCTATTTTTATGATGTGTTATAGTGTTCATTATTGGTTTAAACAATTGTGCAATCAATTAAAAACAAATCAAAAGCCCTTGTATCTGTTTACAACTACATTGTAGTTTCTTATAAGCCATTTTTTATATGTTTATATGTGCTTAAAGTACAGTGTTGCCCTTAGTTACTTTCCACCCTCAACAATGGTGGAAATTTACCACAGGTTCATGTGGTTGAGTGCAGTTTTGAGGTACTTGAACTTTAGTATTTCCATTTTATGCTGCTTTATACATTTACTCCAATGTGTTTCTAAAGAAAATATTGTACTTTGCTACTCAGTTTCAATTATTTTACAGCTTTATTTACTAATTACTTTTCAGATTGAGATTATACATGATATGATGTGACTCTTTACAACAAAGCAGCACCTAATTGGGGCCGCGTGTCAAGTTTGAGATGTTTCTGAATTGTCAGCAGTTCCACTGAAGAGATATTCTAGTGTCGGTACTTTTGCTTAAAGATTCTGAGTATTTGAGTATTTCTTCCACCACTGGAAATGAGTTATTTAATATGAATCTGTATGTGTGTTTGTCTTAAATTATAGTGTGTGTCAGTGTTATAATGACTGTTTCTGTGTTACACAGGTATACACTGGCCGCCCAGGACCTGCTGATGAGGTCTCGAGGGGTGCTGAAAGAGCGTGGTTGGCGGCTACCCAATGACAAACTGGGCTCAGGTGATGACATAACTGTATTTGTCATCCCACTGGCAGGGAGTGAGTCAGAGACATGATGAGGTGTTGCAGCGACCGCTATGACAGAGCTGACTCTTCAGGATCCTTCCCACCGTCCCTCCAAGCTCCCTCAACCCTGGACCGACGGGGCAGCGGGAGATAAAAACACCATCGCTGAGCTGACCTGTTTTCTCATCCGACACATCTCATTGTACCGCTGACTGTGTTAACCTACATGTGACTCATAAAACAAAAGTGAACCGAAATGAACCTTCGTCATAGGGGAGACTCGGGTCTGAGCAGCACCTCCATCAACCACTAGATCAGACTCCGTCCCACTTGCTTCACTTCAACCTAACCCAGGATCCCATCTCCCTTGGTCTCAGTCATGTAACAAAAGATTTTCAGTGACATTATAAGAGAAGTCACAATCTGTGTCTCAGACCTGCTGTTTGTGACAGTTGCCAGTGAGAATTAAATCCTTGTAGTATTTTTGTTCCCTGTTTATGTTCAAGGCTGGACCGCTTCTCAAACTTTTCAACAGATTGTTCATTTTCATGTCATCATCTAAATGTGAGTCTCTTTTGTAAAAAAAAAAAAAAAAAAAAAAAAAAAAAAAAAAAAAAACAACAACAAAAAACAATCATAAATTGCAAAAGGGATTGCAGTAGAGAATGTGAGGAAACCAAAGAGATGCCGGGATGGCATGAGGATGGAAATGTGTAAAAAAAAAAAAAAAAAAAAATTATAATAATAATAATAAATGCATAAAAGATAAAAAAAATAAAACAAAAAAAAAGATTCATGTATGTACATTAAAGAAGCATGGAGGACGTAAAAAAAAAAAAACAGAGGGATGGACCTTTACAGCACTGGACCCACACAGAATCAGTTGAGTCCGTGTTTCCTCTGTTGATGTAATGATGAGTGAATGGCGACGCCTGAGGCACTTGAAGACTGTTGCACATGCTCTTTGGTAGCCTGTTGATTTGTGATATCTTCTTATTGAATGTGCTCATAGATGATTTGCTTTATTTTATGTCATCACAGTGAGGAGAATAGAGGGTTTTACATGTGTTCAGTAAAAGAAAAAAAAAAATGAAGCAACATTTGGACGATTTGTTTCATTTTAGGACGTTTTGTTTGTTTAACCCTCAGAGGAGAAAGTAAATTGTTCTCCATAAATGTGTTGGTATAGTAAGATGTGATAAACTTCACACTTATGCCTTATTAAGAGCCAAGAGGGACTCCAGAGTTTGTTTTTTTTCAGATGCACTAAATTTGATCCTTGTAGAAGTGGCAAAGAACATTGTATGCCCTTAAATGTACCGTATACCTCTTTTGTACCATTTTTGTTATGTCACGTTGTTACTTAGATTATCCATATATTTTTAAAGACAACTTTGGTTGTAAGCAGTATCAGAAGTTTTATTTTTTATGTTTCTATCCATACTTGTTTGTTTAGAAAGATGGTGTGTCCTAGAATTTGAGCTACTAAAATGTGAGGTAGAGGGATGATATGTACCAGTTCAGAAATAAACCAGATTTTTCCCATTTGCTTTGACTGTGTTTATTTACGCTCTATTTCTTCTCAGATGGAAACGAACGAGTCACAACAAATGAGTCAGAATAGTTCAGACAGTCTGTCGCTGACAGTTACACTGTTTGACTATTGGCTTGAAAGTTATAAGCATTATGAGTTAATACTGATACACAGAGTTATCTAAAGCCATAATTAATTTAACAAGAGCAGAAGTTTCCAAAACATGTATTAACTTTAATGAGAGCAAAGTAATCTTCTCCATGAGGCCCTGACCCCTTGTTGACATTAGCTTTACTTTCTCACTGTTTAAATACTAAATGGCTTTTCTTCCCTGAACATATTGAAATTTGATACGTAGATAAGTACTGAAGTGTGGGTGAACGAAATGACTTTATGACAAAATGACCATAAATCCCTTTTGTTACACCAAATAAGTAAATATGTCATGTATTATTTGTTATACAATCTCACTCATAAGGAAATGATTATATACATATTTGTTTATGTGCACTATGTTATCAAAGATGGTGACTCACAGAGGTCTACCAAACTATTCAAAATTAAACTATTCAAAAATCCAAATAGGTTTAGTTGGGATTTAGGGAGATTAGTGCAATATAAAAAGTTTTGTAAACACATGTATAGGACATTAAAAAAAAAAATCCATTGTATTTAAGCATGTTTTCTTGCTGGGGTCTGAGCTTCCGAACAGAAGCAAAGCATCATTTTCCGTAATGGAAGTGTGAGACTTTTCATCATTTTAAAATCATGTTTCGCAGCAATGCTCATAAAATCATGACATCATAAAGTATCAAGCTAATGAAACAATGTTATGTGTGTTTTTTAAACTGTTTAGCAAGTTTCCAGGACAGAGAGTATTAGAGTTAAAGGAACCAGCACCAGCACTTGCATTCATCATGTAAACATCTTGTATAATCCTGGCATCAGTGGAAGAAGTACAGAGATACTTCACTTACAGTGATATCATCATGTAAGAATACACAAGATAAAGTCTTCCATTCAACATTTTACTTATGTAAAAGTAATTAAAGTCTACCAGTAAAGTACTCAAAGACCTCAGCTTTTGTAAAAAAAAATGTACCTTTTCATTAGATCATTGTGTATTATGTTGATTATTGTTATGGAAGCATTAACATATAAACTGTAATTTAATGTAACTGTACTGTTCACCCACACACGTGATTTCAGTTTTGCCCAATTAGACCAAAACTGTGGGGGAGTTCTCAGACTGTGTTTGATTGATCTCCTTCACTCTCCTGTTAGTTTTGTGGTTCAACATATACTTTAATCATTATCTTTTTTTGTGATTTAAATATTCTATCACATTTTCTTCATGGTTTTCTTTACACTCACAGTTTGACAGCAAAGAGTGACAAGAAAACATACAGTAAGATCATCAATGCAAAATTCATATTCATATTCAGCCATGTGACAGTTATCTTAAATAAAACAAATCGAAAGAAGGAACCTTAATCACCCACAATAACTGAAAACACCTGTATGAGACAATGTGGCCTTTAGTTTATGATGATGCATTACATTTTATTAGATGCTCATATGTTTTGTTAGTAAAATCTTTATTTGTAATGTGAACAACATACATGTAGTGGAGTAGAGGAATAAAGTACAATACCTGAGGAAATGTACTCAGCTTTTTCCCACCACTGATCACCAGTCAATAAAAATTATATAGGCCTATCAATATTAATCTTTTTTTGTTGTTTTGATTATATAAATGATTATGTTTGTGTGTGTGGTTGCTAGTCATACTGGGTTATATATGATCTGAGCTGAGAAAAGGCCATGTGCATTCTTCATTATTGTTTGCAGCATTCTTATTTTTGCAGGTCCAGCTGTGTTAATACTGATAAGACACACATCACACAGGTCTACAGCACCACGCTGCAGCCTGCAAAAAGTGACTGCTGACATATGAAATTGCTGGTAGAGGTTTTTTTTTTTGTTTGTTTGTTTGTTTGTTTTTCAGAGGGGCTCACTGGTGAGATCCACACCCATCCCTCCTGTTGCACGAGTCTTCTTGTACTACAGATGATGTCATCTTTGACCGAGGAGGGGAGGAGGGACCTGGGTGACTCCAGCGCCTGCAGCAGCTCCATCAAGTTATATAGAGGTAACCATAACAACACCGGACATGCATGCCTTAGCCTTCAAAATAAGAGTGTAAGCTTTGGACTCACTTTTGGAATGGAAACGGTATTGGAGTGTGTAAAGCAACAAATTGCAGTTGATATAAGAGGAATCGTAACATTCACGTTTGAGTCAGTAAAATCAGCAAGAGACTGGTGTGTCTGTGAGGAACTTTTAGTATGTTTCACTTTTGGACACATATAAATCAGTGATGTCACAGTGGGCGTTTTCCATTGATATCTAATGGAACCACTTCATGTGACATCACTCATCACTGGGTTTTACCCAGAAGTAACATTACATGTTTCAGTGCTAAAAAACAGGTCCGTTTCCTGTCCTCTGTGAGTAACTGCTGATTAATTTTCACACTGATGGCCAGTGACACACCACCAAAGCCAAAAGCCTATATAACTCCATTGTAATCCAAAAAGCACCAAAAACACACACATAAGCCACACAATTTCACTGGGTGACATGTTTCTTCCCTACGGTTCCCTGGGAACCGTAATTTATTTTTACCCACACATCCTGACTAAATGTGTATTGATCCGCTGCAGAAAATAGCTCCCGGCAAATACACTGTTTACCCCTCTTTGAGTGATTTTTGTAAAAACAACAATGCCCAGTTAAAAATATTTAGTATAAAAAAAAATAAAAGTATGTATTTGTGAGACATTTAGGGCTGAAAACCACAGACAGGGTAGAGAAGTCATAACATATTGAAAGACTTTTTACAGACTCAGTAAGAAAAATACTAAGTATCACCAGCCGTATCCATCAAGAGCATGCGTGTCCCTTTTTTTTTATTTTGAAAGTCCCAAACGGAAGTAGCAGCCTGTACGCCTCGCTGGGGTTGTCGCTGGTGTCGGTGGGAGGATCTTGCTCTTGCCTGCCCCGGTTTCCAGCACCCTCTCTGTAAAATTAGCGAATACTGCAGCAAGAAGTGAGTGAGTGTGTGTGTATGTGTGTGTGTGTTTGCCGCGATCAAGAGGAAAGAGCAAGCGGGGATTAATATTTATAAAAACCTCTCATCTGGCTGACGACAGGTAATGGTGAAAACAAAGGCTGTAGTTTGACTGAATATTCTTATTTGACACTAATTATAGCTCTATTACTTGGGTGAGAGAACAAGGTGGTGGCTTGTCCTCGTACTAAAATTCGCCTTTTTCCCGCTTAGGTTTAATAGTTTAATCTGTGACGGTGCGGGGATAGATAATGAAGTGTATCCAGTGTGTTTGTGGTGGGCATGGTGTGTTTCTGTACAACTGTTGATAGCTTCATTGCTGGTAGTTTCAAAGTCAAAGCAGCAGATCAGATCCTGTTGGTATGTACAGTCTGTCCAAGTGCTGCGACCTCAATAAGCAACTCCGCATGGCAAATCTCTTAATGAGCCATTTCTATTCCTGGGAACACTTAATTTCCTCGTTATTAAGACTCCCATTTCTCGTAAGGCGTTGCTTGAACTGCCGACTATGATTTACAAGCACAACAAAAAACATGTGGGGGGATGAGATCTGAGAACCTAAGAGAGTTATTTAGGCTTCATTATGTTTAAGAAAGATGTGAATTTGAGTGCTACTTCAGGTATCATTCACGATTTAATATTCACATAAAATGATAATATATTGTGATCATCCTCCTCAATATGCTCAGATTTATTGGAAAGCTAAAATTCATGTGGCATTCCTGCAATATATATTTGTTGATACACTTGTTGACAGCAAAAAAAAGTGCTGAAACAATTACCTGCAATCTATCACAGTTTTTTTTTTTTTTTTTTTTAACACTTTCGAGAATAGAGTAATTGTTTAAGTAATTTATTAAGGAAAAACGACAAATATTTTCTCAGCTCACAGATTCTCAGATAATAGTATTTACTGCTTTTCTCTGATTTGTGTGTTGGTTGGACAAAACAAGATAGATGAGGATTTGAGAAACTGTGATGGACATTCTCAATTATTTTCTGATATTTTTGCATCAATTAGATTAATCAACGACGATTATAGTTTTAGCCATGAAAACTATTTACAAATGTAATTTCATATGCTCAGAATATGCTAGAAATACATTTCATCATTGTGTGCATCTGTGCGTTTGTGCCTTTGTGTCTGCTCTGCTCTGTGTTGTGGCTGTATATAGTAGGTTTGCAACTCATTTCATTATTGATTAATCTGTAGATTATTTTTCAGTTTATAAAACCTCAAAACAACGGGAAATGGGAAATCTTCAAATAACTTGGGTTGTCCGACTGTAAAATTCAAAGATATTCAAAATAATGATAGAAAACTAAAAACAGCAGCAAATTTGATCAGATGAACCCTCTGAATGTTTGGCATTTTCATTTGGAAAATTATCAAAATGATTATCAATATTGAACATTAATTGGCAGCATCCTTGATAATTAATGATTTGTTCTCATGTTTTTTTGGGGGGGCAAAAATGTTCTTCAGGTTTTTATTTTAGTCCGCTATGATAGTAAAGTGAATATTTGGGTTTTGTCCTGCTGGTCAAAGAAGACGAGCATTTTGAACACGTCACCTTGTGCTGTGGGAAATGATAATTGTAATTTTTCACTATTTTCTGACATTTCTCAATTAATTGGTCGATCATTTTTCAAAATAACCATTAGTTGCAGCCCCAGAGTGTAAAGACCTTGTGCTCTCTCCTGGGGGAACAGAAGTGTCCTCTCAGCCAGCCAGTCAGTCCTTCTAGTCTGCTCATGACCTGAATTATTTTAAAAAGTGAGCCATGAGGTGTCAATTCTCTCAAAGCCATGTGCCGTATCCTCTGCCTCTGCCTAAGAGTTCGGTCATCACGCAACTCTAGTCTCTCGTCTTTCCCTGCTCCCTCTCAACAAGCTTTAAGAGCAAGGGGAACCTGTGAGTGTCTTATCTTATTTAGAAGTTCATGGCTGTTTGACAGAAGACGTGGAGGTGACCAGGATGCAGGTCATTCAGCCGATATGGTGATTAGTCAATCTGTAGTTGTGGCACTCTTCCGATAGGCCCAGCCAAAGTGTTAAGGATACCATGACCACATGAATTTACAGAACTCGTTTGATCTTATTCGTTTTTCCTGCCGAGAGGTAAATGAGAACATCAATACCACACTCAGTGACGGTTAGCTTAGCATGAAGATTGGACACAATGGGAAACGGCTAGGTTGTTTATTCCAGACAAAAACAGAAGAGTAAAGATGACAAGTTGCGGTTTCATGCGGAGTTATGTGTCAGACTACCTTCTGGTCAGGGAGCGGTGACTTCCTGGAGTCTTGTTATTGTGAGGTTGCCAGGAAGTCAGCAGACTCTTCTAAATGCTAAGCTAAGCTAACTGGCTAACTGGTTTTACATTTACCATACAGGCATGAGAGTGGTATCTAGATTCTCATCTAAAAAAGCAAGCATTATTATAATATATATATACTATACTATAATAATATATATATATAGTATTATAGTATTTCCTAAGTATGTCCTAAGACAGTCTCTTTTAAATTACTTTTATATTCAGTTAAGAATCTGAAAAAGTCTTTTCTTTGCATGGATAAATAGGTGGTTGTCCTCAAGAGGCCTTAACAGAAAGATCATAGCTGGTTTTATTTCATGGGCTGCCTCAATGTTAGGACATCTGATCATTTCCAGTGGGTGTACCAGTAAAGTCATGACTCAGTGAGACTAAGGAGCTGGTGTGTTTGTTATATACGCCCAAAGAATGTGAGAAGCTGACCTGATCTGCTGTGTATATTCCTGCTGTTGTGTAAGAGAGCTCAGCACTCACATTTCACTTTTATGCACTTGAGTCCCCAGCTTACTACAGTATACTCAGGAATGCCTAAATTATATAAATGCTTGATGTGAAACAGCATTGGATTTTTTTTGGGCAGTCACTGACTGTCTTGATTCTGCATGTGATCTGTTGTCTGTCGCCTCCTGTCAGATTTAGTCAGATAAGATGTTTTTACATTCGGGTTAAGGTGGTGCAGACAGCTGGTGTCGCAGGCTGTCTGCTCTGTCTCAGCCACGGCCTCTGCCAGTTTATGAACTTTGGCCCATTTCTCAGGCAGATTTGCAGAGGTGAGGCAAATTCTTGCATGCTTTCAGAGCTAAGGGCTTCTTTCTTCCTGTTAGCTTGTGTGTCTTAAGGAAAAGAATAGGGAAAAAACACTAATTCCCTCTTAGAAATGAGTTGTGGTTGTGTTGCCGAAGATGCCGGAGAGCATTTTCTATAAAATTCATGTCACTGAAGGATATTAAAAGTCATTTTTTATTCTCTTAGTAAAGTAAGTTTTATGTTGTTCCATGCAGATTCAGAATTCAAAATCCATCCTTGCTTTTATTACTCTGTTAGTTATGAAGCCTTTATCTACAGAGTTCAACTGAGCTCCTTGAAACAAACAAACAAACTAGGGAATTACTTTTCAATATTGATACCAGCTGATCTGTACCTTAGTCTATTGTAGTATATCAAAGAAATAGGTGCAGCCCTGTGAAGCCTGTTGGACGAGCAAAGCAATCCTTCTCGGACTCACTTCCTGTTTTATGTTTGCTAGTTTGCAGAACCTCAGAGCAAGAAAAAAAAAAGTCATTATTATCATTATGTCAGAAACAACAGGCCTGTTATTGGTTGGCAGATTGATGTATTTTCAGCATTTTTGTTGATAATAAACTCATATAAGGATTGAAAGGCAGCTCCACCTCACCGGCCCGGGTCACGCTCTGCTCTGAGCTAACTCTGCTCAGCTTGTTGCATAACTCCTGTTGGCCCCTAAGCCTCAGGAAACCTCCTTAAAGAAAGAGAGAGGTCGTGTGTTCATTAACCAGGGGCATTGCTCAAATAGTTGTAGGAGGAATTGGTGCTTTGCTTTACTATGCATTTTAATGGCCCCAATGTTGTTCTTGGATCAAGTTCATATGTGTCTAAGAGTGTTCACTTTACACTTTGTCCGGGAACACTTACTGCAGAGGCTTCCATACTTTCCTTCTACTAGTTAACTTTTGGTCTGGAACTCACTACTTTTTTCATTATGAATTAATCTGAATTACTTTTACGATTAGGTTTAGTTACTAAAGCACCCAAAAATAGTGAAAAATGTTACAGCTTTCAAGTTTGACATCTTAAATTCACTTATTTTGTCGACCAACAGTTTAAAATCCTAAAGTATTACATTTGTGATGATAACAAATCATCATAATTTACTATATGTGTATATACTAATATGTGTCAACTGACCGTATTGCAACAAAAGTTGAGCCTGGTTGAAATTTTTTGCTGTAACAGCATTACATTCACTGCAACTGTCCCCCTTCAGATGAATGTAGGAGCAGCGTTTTGTTTACACAGAGATAAACTCAGGCTGAACACCTTTAACAATTCTTATTCCAAAGGGTCACGAGCCTAAAAGGTGGAAAACACTGCTTAAAGAATGTGAGGACAGAAATACTAATAGATCATCAATAGAAATAGGCTCCTATCACTGTAATATTATTATATTACACTGTAATATATATATATATATATATATATATATATATATTTGTTCTCTGGCTTCTGTTAAAACTTAGCTTTTATGAAAATAAATACGACCTTGGCTAAAAGACCGGTCAACGGCAGTTCAGTCAGTTCAGTGTTATTCAGTGTTATTTTGTTAACTTTGCTTACAGTACGTCTCTTTGATGTGTCAACCTGCGTGTAACACAGTGTTCCCGTCGCGCAGTTACAGTCGCTCTTCCATCAACCTCAGCACGACTGAAGGCTTTATGAATATGTTGTACCATATCTCCCTGCAGCAGTGGCAACATCTCAGTTGTGTTGTGTAGAATCACAGTGATAGGTAAATGAAAACGTCGGCACCCTGAGCCGATTGATGTTTGTGTGGAACCGACAGAATGATGTCGAGCTGTTTCTGCTTTTGTCGTGGTTTCCAAGAGTTCGCTTAATCTCTCAGTGACACCTTCGCTTTCGTTCAATAGTGTGCAGGGTCAAAGGTGGGCCAGCTGATACTGGCTGATTGCATGTAGGTGGTTCCCATTCACATGTTATATTGAATCAGCGTGAGCTCAGGCTTTGATCTGAATGTGGAGAGGATGAATGGTGGTTGAAGATGAATAGATTTGATCGTGAAATCGTTTGCTGCTGGCAACCACCTAAACTTTCTCTTCAGTATGTTGCTGCCATTAGTTTCCATTAGTGCCTAAATTGAGGGTATCAGTCATGGGTAGCTGGAGTATTCGGCACAGTTCGTGACTATATGGGACATTTTCACGCATAATTTCCCTTTGCCAATGTGTCAAGATGTTCCTTCATCGGCTCCCAATATCACTGCCACCAAGGACAAGCTATGATTGTGGTGTGCAAAGAGAGGGGCTGTGTGCATGTGTGGGTATTGTGTGAGTAAGCATGCGTGCATGTGTTGCGTTGCCTCTGGCAGCCCTCTCTGTGTCCCGGCTCTGCTGAGGCCTGTCCAAACAGAACGGCAGCCAAAAGCTCCTCCCAAGCTTCACAGAACAGGAAGTGGATTGTTTTGTTTCACAGGGTGAGCCTCTGAGGCCGCGGCGCTGCTGTCTCCCACTTGTTTGGCTTTGAACCCATCATCTAGTTCAAGCTATCTCTGGTCCAGTTCTCTGGAAAGCACAAGATACAGTGCAGTTTCTGTGGAGTCAGTATTCATCCCAGTGTCAAACCCATCTGAAGAAGGACAGAGGAAGCGGTCTTTGTTCTCACATATTCCGTTTTTTTGTCTAATAAAATCTCATGAGTAAAAGCATTTGCAGCTGAAGTGTATGATAATTTTTGATCGTCATTTACAGAATACTCAGTCCATTTACCCACTTGTCTTTCCTTACATTTTGAATATGTAGGAATAAAAGAAGTGAGCACACTACCACTATTTGCTGCAGTGTCCTAATTCAAAGTCAGGCCTTTGGCACCTCTTGGCAAATCCTCGTTGCAGCTGTAACACAGTACATTGCACCAGAAGGAGTGGGATTTTGGGCAAAACGCAGAACATATAATTAAATCGTGATCACAATTTCTGCAAGAAGGAGAGAGTAACCAAGATGCTAATAAAACAAGCAAACGCACCCAAAATTTCCAATATGGCTACTGGTTATGCCAAGTCTTAATACCCATGGAAATACAGCTGGGTAATAATTTCCTCTCTTGTGTACATTTTTTTTCTTTTCACTCATTCCAGTGTTTCTTTGCTCACTTTGCATCTCAATCCTGTTCATGGAAACAGTGGAAACAGCATACTGATCAAGCCTATCATTTCAGTGATTAGTTAAGATGACGATTGAGATAATAATTTTGCACATATCCCTCAGCCCTGAGTGGAAGAAATTATTTTTAATGAGCCATTTAGATGAAACCGGTGACGCTAATCCACTGATCTGTTACAGTACCAAATCACTAATAGTTTGACTAATAACTTCAGGCCTCATTCGTGATGATTGTTGGCGGTTTGATGCTACTCGATGAAACGACTGGTGTTGCCATGCATCCAAGCAGAGATTAAAAATGGGCATTAGGGCAGATTCGACTCAGTGTTTTGCCCGCAGCTCTAAAAGATGAATTCCCCCTGATAAGTGGGTGCCCTCGTGAAGAGGATGGCTGTCAAGACTGTCTGGCAGAAAGTAGATGAGGTGAGGAGCCAAATGACTATATGCACAGCTGCTCCCAGGCAGCAGGGCTCCAGCTCATCCATCAGCAGCACTGCTAACTCATCCCCACTCATCCTGCTCCAGCTAAACTAGCCTTCCACTCTGGGGTTATTGCAGAAATCTTTCTTGGTTCACTGTGTTTTTTTGCACAGTGAAATTCTTGCATGTTTTTTGTTTTTTTTTTCCTCTACAACATGCTCGCAACTCTCTAAACCCCATGTGAGAAATTTCACTTTACCACTGGCACAACATATGGGCCGACAGGTTTAGCTCTAATTTTGAGATAATTATGATATTATGCTACTATCAAAGTGTTCCTGAAGAGAACTGAAAAATCATAAACAGAGATCAAAAGCAGAGTGTTTTAGGACACCACTAAGTACTTCACCAGCTGCTCTGATTTCGTGGACACTCTCTTTTGCACACAAGTTGCAGAGGGAAACAAACAGGGTGGAGCAGGAACCTGATAGTACATTACTTCATGTCCCAGCTTGTCTCATCACCCCTCCTCTTTCTCCTCTCTCTCACTCCACTACCTTCCTCCTCCTCCTCCTCCTCCTCCTCCTCCTCCTCCTCCGTCCGTCCTGTAGCTTTGTAGTTTAGACTTGGCACTAGGGATTCAAGGTCTGTGACTGCAGTTGTCTGTGACAACGTGCGGATCACAGAGCACACTCCCTCAGGTGTAGTGTGATGCAGTACTGTCAGTCAGAGATGTCAGAGCGGTTGTTTTGGAGCCGCACAGCATGAGCAGACAAAGTTTTTGCTCAACGTTATGTTTTTGATTTGTCTTGTGATCTTGCGATCTCTACAAATAATTTAAATATCTGTAGTGCAGATGCACAAACAGATGACAAAAGTGTGACTGTGTTGCTCGGCCCATTTGTTCCGCATGACAGATTAAATCTCCCTTAACAGCAAAAAAAAAGTTTCTTTCTCCTCTTGTGGTTCTGCTGATAAATCTGGCTCTCAGCAGCCTTTCTTTCTTTTCTTTTCTTTTTTTTTTGAATGTCTGTTTGTGATGAATCCTTGTAAAGACGTTCTTCTTGTTTCCCGACAGAGATGGCAGCCATTCGGAAGAAGCTGGTGATTGTCGGGGATGGAGCTTGTGGAAAAACATGTCTCCTAATTGTTTTCAGTAAAGATCAGTTTCCTGAAGTCTACGTCCCGACAGTGTTTGAGAACTACATCGCTGATATCGAGGTTGATGGAAAGCAGGTTTGTACATTTGACATCAGGCACATAGAAAGTCCTTCAGTTTGTGTTATAATCCAACAGTGTACTCAAAGTAATATTAGGAAAGTCCCGCCCCTCTTTAGGGAATGTTGCTACCCCTGTCGAGCTTTCTGTTTCTGTTTTTGTTTTTAAAATTAGGAATCCTGTAACAGGGCCCTTGGTGCCTACATTTATCAAGGCTGAAGCTGAAGCTGCATGTCACAAGCAAAAAAAAAAATCAGCATCTTTACCAGTTGGTGATACATGGAGAAGATACAGCGAGAGCATTGGTCTTCTTTTATTGAAGTGTAGAGCTAGGTCTTTCCACTATTATAACTATCATGAGGAATAATGCAAGATCAGACTGTTTTATTCTAACATTGTTTCGCCTCTTAGGTTAGATACTCGAACAAGAAAGAGGTTAGCTTCATACTTGATTGTTTGGATTTTCCAATAAAGAGCAGGACAGAGACGTTAACATTAATCTCACACAGTGGATGTAGTACTGTGAGAGAGGCTTTTTAAAAATATTACCTGTAACCCCATGAAATAATGTAGTATGAAAGGCTCTTTGGAGTGAGATGTAAAGCTACGTTAGGTAACAAATGTAGGTAGTTAAATAGTTAGCCTGACATGCTAACCTTTGTTTGCTAACCTAGAGCACCTTTGTTGTTGTATTTTTGGTTCTGTAAAAGCTAAAAAAAAAAACAGCCTTCCTTTACATTTAACATTTAATTGACAGATTATCGCTCATACTACAGCCCCATGCACACGTCTAAAACATGGAGCAGTCCGAAGCTTGACAGACCTGCCATGCTAGTGATTGGATCATCACTGTTTGGGGGCAGGGTTCGGTCAGTTACATGTGCTCTGCCCGAAGTCGCTCCCTCGTTCACTGACTCACTTCTTTTGATGTAACAACCTCAGTGGTTCACTGTAGTAAGTGTTAAACTGAGAAGTGGGACACTTATTAATCATCATCGCTCACAGGTGTAGAGTCTTGTTCCACCGTGGGATTTTGTGTGGGCACTATTGACCTTATGTGGCCCATTGATTTCTGCAGTTTGTTCCATTTCTAGTTTTGTTTTGTAACTACCAACGTCACAACTGCCAGATGTATTAAACTCAAGTTGAAAGTCTCAGAGAGGGGAACACACATCCACAACAAGCAGGCTACCTCCGCATGTGTGGCAGTGGTGCATTAGCTTGATGTTTCTGTGGTGAAAAACTGCAAGAACATTGATCCATAGCTTATCAGAAAACGGATCATGCAGGTTGCTGTTAATTACAACTATATTCGCATTTGTCACAATCACCCAATCACCTGCTGATTTTTGCTTTGTTGGTCTGGAAGCTGATTTATAAATATGTATCATCCAACTATACATAATATATATTTTTATTGATAAAACATGAAGAAGTCTGTGTCTTAAAAACTGGACTGTGTGTAATAGTTTTGAACGGCCAGATGCAGACAACGCATTGGCGATGTGAGTCAGAGCACCTTCTTATTCCTGAAGCGCATCATTTCAAATATAATACATAAATTTCACACTCAGAATTTGGACACATATATAGACGCACAGATAAAATGGTAGAGGGTAAATAAAGTGCGTTGTATAACAAATAGGGAGTGGTTTCAGACAGAGACAGAGTTATTAAACCAACTACATTTAAGTCTGACTCCCGAGGGTGCCTGACGTCTTGCATTTGAGTCGCAGGGAGTTGCCAGCGATGGTCGGGTCTGAGCTGCAGATGGTTTGTTATGTCAAAGGGTTTTGTTCTCTTGAGCTGACCACCGCTGCAGGATCACCACTTGGCAAAACAGGAAATGACTCTACTTCCTAGCTTCCTGTTCAGACAGGGAACAGGGATGTCTCCTGGCAATCCCCCTCCTTCCCTCAGGACCCTTCTCCTGCCCGATAAACGTCTCTCATTTCCTGTCCTGGTAGCACTAAGTTGGGGGGAAGCAAGGAGGGGTCAACCGTTGTGTTCTGGACAGGAAATATAAACTTGGGGTTTCAAGTAGGACATCGGTCCAGGGGACAAAGATATGACTGTCGGCTTCTTTGGTTATTCCCCCCTCCAACTCTCTAGAGGAAGGCTGTCCCATAAGAATTAGAACATTATACAACCAGCTGGATTAGATTGGTGATCTCAGCCCCTTAATTAGAGTTTTTACCCCCCTTGAAGGTAAAAGACTTTCTCTTTTCCCCCACCTTCAGTGAATTGAGCAGTTTCTAAAAATAGCATTTTTTTTCCCTCTTTCTTTTCCTCCCCAAAGTCTGCAGTTTTACACAAGTCCAGTGGGAACATGACTGCTCCGGTTGCTCATGCAGCCTCAACAGTGTGCAGCCACCTCCCACCCTCTCTGCCTCTGCAAACTTCTATTTTTGGGATAGTTGACTGATGCATGTTCCCGTTGTGGGCATACCATAATCTATTGTCATGCAGTAGTTCCAGTATTCAAAAGTTTGCAGAAGTTTTTCTCCCCCCTGAACACAGTGAGTCAGCTCAAGAGCGGAGTCGAGCGAAAGCTGGCTGCTAATGCCTGTACAGGGACAGAAGGTATCTGGTTTGATGCTCACTAATCTCCCACTTTCCCTAATTGAATTAATCAGTGGTGTGATGGGATGAGGCCAGTCCCCAAGTTCATTACCACAAAACTGGCAACATAACAGACTCATGAAGCTCTGATTAGGTCAGAGCTTCAGCGGTGATAAGAAGCAAATATCTGTACACTGAGTTTCTCACACACAAGGAAAGCAGCTTAAGTAAAACATACAAATCATATGTTATTGTCAAAATGGAAGGTATGTCTGGCCAGAGGAGAAAAATGCCCCCCAGGTTAATTGATCTAAACATCATTTACTTCCTGGTGTTTAAAGCATTGCCCTTTGGGAAAATTACTGCCTCAAGGTTCATACATCATCTTCCAACTAGTCACAGCTCTCAGTGGATAAGGAAAGAAATGTCATCACTAATGATGTCGTGACTGGTTAAGTGTTTGTCTATTCATCTGGAACAGTGAGCAACATTACATTAGCTCTGGGTAAACAGCTGATTTTTATATTGGCCCTGAAGGCAGGGTTCTGTTACAAAACTGTTGAAAATGACACGAATGATTCAATCATGGAGAGAGTAAGGAGTAAAAACCAAGAATTATACACATTCATTTGCCATATACATATATATATATATTTGTGTGTGTATTTTCCATGTTTTACATAGTGTTTCTTTTGCGTTGTCCCAGGTGGAGCTGGCACTGTGGGATACCGCAGGCCAAGAGGACTACGACAGGCTGAGGCCTCTCTCTTACCCCGACACAGATGTCATCCTCATGTGCTTCTCCATCGACAGCCCTGACAGTTTAGGTAAGGAGCCACAGGCATACAGTAGCCTGTTTTAAAATGTTTCATTTGTATAACCTTTACTTACACATCTAAATTTGATAAACCTAGCTAAGATGGCAGCAGCACAGAGAGTTTACAGCCTGTGGTAGATACACAGTATGACAGACTGTAAAAAACCCTAACTTAAACTGTATAAAAGTGATATTTTGTTGCCATAGAATCAAGGCAGTTCATATTAGCTAAGCATGCTGTTTGTTAAATGCCTTAATGGACTTGATGGGAAGCAGGATTAGTGCAGCTAAAAACATCTTTGCCTCGAGCAGTCTGCAGAGCAATCCATCATGTGAAGTGTTCCACAGGGTGACTCTGCACTGCCTGTCCCCTTTTTATAGTCACCCTCCCTCTTGAGCATTTCAGCTGACTTCTCTTCTCTCCCGGGACAGAAAATATTCCTGAGAAGTGGACGCCTGAGGTGAAGCACTTCTGTCCCAATGTTCCCATCATCCTGGTGGGGAACAAGAAGGACCTGAGGAACGATGAGCACACACGGAGAGAGCTGGCCAAGATGAAGCAGGTACGAAATCATCTGGAGGTCAATGAACTCTGGAGTGGGGTAATCAGGAGCAAGTAGGCACCTCTTCAATACTCAGGGACCAGACGCCTGAGAAAAAATATGCAGGGGTGAAACATATCATGAGGCTCAATGTGTGAGTTTCCTTCTGAATTATTAATGCCCATATTCATGACCTTTTAAATATGACTTTGGTAGGTGTCGAGACCCGAAGCAGCACTGTGTAGGAGGTGGAAGATGTTGCCTTCAGTTACTTGTGAGACAAAAAAAAAAAACAACTCACAAATCACTGCAGTCATTTGCAAACACTGCTTCCATGCACAACAGTAGACCTGCCCCATTCATATTACAAACATCTACCAGGAATGTGCGCTTGCTTATATTACATTGGCTGATGCAGTGCATTGACGGATTACGTTGCATTATGTTGTGGCAGAAGTTGACCCAGGTTCAGCTTTTTTGCCAGACCGCTCTACTTTTTTTTTTTTTTTTTTTTTTTTTTCCCCCAACCCCTACTGTGGTTTCATTGCAGTGAATGAGGGAGCTGTGCCTTTGTCTTTTCCATGCAGTGCTATTGTCTGTCTGAACTGGGCCTTATGTTTAGACGTGTACAGTTGTCAAACATAAAGAAAAAAAAAAAGAGAGATGATACAATTCTCCAACATTTTGCCAGATGGGAGGGATTTTCAATCTGTGCGACATGCAACACCCTTAGACTCTCAATTTGGAAGATGACACTACAAACCTTTTGATGGGATGGGGTAAAAACAGGAAGAAGTTAGGAAAGGGATCTCTCCTCCAGGACAGACAGACATGCAATAGATGCTGTGTATGAAGAGTTACAATATAGAAATTACAATATAGAGAAGCAAAATATTCAATATTCAATATTAGGCACATAAAGTGCAAACATAAATAAAAATATGGATCATCGAGGATTTAAAGGAATTAATTTAAAATTAGTTAAAAATGAAATAGAACATAGATAGAAATGAAAGCCCTTACGATCTCCATTTAAAAAGCCATGTTTTTGTGCCATTGAAAGTTATCTTGCTTACGCAGTCTGAAAAGGCTGTCACTGGCCTTTCAGTCATACTACAATGACAGCAGCATATTGGTTTACTGTGTCGCAGAATAGCACGTCGTGCCTCTACGGCCCACTCTCTGTCTGTCTCCAGGTCCAGCTCATAATAGGAACATGTTGACAAAGCTCTCCAGCTCTTTCAGACGCCACTGTCAGCTTTTCCTTTTTGTAGAAATCAGGAACTGTTGTGACAAAGAGTAGCACTAAGTCATCAGTTCAAGCTTTTCAGATGTACGTGGTCAACAGACGTTGTGGGCTCGACATGTTCAAGCCATGATGTTGCTGGTAGGGTTTATTAAGTAGTCTTCCTGAGGCTCTGATTCCAAGTTTTCATCTGTTTGATAGTCGTTTCGGGACGGTGTAGAAACACAGGTACATCAAATTCGGCTTACTTGGTTTTAGAAGGGACTGTACAAAAATGATTGTGGTGGGGAGTTGAACTGAACATTACGTTTAAGGCTCCAACTAACAGTTACTTTCATTATCGATTAATCTGCTGATTATTTTCTCTAGGAACTATTTAGCCAATAAAATGTAAAAAAAATAAAATAAAATAAAAAATACAAACCGCCAAGTTGCACAATGGAAATACAGTTAGCAACTGAATATTCCTGTCATTCTTTATTTTTGAGCCAAAAGCTGTCACTGTCACTTTGTATGACACATCTTACTTTACCGCTGCTATCTGTTTTGGTTTTCTGCAAATTATAAGGTTTAATATAACTACATTGAATATTTTCAGACCAATAAAAGGTCAAAACATCACTAAATTTGGCAGAATTATAAAAGCCAAATGTGGTACTAAATGAAGAGCCGTTTAATATAATAATCCCCGATAATCCTTCATCTTTTTTGAATGCTCCCCTCACTGCTAATAATTTTCTCAATGTCTAACCACGCAGGAGCCGGTGAAGACAGAAGAAGGCAGAGACATGGCCGGCAGGATCAGTGCTTTCGGCTACTTGGAGTGCTCTGCCAAGACCAAGGACGGCGTGCGGGAAGTGTTCGAGATGGCCACTAGAGCGGCGCTGCAGGTCCGCAAGCGCAAGAAGAGAAGCGGCTGCGCACTGCTGTGAGCTGTTCAAACACCGTAAAATCAACTGACCAACAGGAAGAAAAACAAAACACATGAAAAAGGACTGACCTTTTACCAAATGGCATCTTCGTACTGTATCTCGAATTCCACGATAACAGGCAGACAGATGAAATGAACGCAAACACACCTAATACAGGAAAATGGACTTTGTCATTATTACAGCTGTGGTTAGAAATTGATGTTTAAAGTTCCTTGTTGATTTTGCATTTTTTTTCCGAAAGCTGTCTATACACATAGAATGTTTTCCAACTTGTTTTTTCTTTATATTTGTAATGTAATGAGGCAGTGATAGATGCACATATTTGTATGCAACATTGTTCTTCACAAGCTCGGGCGAGCAACATCCTTTCTTAGCTTGTATAAAGTCTTCATGAATAAGGTCTTGTCCAAACTGTCCAGACTGTCACGTTAGTATCAGTTCTGTTTATCATGGTAGCAGTCATGATAGAAAGTGAAAGTTGATATCTTTTGACCATAAGCGCTAGTGCCTTTTTTTTTTCTTTTTTTCTGTGAAGTTTGTACGTCACCATCTACTTCTCATGTTTGTCAGCTAGTTAACATTTCAGCTGAGGGCCTCTCCATTGTACTGTAGCTCATTTTACATGGTGATGTCATTGTGAAACCCAAGCAAAGCCATAACTAAGGCTTTCAGTGCCGTTGACAACTCATCAAGCACAACAAATGGTTGCTTGTGTCATTTTTTTTTTTTGTCAGCGTTCCCTCGACATTCTCCATTTCCAGTCCACTCACACCGAGGATAAAGACGGTAGCTGTCTCTGTAATGTGATGACGGTCAACGAAGTAGTGAGTTCCCGAACTTCTGTATGAGATCTGATTATTCGCATGCATCCCCTCATAACTTGTTGCTTATCTGTGCAGTGGACCTTGATGTCGGGATGAGAACCGGCCAATTGAGACACAAGCCAATATGACTCAACTATGCACAATAGCTGTTAGGAGCAACAGGGAAATGACACAGCTGAAACAGGAATCACATGGAGGCAAAGGTCTGGTGAAACCTCCCTTGTTTGTTTATTGCGGGTGAGCGAGTTCAGCTCTTCATCTGCTACAATGCAAAGGAGCCGGTCACGCCCACTGTAGGAATCTGTGTGTTGGACGGGTCGGCCCAGTCATGGAGCTGATGTCTTGTTAGAGCTGTTAGCCTGTTGCGTGTGGATGATTCCAGTCGGATGACATTCTTTACATGTTTTAGTGGAGCTGAGTTGTGTGTGAGGAGTTTGTCCCCCCTCCTCCCGGTGCCTTCTCTGGTCTGGTGTGCCTTTGGTTGTTCTCTCCCAGACCAGATAGACCAGCTGCACTATGCCAACCTGATACTGACTGACGAGGTCCAAGAGTGACCTTTCTGAAATGTGTCACAAAGCTCAGATGTTTGGATGGCTTGAAAAATAGCAAAAAATGTAATTAGTTTGCTGAAGTGTATTCCCTCACAACATAAATTTTATGTATTAATATCTTTAAATGCAGTGTCATCTTTATTATCTTGGCAGGTGAGCTTGATTGCGCCAATTTACATCATGCAGTTTTGCATTGAGAGGGAATCATGGGAAAATTACAAAACTTGTAACATTACATATCTCACCAGAATCACTGGGAAAACATCTGTCTGCAGCCAGAGAGATGCTCTTTGATGTTTCAGAGTTGGCTATTGCTGTTAGTTTTCAGAAATCAACTGCGGCTAGATGGAAATCGGGCTCATTGGTCTGTCTTGATTTTGATCAGTGTTTTGATCAGACCTCCGTTTCCTGGCAAATGAAGCATTTGATATTTTATGTCGCAAGTCAAAGGAGCAGAAGATCGTTAAGGGGCTTACACTGAACTACACTTGTTGCAGCTTTTGCTCCCGTCTCCTCTCAGAACATTCGATTGTGAACGTGAACTGAAAATACAACGGCTTGATATAGAACGCTTTAAAAGGCCCCAGCGACTGTCCTCAGGCACAGACTCTTCACTGCATTCCTTTTCTCCGCCTCTGTTGCTCTTTCATGTACTGCACATTCCCTTGGTTGCATGTTGCTGTCAGTGAGGAGGAGGGCGGATGTTGATATGTGTGTGGCTAAACAATATCTTTGATGTTGCATGAAACCTCTGTACAATGCCAGGATGGGAACCAAACCTACTGGCTGGCAAGGTCTTTATCTATTATAATGTAATGCATCTTTATTACCCTCTATTGGCCAAGCACATATGCTTTAACTGAGTGATCCAGTGGAAGAGCTAAAACTTATAGAATTAGTTGTATTTTCCACGGCTCAGCTGAGGTGTAGATGTGAATATTTTTTTTGTTTTTTGTTTTTGAAGAGGAAGAAGAGAGGGGGGCATTGATTACAATCACACACAAGCACCATATTAATGTTGTTACCTCAACTCTTTGTAGGGCGGACGCTATGTTTTAACTCTGGACCTTATGCATTATTGTGGACAACAAATAGCACACACACACACACACTAATAAGTTAAGATTAAACAGATTCATATCCTTTACGACTAAATGTTTCTAGCAATGAAAACAAAAGCCTTGAGTTATGCGCTTCACAGTTGTGGCATGATGTTCAAATTCTTGGGAATTAGAGGTCGGCACAGATAATCGAATAACTTTCACAGCTGGAAGCGCAACATGATGATGAAAGCATTCCCCTAGAGCGGCAGAGGTTCTAGTGTTGAACATATCACAAAGAGCATGTACTATACAGCTGTTAATGTGTATGCAGATAATATTGCGCTATATCAAAAGTTGTCCTTATGATGTTGATGCATGCATGAGATAACCATGGGTCTTACAACAAATAGCACACACATACAGGCACACACACACACGCACACACGCACACATGCACACACGCAGCACATGTCTTCGGGAACAGCTTCTGCTCAGTGTTGTGTAACTTTTTCTTTCTCTGGAAGTATTTGAAATTATAAAGGATCCAGATTTCTATAAAAGCTCATTGTAATAATGCTTTGTAAACAGAAAAGTGTTGTAGTGAATGTTTGATCTGAAGTGAACATGAACATTGTTATTAATAAACTATTTTTGAGACAAGACCGACTCGCCATCCCTGGTCGATTCTTGTAGAAAACTACAGACATCAGATGTGGTTTCCAGCCACTAGAAGGTGATGATTCATCAATGGGAGGGTTAGTCAGTTAGTCAGACAGTGTGCAATACAATGTGGTTCTTAAATTAAACAGTTTATTTATTCAGTCCGCCACTGCTATCAGAAAGGAAAAAAGTTAGTTAAAAAGAGACTCACTTGTTCAGTGCAAAACAGCAGTAAGACAAACAAACAAATTCCTGAGATTTAATGTTCGGCTCTTAATTTTCTAAATGCAGAAATGATTTGCTCGTGCGCAGCGATGTTCAGGCTAATCCAACCTGCTGTAAGCTGCAGCTTTATTTAAAGACACTGAAGAGAGAAAGTGAAAAGTCAAGACAACCAAAGATTCACTGGTTCACTTTGGCATTGTCATCAAAAACAGAGCAGTGTTTACCGCACCAAAAATATGCAAATTGCTCTTAGAATAGTTCATAAAAAGGATAATCTTAAACAAGCGCTCAAAGAGAGGAAACATGAAATACTTCATGTACTTATATCTAATAGTCTTTCGAGTGATTTCACTGCTAATAGTTTTGTGTTGGTTGTTTAAGGGGATTTTAGTGCTCATTTTTCCACTCTGGGTCCACATGCTGCTGGAGGGGACTCTCCTCTGCTACAGGACCTGAGACAAATACAGAAAGTCACAAAAGTTCAGTTTCCCACGAGCAGGAAATTTCATGGCTGCTTTGTGCAAGTGATATTAGCCTGAATAAATGTTTTGTTCACATGCAATTGCTAACTTGTTACTATCTCAGCTGTAGCTAGTTATGATCCAGGCAAGCACAGGACTTCACTTGAGGCAATTTGTGTCAGTTTCATCAAGTGTATAGATGCACTAACTTTCAGAGTCCACGCTGATTTTCAGGGTTGCCAGTCTCGACACAAAATCGTCTTCCTCTTCTGTGTCTTTTAAGTCAAATCCTGTGTAACCCTTCCTTTCCACACAGTAGCTGATGAACCTGCAAATTAAAAAACACAAATTAAGTAAACAAACAAACAACAAATTAAAGAGCGAAACCGTGCGACACAATCAAAAGGACTTAACAGACCTTCTGGTGAAACTGTTCTGTCGAGTGCCGTTTCCAAGGTCAAGAATACACTTTCAGTTTGAAAAATCACATCACATTCGAACACAAGGCTCTTAACTCAGCGTCTGCAGCTGAAAGAATCCTCTTTATGTCTCCTAATGCTGACATAAAGAGGATTCTTTATGCGGCCAGCACTTACTTCTCCCAGGTGGAGTCCTTGTTGAGGATCACCGGGTTTCCCACAACGACCAACAGAGACCTGGCTCTTGTCACGGCCACATTGAACCTCTGCAGAGTAGATACATACATAGAAATAGAGAAATTAATAAGCTGCTTTGACGACAAACATATTAAAAGATTCTCGTGGTTTCAATAGGGCTGCGACAGACCTTTTCATTTGACAAGAATCCAATGTTGAAGTCTTTGTCCATCCTGACATAGTTGACGCTGCTGCGGACAGTGGAAATCATAATGATCTTCCTCTCTTGTCCCTGAAACTCCTCCACAGACCCCACCTGATGGAGTCAAGAGAAATGTTGTGCAGCCAGTTTAGGAGAGAGAATTTTTTCTCAATTTTTAAAAATTATATAATTATTATAATTATTTACAGCAGTATTACTAACCTTGAGCTCTTTCAGATCACTCCATTGACTCAGCGCTGAGACAGACTTCAGGGCTTTTTGGATTTTCTCAACCTGTTAGAAAAGTGATCATGTTACCAGTGACAAGTTAAAACTTCGCTCCTCATCTCTAAAATGCGTAAACGAACGCCCTGCAGGCTCACTTGTTTCCTGTAGGGGGCGATTATTCCGATGTCTTTTGCAGAGAGTTTAGGGAGGCCTTTCTTTCCTTGGGTTTCCATCAGCTTGGTGAGGTAGTCGACCAGAACTTCAATCTCAGACACGTTGAAGAAAGACGGACTGTTGGCCTCTCTCTCGTCTTTCCCAATCACCCCGTGGAAGATCACTGGGAAACCCTGTAGTGATGTAGGAGTGAGCAGTTGTCAGTTAATCATGTTATCCCTGTGGTTTACATGCTCTTTAATGACCTGTGTATTTTGTTTACGCCACATCCTGTTTAGTTTTTGTTGTTGCTCACTTTTGGCTTTTGTCTCATGCTTGATTGTCATCCTAAAAGAAGCGTTCCTCTTTAAACCGCCCTCCCAGAACTTATGAGAGTTTAGATTTTTTCATGCAGTTTCATTTTTGCCCTTTTTTTTCATTCCCAAATTAGATTTCTTTTCCCTAATGAGATCTAATTTGTCCTAATAATATTTATCTTGTTCCCTGTGCAACTCTGAAGCTGGTTACTGTCTTCAGTTCATTTAGATAATGAGTGCTGATGCTTTATGACACTAATCATAATTACAGGGACACTCATGCGATTTAGTATTGCACTTCCATAAAGTTGGGGGACTTCGGACAAGAAATATGGTCAAGCATTGGTGGAGCAGAGGCAGAGATATCCTGGTATGAGTCAAACTCCAAAAACCCTGGATCCTACATGTCCTACAGTGAAACTCAATAAATGGTAAATAGACTTTTCTATTCTTATCAACCACTCCTGCCACATTCACCCTACTCACACACATGGGAATAACATGGGATACATGGGATTCAGTATCTTGCCCAAGGACACTTCACCATGCGGACTGGAGGAGTCAGGGATCAAACGACCTTCTGATTAGTAGATGACCCCAACCCACTCTACCTCCTGAGCCACAGCTTCTTATAGCGTCCCCTTAAAAGGATGCACCACTAAACTGAAGTTGGTCATAAATATGTAAGCCACAGACATGTTATGTGGAGCTGCTGTAAGATGCACTCTTCAGAAATCTTTGCTGTGTGAATCAGGATGATTTAGGTCTTGAGATAATTTCTGAATTTTTGAAAAATTAAAAAAACAAACCTTTTTGGGGAGGTATTCCCAGTTGCAGAACGCCTCACGGTCAACCTGGTCAGCAAACACCTGCAGTTCGTTCTCATAGAAAAGCTGGTTGGGGATTTTCAGAATGGCAGGATGAGACCTGAGTAAGAAGGAGAAAAGAAAAGGCTGAAGAGTTTTAATCAAAACTGCCTGATTATCAACAAGCAACTCTGACAAAGCACAGCGGAGGTGAAAAGTGACAGACGCACCTGTAGTTTCGCAGCAGTTTGGTGACAAAGCGAGTGTCAAAGTGTCCGGACTCTGTACTTTTCTGATACAAATTGTTTCGTGTCATCAGCCTCTCCAGCAGAGAAAGCCCTGGAGATCATTCAAACAAACAAACGAACATCACACCGTACACATTAACTGCCGTAACAGAGGGCAATGGAATACATCAAGACAGAGAAATGTCTCACCGAGTCCGTGCTGCAACGCGAAGGGAGATCGAATGATCGGTCCCAGCTGCTTGGGATCTCCTGCCAGCACGAACTGACCCTGCTCTGGGTTGAGCAGACCTGTGCCACAGAGTGAACAAGTCGCCAAGTGATTAACAAGATAAATCAGTTCCCTTAACCGTGTTTGTTGAAATTTCGACCTTTAATCATAAAAGCTCCATTAAGGAGAGATGGGTGTGTCTTACAAGAGTGCTCTGTATTTCCTGCAATTTTTTCAAACTTTTTTTTTTTAAATCACCACTCCCACAGCCACACAGGATTTCCGCAGTAATGTTTGCTAAGCTGTGAAAATGGACAAAATTTACAATCCCAAATTCTTGTCCACCACATTCCTCAGATTCCTAGTTTTGTCCCTGTCCTTTTGACCTGCAGAATTTTTTTATTTTTTTATTGTGGTGTTTATTATACAGATGAATTCTGCCAAAGTCTGAGACATCATTTCATCATTTTAAGTGTGAAATCTTGATCTTTCACTTCATTTTTTTTTATTTTAGTGCACCATGAAGCAAATATGATTTGTAGACACTAGATTGTGATGTAAAGATAGGTCGTCCTTCATTTAATTAAAAATCAAGATATGATTTGTGAAATCCTGCTTGATAGATCAATTAGTTTGTTATGCACCTTTAAAATATGCCTCGGTTTTTAACTTGTTGTAAGATTTTGCAGGTACAAGATTTCACTGAAAACAAAAGACTTATTGTAGTGTACCGATGAGTCGGATATTCAGAGTTTACCTGCAATAGCAATGACGCACTCTGGCTCCACTGCCTGGCCTCCTTCATCCACAAACACATGAGTAAAATGACCAACTGGGATTCCTCCAGACACAAGTCTGAAAACAGAAACACACAGCAGAAATTTTACAATAGTAATGTGAAAGACAGAGAGGATGTCTCATGATGCAAAGAATGACACCAAAGCGTCTTTTAATTCTAAGGATAATTTTAAGCGACCGGCTCTTACCTTCCAGCTGTGATCATAGTTGTAACTATGATTGCGTATTTCATCAGAATTTCTTTCTCTGGATATACAAAGCAATCTTGTATCTCATCCCAGTTACAATATTTCTGCAGGAGCCAGAAGATATGACATGTACAATAAGAAAAAACAAACTTAATCTACATTCAAGGTCGACTTCGGGTTTGTAAAAACAGATGTAATCAGTGAGTCATTCAGTTCAAGCTGGTGAACTCACTGATCATCACTGTGATTATGTGGAACCTGCTTAAGATGCAGGAGTACTTGCTTGAGTTACTATGACATGTAAATATCTTTGCTTTCAATTTCGTTTTTTTCCCACTATAGACACACGTATACACACACACACACACACACACACACACACACACACACACACACACACACACACACACACACACACACACACACACACATATATATATATTGTATATATATATGTACAGTGGTGGCCAAAATTATTAGAACACCTGAAAGATCTGAAAATATTGACCTATTTTTTTGCCTCCAAAACATGATTTCATTTCACAATGTTCATGGAACATGCAGATGGTTGCTCTGAACACAACAAATATCAGATGAAGTGAGTCCTAATGTTTTTATCCACTGTTAACTTTAATATCAGGTATGTCCACCTTTCGCAGCATTACAGCAGCACATCTCTCTGACATAGTGTCAATATATTTCCTGAGAACTTCAACACTAATGTTCTCCCATGCCTTCTGTAACTCAAGCCAAAGGCTTTCCTTTGAATGTACAATAGATTTGTCCAGTTTATTTTCCAACTCGCTCCAAACTTGCTCGATGGGGTTGAGGTCTGGACTTTGAGGGGGCCAGTCCATCATTCTCAATGATCCAGCAGATTCCTTCTGTCGCAGGTAGTTCCCGCAATAGTTAGAAGAATGTTTAGGGTCATTGTCCTCTTGGAAAATAAGTCCAGGCCCAATAAGACGACTCCCAGATGGTACTCTGTGCCTCACCAGAATGTTGTGGTATACTTTCTTATCCATGATGCCATCCATTTTCACTAAGTCACCTGTGGCTGAAATGGCACTCCACACCATAATACTACCCCCTCTGTGTTTAACTGTTGGCAAAAGACAATAATTTTTATATCTCTCCCCCTCCCTCCGTCGAACATACACTCTTCACTTGTTGCCAAACTGTTCAAACTTGGACTCATTAGTCCACAACACTTTACACCAATCTTCCTTTGTCCATTTCTTGTGTTCTTTTGCAAATTTCAGGCGTTTCACTCTATTTTTCTCTTTCAGTAATGGTTTCTTTGCTGCTATTCTGCCAACAAGTCTTTATTCTCCCAGTTTCCGACACACAGTTCTTGAAGACACTGTTGCACCATTAGTCATTGTGGTGTTGATCTAGTCACGCAGTTCTCGTGAGGTCTTTCTTCGGTCCTTAAGACTGAGAATTTTGAGATGCTTCACTTGTCTGTCTGAAAGTTTATTTTTTCTACCTCTCCCCTGTCGGTCCTGGTGTGAATTGGTGGTCTAAAGTGTACTTTACAGAGCTTGGACTGCATCTCAAGTCCTTGGCTATGCGGCAGTAACTCCAGCCAGCATCAAAAAGGGGCTTTATTCGAACCTGTTGCTCATGTTCACCTCATGTTCAAAGAGCAACATGTGCTTCAAGACTTCTAGAGGCTTTGAATCTATACCAATTGGTGGCATGGCCTCAGTGACAAAACCCTGATGTTACCAATCACTTAATGAGCAGGAGGGGCCTTGTACATTCAAAAGAATCACAGAGCTGTGTCCTCAGACTCTTGCATCACCATCAATTTAACCACGATCACACCTGACAATGATTACACACGTAATTAGGCTTCTTCTGTGAAGGAACATGATTGTGTGACATTGATAGTGAAGCTTGTTTTTTGTAAGGAAAATGACCTAAATCTCTTTATGATGGCTCTATTCTATGGTTTATAGAGCATAATGATGACTTTGTAGATATTTTATTCGTTTTATGGGTATTTTAATGGCCAATTCAACAAAAACAACTGAACCTCTTAAATATGCCAAGTGTTAATTTTGGCCACCACTGTATATATACGAATAAAGATTTTGTTGATAAGATACAAAGATTCACTGAATCACAGGACATCAAAGGCTCAAATGTGCTTTTAGACAGTTTACCAACAATGAGACCTCAGTTGCTTCTTGGCCAGTGAACAGATTATCTTGTGCATATTAAAAAAAAAGGCAGCTGATGCTCACCAGCAGGTTCTTCGGGACGCTGTTGGGGTCTCGGCTGCTGGCGTACACGCGGTAAACCTGATGAGGATCCATGTGTACCATCAGTCTTTCGCAGAGCAAGTCACACGCACTGTTTGAAGGGGCACAGGCGAGGATGTGGGCTGATGGATCTGCCCCGCTGACCTGACAGCACGAGAAAAAGGGAAATTCATTACTCATACTTATTGACATATGAACAGTTGTGTTGTTTTAAAGTAACAATTTATTGGAAACAATCATATAATCATGCATATTAAAAACACATTAGAACATTATGCAAATTGATAAGGCCTATTATGAACCAAACTGGAATGACCAGTCTATTGTAAACACTATGAGTTCATCTTAGAGGCTCAATACGGCTGATTATTTACTTCCATCATATAGATGTTTAAACATTTTATCAGGCTACATATCAACCTCCCTTTTATTGTTGAAGAGCTCCCCCTTGCTCATCCCACAAATAATAAATGTGAGAGATCAGTTCATTAATTTAAAGCAAAGTATTTCTCTTTAACATTAAATATGTATGATGAAGTAAATCTGCCTCCTCAGGGTGGGGTTTGATCAGATATGACTCACAGTGGTGTCTCCGCGGTAACCAAAGCAAACAACAACACAACACTTACTGGCAGATTTCTGATGGTGATTGCTATGTTGTTAAAATCTGATAATAGTGTGTTCATCCTAGCGATTATTTTTATCATCGATTGATCAGTTGATTAATTTTCTTGGAAAATCCCTTGGGCTAAAAAAAACCAAAACATTGGAAAACAGTAAAAAAAAAATTGCCATCATAATAACACAAAAGTGATGTCACCAAATGTCTTGTTCTGTCTGAGAAACCTTATATATTCAATTTACTATGATGCAAGATTGTGAAAAGTAGAAAATCATCACATTGAAAAAACTAAAACCAGATTTTTGCTTGACACATCAGGCAAGGAAAACATTATAATGTGTCTGTAAATTTAAGACTTTTTAATATATTCTAGGGCCGTGAGGGAGGTGAATTCAATGTTTCGTAGGACATACAGATATTGTGTTTAATACCTGTTTCATAGCTTCAACCAGTGTGATCGTCTTTCCAGTTCCAGGAGGCCCAAACACAAGATGGGGAGCTGGTTTAGATGACCCGGCGACAATGCGCTGGACCGCAGCATGTTGCTCTGGGTTGTTTTCCAGCTGACGGTTAAACATCCTGTGAATAATGTGACAGTGGACACCTTAACACCTTGCACACTGGTGAAATATTTAAAAGTTAAAAAGGGGTGTTGAATATAAGTGAAACAGATCAACTGAGCAGAGTAAAACATTTTGAGTGTTTTAATGTGTCTCTGTAGCTTATTAACAGATAAGGGGACAAAGCTTCTGACTATCAAGTCTGAGCAGATAATAACGGTGAACTTTGCCTGTTCCAGAAAACATTATATTTACCACATCCACTCGAGTTCAGTTTAACCAAAGAATAATATTCCCTCCTGTGAGCAAGATATGGTGGATGAGCGCCAGGGGAGAACTGAGGTGAAGGCTGCTGAGCTCACACTCACACATCTGAAGTTCATATCGTCTTATCGCTGATGCCAGATACTTTAAGCTTCTCTGTAATACAAGTGCTTGAGATACACTATTTTAAGATGATTAGGTTTGTATATTTATAGATAACACTACATCCATGAGTGTTTTTTGTGCTGTGTATGCATGTATTTTGTGTGTGTTGGCACCAGACCTGAGTTTAGGCATGGAAAGATTAGTCACTGCTGCACCAGATGGGAACAGCACCTCTTCGAGCTGATGTTTTGTTGCCAAGTCCACTGCCCGATGCTGCAGCTTCAAGGGGAACCGGTTGATAGTAAACTCCACATTAAACTTCATATTGCTGATAAATGCCTGCAACAACCTGAGAGAGGAACAGAAAGTGAGAGGGACATGTAGGTTAGGTCATTTATTCTTGGTTATTGAATAGACATGAATCTTTAGTCCATCTCTTACCTCTTCGAGAAGCCCAGCTTCACACTATCCAGCTCCACCCTGTGAACATATCCGGTGTACACAGTGATCGGCTGGACTGTGTCCTCAGATTTGGACACCCTCAGACAGTCTCCTCGAAGTACAGATGGCCGATTCTCAGCAACACCAGGAACCTGTTGCAGAATATAAATGTTGGTTTGTGTTAAAGTTTCCAACACAGGTCACTGAGCTTACAGCTGATCAGCAAGCTTTCAGAGGACAACTACATATTATTATTATTATATATAAGCAGAACAAAAACAACGTGCAAAAACCAGTTATACAAAGATTTGTTCGTATATGGCATTTACGAGCCTTTTAAGAGAATTTGTGGTATCTACCAATTTTCTCGTACTTTTTCACTTAGGTATGAATGAAGTTCACGAGTGGTCCAGACCTGTCATGTGAGTGACGAACACATGGACTGTCTTTATTCACAGAGGGAAACCACACTTATAGTGGCTTAATTAAATAATAAATTTCGACTTAAAGTATGATACTGAAATTGATTTAATCAAAGTATAACAAACTTTTAAACAAACAAACAATTAATATTCTGTTCATCATCATCATCACCATCGTGGCTTGCCAATTTACTGAGGGGTTGGTTTTTTTTCTATAGATTTTTGTATTTTCATGGGCATATTTCATCACAGCAGTTTATACAGTAGTTACTTCAGTAGTTAAAGGGGCTATTTGTAAGTTTTCTGTGCTATAATACACCGTCAGAGCAGCGCTACGTCTTCAGGACAGATTGGTTAACGTGCTAACTTCAGAAGAAGAAAAAGACGAGATAGAGACAAGAGTTAACATTGGCGTTGCTTTCCACCGCTGGAGACAGCTCTCTGTGAGTAAAGGAATGAAGTTTGATGCTGAATCACAACGTTTCCTCTAGACTGTTAAGTAAACAGCTGTTAATGCTAACATTAGCTACGTAGCGATATCAAAACTTACATATAGGTCCTTTAACCTCAGTAGTTAGTTAGATCTTTATGCAGGTCTCTGTCCAGTATCATCCTCTGTTGCAAAGTTACATCACTTACTGCAGGCTGTGGTATTTCCTCATCTAACATCTCAGTGATTGTCCTCTGCCTGACCACCTCACATATTAGTCATGGGCCGCATTTAACTTAATGGAGCCTAAACCATTCTTCTCTCGCACCACAGTGCTTCTCTCAATTGTTTCAGCTCCTCTAATACGGCTACTGGCTCTGCTACATTTGTTATGTTTTTGTTGCTGATTTCAATGTTTTCTAATTAAGATTTCCTTACTCTGAGAGTGAGCAGTTTTCTGTTGCTTTGGTTCAGATTCATGGTTTGATTGTGGAGGTCATACTTCCTGATGTCCACCTCCATCTGTATCTCCTCCAGGTGCAGCAGGAGGTGAAATCGATGAGAGTAGTTCTTAATCTTCAGGGAACAGTTGAGGAGGCTCCTGGACGCACAGCACAGACACAGACATTGTGTTTAAGAGGAGGTCATTTATATAAGATACTTAACCTGTCAAAGGCTTGGTTAGCTGTAATCAGTTAGACCAGTTTCTCACTTCACTGATGGAAGTTTCTGCTTGGCATTTGGAGAGAGGTACCCAGAGTCCTCCATCCTTTGTTTAGCCAGTTCCTTTAGGTAATGAGGGTACCTGTAGTCTCCTAATTTCACTGCTGTCCTTAGATGATGCACAACAGAACTGCAAAACACAAAAGTCATTATTATTGTAATCAGCATGAATAGAACACAATTTCAGTAACGGTTCTGGGTCAGTTTGTTGATCAATTTCAATTACAAGTGAAGAAAATTGCTTCAACAAACTCCCAAATCAAACATTTGAACTGAGGTCTGTGATAGTGGTTTTCCTGCTACTGAGGATCCCTTTATTTAAAGTAAGCAAGTGTGTTGCATTCATCTGCTACATGCTATTTCTTAAACTCTGGGAGCAGCATCATTATCTTTTAAATAACTGGTCATAAAAGTGAATTTAGATTCATTTATATTGTGAGACTAAGACTGGTTTACAATTTATAACTTACTTTTCGGGAGGCACTCCCTCCACTATCACTGTTTCCACTGGCTTGTATGTGACCACCTGAAATGGTTTGTAAGGAGCCACGGGCCCCAGCTCCACAGCCAGTGGGGTCCTGGCAAAAGCTTCCATCTCTCTCACGATGCAGAAAGGCGCAGACCAGGGAAGATCTGGGCAGAACTCAAAGTACATCGTGGCAGGGAAATATCCAAAATGACTCAGTGTGTACCGAACCATGACTTCATAGCTTTCCCCTGCAGGCAGACAGAAAGAAACAAGAGGAGCTGTAAGTATTACTTGCCTTTCTTCAGTATGTTTTCTGTCAGTTGAAAGAGAGAAGATGTCTCACCAGGACAGAGGAACAGGGGACAGGCTCTGGTCACCCTCCTCTCATCCTCCAGAGTGAAACAGCGTATCCTGTGCAGGGCGGTGTAGTAGGTGAAGTAGATGCAGTTTTTGCCCTTGTTTACAATGTGGAACCTGATGACGAACAACTCCCTCAGACGGTCCACAGTGAACTGAACCTTTCCTCCGCTCGCCGATGGGTCTGAAGTGATCTCAATGCCGCCCTTATCAGCTGTCAGCTTCTTCCTGTGAGAGAGAAGCAGGATCAGGCTGATGCATCTCAATGTCAGTCCATCCTGGTGGTTGACATACAATACATACCATGTATCTGTAACTTTTCCAGATTAAGTCTGAGCAGGGACCTATGTTTGTCGTCACTTCCACCCCCTGTCTTTCCCTGTTCCCCTCGAGACTGCTGACTGTGAAATTAAGGCAAGACTGGAAATAATCTAAAAAAACAGCCAAGTCATTTTTCATAGTGAAAATATCTCCTATTGGGGTAAGAAATCAATTTGGATCACATGCAAACTGCTTTGCCTCAAGGGTTTTAATCAATCACATTTTTGATGTTACTGAGTAATCTGCAATTTTTCTTCCTTGCTTTAGGACAAAACTGACAACTGCTGATATTAATTATTTCTTTAAAAAATACTCTGTAATGAGGACAATTAGGGAAAATAATAATCCCAGATGACTTTGGCCCATCTCAGCCTCAGAGAGCCTTGTCAAGGTTTAACTCCCCTCCACACAGAATTCTTCTCATAAACATCCATCCATTCATTCACTGTCTACTCTAGAGCCGTTACAATTAGTCAATTAATAGATCAGTTAATCTTTTAGTTGATAACTATTAGTTGCAGCTCTAATTTAACCCATTTATCCTTTGCAGGGCTCCAGGGGGGCCGGCAGCTGTCCTAGCTGGCATTGGACAAGAGATGTGATGCACACGGGAGAGGTTACCAGTCTATCACATGTAGACAGCCAGCCATTCACACTTGCAAGTTTTCAATTATAGTTGCTGATTGATTTTCTGTCGATCAACTAATCCGTTAATCGACTAATTGTTGTGGCTCTCTATATCCACATCGTACATGGCTCACACTCAAATGTACGTACCTGTCCACCTTTAACTTGTGAAGGATTTCTGTGGCCAGCTTCTTCTTGGGGGTCAGCACAGGTATCACAGGGGTGGAGGGGGCAGGTGTCTCAGCTGTCTCCTGAGGGCCAGAGCTGGGAGTGTGCGGCTGAGGGGCCCGGGGCCTCCTCCACTGGTCACAGTACACTCTAACCTGCAGTGGAGATAAAAATGACATGATATTTCCTCATTTTATTTATACACAAAACATGTCCAGTCTTATCTTCTCATAACCCTCCAGCAACAGACAGCACTAGAGGTCGCTGCATTTCTTACCTGTGGTCTAGCATTTATGAAGATTTTCCCTTGTCTTACGTGGACTTTGTTGAATCTCTGAAGAGCATGTAAAACACTGTGAAATGTGGCGTCTTTTATTCCTTCTCTGGGAACGAAACACAAGACATGGAGGTAAGGGTGTTACACACAGTCCAGTGTAACAGATGCCCCTACGAGACACTTGTTCACTGCAGCCTACCTGCCCTTAAATTCAGAGTTGTAGATGTCTCGAAGTTCCTTTTTGCTCGTGGTAGACACTCTATCTCCCAGGAATTCAATGAAGTCCAGTCCTGATTCAAGCGAGTCCTTCAGCGACGACGGCATTTTGACTTGCTACAGGCCGCTGCCGTTACTGAATATCGGCTGACTGAAATGAGGAAGTTCATCTGCTGACCAACTATTTATTACCCTCAATTTCCTCAAGTATTATTGTGGCTGTTTGGTGTCAGCGCGCTCTGACAGTGAGGGCATTGGCAATTTTTTTTTTTTACGTATTTGGCACGACATGTACGTGTATTCGCAGTGAACGGGAGTTCAACTTTAACACGGGCATTGATTTGTCATTCATATTTTAGGTTAAAACAACAAAACGTTTATTTGTAGATCAGTTGTTTGGCACAGTTTCGCGTAAAACGCTAGCGGATCAACGCTCCCTAATGGCCCCAGTCAGGGAGCGTCTACAAATTAGTTTTGTACAAGGAAAGCGAAAACACCTCAGTGACAGAACAAAATACCGAGTCGAAGCGAAAAACTTTAGCACGAAGTCTCCTCTCTTATCTGCCTTACAAAGAGACGTCAGTTACATTTCCTTACTCGTCATATATGATAAATACACGGGCTCTCTCAGACATGGTATTGTTGACACTCCCTGGGCTGCAGTTATTACATAATCATCGACAGAGCAGGTACCGAGGTCTTCCTCTGTAAAATGGGTCAATGCTTCCGTCGATTTAAAATACATTATAGTACTTTATGAAACGTTAAAACACACCTAGCAGCTTTAAATGATTAATTATAGCTTTAATAATTGATATTAAAGACTGATAAGCTTAGAATTCCCTAACCAAATTATAAAATATTGTTGTTTTTTAAATATAGGTCATAAAATTGACAGTAGCCTAATTATTAGCTCAAAGTAATCTTTAAATGTTTCTTTTGGCCCGATCAACAACTAAATAAAATAAATTTTCACATTTGAAGTTTGGAACCAGAGAAAGTTTTGATTTTTTTTTTAATAACTAACTTAACCTAACCACCTCACTATGTTCACGATTTTACAATTTCCCCAATTGGTCTATAAACTAAAAAAATAATAGAGCCCCGGATGACTACTTCTATTGAATCACAATAGAAAAAGCGTTGCTTTTTATTTATTCATTAAACCTTTCAATTATATATTCTGCAGAATGTCTACATTAAGGCCAAGTGCCAGGTTTCAATTGTAGTGGCAATTTCTAAATCCTTTTATTTCAGTTGATTTTGTTTTTTGCTTAAAAACAGCCAAATTTAGTCAGAAAATTCAGAATCAGAATATGGTATCCAGGCTCTCTTAAAAAAAAAGAAGAAAAGAAAGAAAGATGTAAGACACAAATGATCATCATTACTTGAAAGATTGTATTTGGTGCAACATTTTTATTTCATGAATATTAAATGTACTTACAGTTTGTATAAAAAAATATAGCAAAAGCTAAAGGCAAACAGCTGGCAAGAGGACACCAATACTTAATCAGTCTGGGGGTGTAATGACTGTCTCCCTATAACAGAGAGAAAGAAAGAACTAAGTTTCAACAGGGAAGACAAAACCTGGTCAGTGAATAGGGAAAAGAAAAGACATTTATGCTTTTCCATGCATGCATAAATAGGAATGCAGGAATGCATAAATATGTACAGATGGGACTAAAATAGAAACCGTGTAATTTGGCGCTGTCAAGTCTCTTTCCAGTCAGATAACATATCAAATTGCATACACCATTTGCCTTCTGTTAATAAAAAACTATAGAGGTATTGGTAAGCTCTTAGAGAACATCAGTTATGTTTTTATAGAAAGTGTAAATTAGTTGCTACATGAAAGTCAAAGAGGCTTTGGGAGGATGTGTGTCCATTTGAAGCACTGAGGGATCAGTAACTGTATGTCTATGCGAGAGTTTGAATGGCAAACTTTCACAGTGTCACTAAAGGCATTGTTTGTTGAAAAATAATAATATATGTCTGCAAATGAGTGACAGTTACACCACTCAATGTCATTGTAAATGAAGGCATCCCTTCTTAGTGCTCAACAGAAGCTGTAACGTCTCTTTTAGAGGGACATACAGGATGTTATGTTGTGTCACACACTTTGTGCGAGCTTCACCCTCTCCCACATCAGTTTTGTCGTAAACCCCGGCAGCCTCTGTCCTCTAAGCATTCTGCATCTCTTTGCCGATCTTGTAGCTGAGGATCTTGTTCCAGTCGATCTTGGTGCGGGTGACTGGGAGCTGTCTGCGTAAGGCTTTGAAGGTGGTGTCTGACATGGTCTGATAGTTCTCACTGATGGCCACCTGCGAAGCAAAGATAAACACGTCAGTTCACACTTTCCTGCTACAATCAAGTTGCACCATGATGTCATCTGTCAGTTACAGTCAAGTGGAAATGCCAAGCTAGTCCAATTTGATTTTGTATTGTGCATACTATGATTATTTTGGAGTGTGAATGTTCAATGGAATGAAATGGCTCGACAAATACCTGAAATACTCTGGTGTAGAGATAAAAATTGCAATGGCTGATTAATTTTGAAGTTTTGTTGATTTTCTCTCAAAAACCCAGAAAAGAACGGAATTGTTCAATTAATATTTATTCTGATTCCTCCAGTATTATACAGAATGTGTTTTGTGAATTTTATTAGAGGCATGTAAGTATGAAAATCTGACAATGAAAAATATTCAAACTGGTATTGTTTGAAAATGTACAAGTGGTGTTCTGGATCTGGCTTATTTGAATTTGTGAGGTCATGTAAACTCATGTGGGCTGGGAATAGTTGACACAATGACACACTAATAAAAATCCATTCAATCACTTATACTGAAGGAACTCCTGTGATTCTTAATGCACACATACCTGGTATTCATTCTCTGCATCTTCAATAATTTTCACCAACTCCTTTGCAGTCTGGCTCTCATTCTGCCAAAACATACACTCATGGGTTAATTCATCAATTTAAACACACATGAACATCAATCTAATATGAAATGCTCCAATATGTCCATATCATTATTTTCTGCTTGTATTATCAAGACACATGAACTTGAAATATGCAATCAGAGACAATGGTGAAACATCTTTCCTATAAACAGTAACAGAAAAACATTTAATAAGATTAAAAAAAAAAAATACTCACAGACACAGTCAGTGCTTCCTGTACATCTTTGTGGCTGACCAGTTGCACATTTCCGTCCTCATAATAATGTACCTGGGATAAGCAGAGGACATTCAGATCAGGGAGATTCATACAGCACTGAAACAAAACTAACTTCACAGCAAAGCTCGTGCTATTCCCGATAATCATTCAACATACCTGTATTTTCAAGACTCCAACCACCTGTGCTGTCGATTGCGAGACACTGAACTTCCATTCAGACCGGCAGCGACCGTTCCTGGGAACAGGAAATGTAGAAGAGTATATTTAAAAACAGTCACCAACAATACATCACCGACTCTACACTGCTCCAACGTAATTGTCCGAATGAATTTGATTAGGAAGGTTGCAATAAGATCATCATCCTCTATCAACTTACCAGAAGTTTTTAGGCTCAAATTGATGACCCTCGATACAAGCAATAATGGTCTGCTGGCCATCGATCGTTTTCCCATAAACCTGCAGCAGATAACACAGGACGAGTGGGTGATTGATTGTGTGTATTGCTGAACATGGCAGCTATGGTGCAGCCTGGGACAGCGATCTTACGGTGCAGACTCCAGTGGGGTAGTGCTCCTTGACATAGGCCCTCAGCGCAGAATCACAGGCGTCTCTCCATGACCTGAGGGCTGCCTCGCCCTCATGGGGCTGGGGGTCGCTGGCCTCTTTCCTCAGGTGGTCAAACTTGAAGGAGATTTTATTGTGTGGGTCAAAGAAGCGGCCATTACCCAGGTCTCCATGCTCTGTTATCAGGACCTAGAGGGAAAACAGACAGAGAAACCTGCTGTTACTCCGGTATTGTCTTAATAATAGAGAATATCTAAATACTTTTTCAAAAACAACTTGCCTGATCTTCATATCCATCAATTTTGGCAAGAGTGAACTGATCCATGTTGTACTGGGCAAAGGCACTGTATCAAAAGAGAATACAACAATACAGTTGCATGCACATCCAGAACATCAATATTTTGTTACATATAAAAAAGAGTAAAGAATAAAACTCACTGAGCCGCGCCCTCTCTGAGAAGATTATCATTGTTAAGCAGCAGACGCACATCTGAAAATGAGAATTAACATAAGCAATGACAAACTGTTTCCATACACATTGGAATACAGGTCGTCCAAAAGATGTCAATCATAAATAAGGCTCACCATTGAAGACTTCATTGAACTCCCCTGGAGGAGCGTGCATCACAAAATTAGCTGCAATACGGATCTAGAAATAAATGAAATGTGTTGTCATAAAACTTAAAAATAGTAAGAGGTATCACATTATCACTAAACACAGTGTGAAACGTAAGGTTTTTGCTTAAAAAAACTCTAATAGAGCGGAATAAAAATTGTCTGCTTAATCACAAGACAATCTGCTGTATGGTGTTTGGAAAAACCTATAGTCAATTTTTTCTCTTTTGATGTCAATGAGAAGTGAAAACCCTGCAAATAGCCACTAGAGTGAAGCAGAGAGCAGTCTGCTAACTTTGTTGGCTGCAGGCTTGTTAGCTCTATTTTGACCACTCCTTACATGGCAGGGAGGGTATGTGGCCCAGTGGCTTTTCTTAGTAGCCAGTATGCAAGTGTAAGCATGTTGTGTCAAGGCCACAGAGTGATGGTTGAGGCAGGTATTAGTGCTGTCATGAGGTTATACTTGGTAAGGACAGTAAGATATTGGCAACACATACACAGTCAGGCAGCACATAGTTCAGTAGAAGAAGTTGCAATAATCCTGCTGTTTTTTTGTGTGACCTTTGCAGCTTTAACCAGTCCTACATCCTAATGTCACTTCCACATAATAGTGTGCCAGTGATGCCATCTGTCAGGCAGCCAGGGTTACTGAGCCTCCAGGCTGCAGCTGGAAGTGACCTACAAATGGGCTGTCCTGCTCAAGGGGACATTACCATGAGTAACCTAGTTTATTCAACTGTGCTCCTGAATGGTCCATTCAGAGCTCAGAAAGCACTCCCAGGGTCAGACTCTGATTCTCCACCATGAAGATCAAGAGATCATCTGATAAAGATACTCTGGGATGTAGATATCTAATAAAAGTTCAAATAGGGGATTTCAATCCTTGTTTGGGTTTATTTTAAAGTCTCACTGAAGTAAGGCTGGGAGGTGTAAGGTCCTGGCCAGTCCATTAGCTTTAGGAATGCAAAGCATTATTTTTTACAACATGTAGCAGCATGACGCAGGCAGCAACCCCAGCCGGTGCAAGCCCCAACAACACTGCAGGAAGACCGCATCTATGAATGTGGTGCGAAAAGTTACAGGCAACACAAGCTAAATACAAAACGGCTGCAAACTCGAGTTACATGTGTGACTGACGTAATGTTCTGTTGCTATCAAGGCCAGTTTAGGCACCTAACTACATGAAGTTACAGTACACTGGGTGTGGGTGGTGGTATGCTGCCGATGCTCTGTCATGATCCGTAGCTACTGTGAATGCAGGAAGTGGCTCGACTTCCTTCGATTTAGCATTAGCTCAGCATTTTCAATTTAGTCCAAACTCGCAGCCATCGGCCTCGGCCGCACGAATATGTAATTTTTAATCAAGGAGAGGCAGAATCACACAAGTTATCTAACTTACACCATGTATTTGTGCACAGGAACAACATGTAAGACAGTGCTACAACTCTGAGCTGTCAAATACAGCACTGCCCCGGTTTAGCGGCCCGCTGGGCAGACCGTGCCAAACAGGAAGGTTTTCATAGAGCACTGCTATGTTCAAGACAAAAGATTAAAGGCGAGTGAATAATCTCAGTATGAATTTATAAGGTAATACCTTCTCCTCATCGCTGAGCTCTTCGAAATCTGCCATCTTGGTTCAATGAAGTGTTAACAAAGCGACTGCTGGTGTTGCCAGGTTTGGTGTTGTGACTCCTCCTAGCATAACGTGCACTGGGTGGACTCTCCTGCATTGTCGGTTAATACTTTTAATGACGAGATAGAGACGACTCACATGCAACGTACACGCCTGCTGAACAGCTTACAATATTTGGACCAATATATTATTAATAATAATAATAACTTTTATTTATATAGCACTTTTCAGAAACAATTTACGGAAAGTTTAGTAGGAAAGTTTAGGTCAGAATCAAAAATTTGTAGGCCTCTGATTTATAGGCTCCTTGTGCGCAATGGTGGTTAAAAAAAAAAAAAAAAAAAAAAATATACTATATATATAAATGTGTTATAATATATTTCAATAGATCTACTATGACACAAGTTATACATTTTTTTATTTTAGTTTATATTTCAAATAAATTTCATATTTCATTTCATAATTTACTTTCACATACAAACTGAACCATGACATCCAAACCTGGCAACTCTGAGACGTTCAGGACCAATGGGATTTCCATTTCCCACGATGTGTGAGTGTTTACAAAAATGGACAACTCAAGACGGTTGTAGATAAGAGTTTGTTGTGTGAGGGTTACAATGCAGCCACATAATAATAATAATAATAATACAGCACTAAATAAATTTAATTTGGGTGTAACTGCTTTGAAAGACTGACCATGCGTGGCGCAGGCACCCATGTTTATTTGCTTTATAGGCACTCAATTGTTATTATTAAGATGCAAGTCAGATTAACTATGAGAAAAATCTGAGTTTCACATCCGTAATTACAGTTTAGTTAGATCTTGACATGTACGTCATTTACAAGTCGAAAAGTGTTAATTACAATAATTTAAAACTCGTGTGCAGCATAGCACCGACTAGGGAGAAGTTACACTGCTGCATTCACTGCGCACCGTATTTCTTAAAAATTCTGTGTTTGACTAGATGTACATTTTAATCAGTATCTATTAGACCTTAAATATTATTGTATACAAGGTAATCTCCTTTCATAATATACATTAATACATTATATATATTAATACATTATATAGGAGTGCGCTAATTAATTGCCCTGCATTTATGAAGTTGCTCCTTCTAACTTTTATCTTGTGACTGAGCCTTCCCATTGCAAGAAATTTAAGTTTCTTGATAATTTTCATTTTAGGGGTTTCTTCGTTAATGCAGGGTTTATTACAGGACTATTTTAGCAAGTTGTACCTTAAAAAAAATGGCAACTGAGTGTTGAATGGCCAGTTATTTTACAGCTAACCAGTGGGGGGCGATGTGTATAAATAGTCCTAGCTGTGGTTACCGATCTGAAGTAAATTAAGCAGAAGAAGAATTGCAGCTTTGTCTATGGAAGATAGCAATACAGTTACGACCTGTCTGCGGCCTTGAGCGAATGAAAACGGAGATAAAATACAAGTTTAAGGTGAGTAAATGTGCTCCTTTGTATTTGATATAACAACACGCGGATTGAACGCGTATACCCTAATGTAGCTGAATATGTAGCTAGCCGTTTGGTTTGAATATAACGAGTAGCTAACGTTAAGCAGCTAACCGCTAACATAAGACTAGCTACGTGTAAATCCTAACCATGCATATGCTGCCGCACTAAGAGAGGGCAGCGATATTAATCTGTAGCTATTGTATTAAAAAAAGAAAGAACAACCAAACTGCATGATTGTAAGTTTTCAGAACCGGGTACTGTAACGTGTTATACGCCATTGGCAGCGCGACCGGCGCGTGTGGTGTGGTGGACGACAGCGCTAAAGTTAGCTTCCGATTCACCGAGGGAAAGGTTAACTTGCTTTAGTGAACGACCGGTTCGCCTTTTTTTGCACCTCTCACTGTTGTAAAAGAGTGCAAGATATTGTAGTTAAAGCCTTTAATTTTTTGAGAACATTTTCTTTAAACAAAGATTTTATTGCCTTTTTCACATCTAGTCCACATTAGACCAGGGTCCAGTTCAAAACCACTATACTTAGATTATCCCAAACAACACGGCTGAAAAATATGCAAAAAATAATAATGTTGAGACATTGCGATATGAGTGACGATTTCAGTTGGCAATGGTAATTTTTGCATTTCATTGTGAGTTAAAAACATAAAAATTGTGATGTGAGACGTATTTTACCATCATCAATAAATTGCAGCTCATGTGATTTGAGTATTGCACTTGGCCATATTGCAATTTTGATTAGATTATGATTAGTTGCTCAGCCACACAAGCAACAGACTAATTTTAATCAGACAATCAGACTCCTCATTTATGGTCCCTGCCTTGAATTGAATTGACTTGCCTTTGAACATGACTTCCCCTCTTTATAGTATTTGCTTTGGAAAATGGTAAACTGCATAGTGTGAAGCTACTATAGATATCAAAAAGCATTTGAAGGATTTATTTCATAAACTGTGCAAATATTTATTTCCTTCCTTTCAGACACTTGGGCTTTTTAAATTATGTGGACACAGAATCCAGGGCATCCAGGTTCAAGTTAAGGTATGTAAGGGGTTGCTCCCTCAAAAGCATTATGTAAATTGCCTCCAGCTACAGTGGGGTCCAAAAGTCTGAGACCATGTTCCCATTCATGGAAAATAGGTCTCACTTTTAGACCTACTGTATAACTCTGTAATATAACAGGATGCTTTCCCTTCAAAATGTCATTTGGTAATGAATATAAGTGTTGGGACTGAAAACCTTCAAAGTTTCTTTTTCTGAAACCTTTTTATTTTGTGCCACGTATAAACATCAGCTTATCCTGAAAACTTTTCAGAATGTTGGTTTGTTTGAACACAAGGAACTTGCGCATTTTCAAAGTGACCATAAGCCCATGATTTCATTTCATCAATGCGATTTTCCTCAAGATGTATTTACCACTTCAAGAGAAGAGGATGATTTGAGCGAAATCTACATTTCCATTTCTAGAAATCACTGATGGAGAATTGTACGCAGTTATTTAATGCAATTCTACGAACCTAACGGGGCATATTTCTCTTGCCACAAAATAACCGAAACTTCATCAGCTGCATTGAGATGCTTTATTTTCCAGAGAAACAAAGATGGGATGGTGCTGTGACCCTAAACTTATATCATGGAACATTTTTTGAATATTTGACTCTGGGATTGTAACTATTTTATGGCCAAGAGTCCACTTTAAAGTTGTGTTGAAAATTTCATAACAGCTTATCGTGCTGCACAGTTGACACTGTGTATATCTCTGTGGGTACCTGTGCTATTTGCTCCACTTTCTCACAACAACTGCAGTACAACTTTGCGGTTTTGATTTGCGTGAAATATTTATGGCTTCGCGTTGCATACCATGAAATGTGTTTTCACCATCGAGTTCAAGCCATTTTTTAAGTTTTGACAGGCACCACATCTTTTCATATGCGACCAGTGAGCAACTTGTTCAAATAAAATTTTATCCAAAACGGATTTTTGTGGCGAGTTAGTCATTTCCAAAGCGGCCATCCTGCTGAAAGAACGTCCAGTGAAAGCATCCCAAGTTTGCATTTTTTCGATCACGTCTAGGATTGGTTCACCTGCAGTGCTCCATGGGGTGGCATCTATGTCAAACAACAGAGCCTTGCCAAACCACGAGTGAAGTGAAATTGTGGGCTGGTTATGCAAGGCTTTCACATCTCTACACTAGGAAAAAATTGGACGGAAGTCGATTTTCATCACCAAATTTGCATTGAATTTGCATTTGCTTTTGTTGTTAATATATTCTTCGTTTCACGTCCTACTGCTGTCCTTCATGCCATAATTCAAGGCAAACACTCGCGTGTGCAAATGTCCGGTACAGAGTTTAATCGCGTAATAACCTTCCATGCAAATGAGCACGGGGGAAATGCGGGGCACATGAAAGAACACAGTATAATATAAAAATGTTTCGGTAGACTTTGCGATTTCAGCAGCACTGTTTATTTCGAACTTGAGTATTCGCTACTTTTGAAAAAGAATTTGCCACAGCATTTCAATTTTTCATTGTCTGAACTTTGTGATTTTCATCTGCAACTTGATCCACTAAAATTCTTTATACTTCCAAGGAATTTGATTTCTCCTTTTAACTCCCTGACATGTTTCAGGATCGTGGACGACAATTTAAAGACGCTTAATAGCAAACAAAACAAACTTTTTCAAGCATTTGAGACGTACGAAGAAAGAAACCAGTGAACCCCCCCTCCCCCCGGATCGAGTCATGTCTCGCCGCAGAAGCCGCAGCACGTCACCAGGACGTTATTCACGCTCCTGCAGCAGTAATGATCCTAGAGATTTGGAGAGAAGGATTTTTGTTGGGAATTTGCCGACCTCTGACATGGAAAAGAAGGATTTGGAAGACCTGTTCAACCCATACGGGAAAATAGTCGGTCAGTAATCAACATGATATAAGCGATAAGTGGTCAATTTGAATTCATGACAATAACTTGAATTAGACAGGCTGTCCCTGAATGTCGCACTTGGAATATTTTAGATGTGTAGTAACATTAATTTAGTCTTCGTGAGTAGTGTTTTTGTTTGTTGCTTTTTGGTGTTTTTTTTCTTTTCTTTTTTTTATGAAATAGAAGCATGTAAAATTAGTAATGATGATTTTTTTAAGTGGATAAATGGGTAGGTATCCAAATTGTTCTAATAAAAACTAAGTTTGTACCATTTTAAAATGTTCCTCTTCCAGGCGTATCCATGTTTCGTGGGTTTGGATTTGTACAATTTGAACGCATTGAGGAAGCCGAAGCTGCAAAGGCGGCCCAAAAGGGTCGAATATATAAAGGTTATAAAATAGGTAAGCCTTAACTGCAGAAGGTGTGATTGTCTGGCTGAAGGGCATAGACTTTTAATGGTGTACAGCAAGCAACAAAACCAAGCTTATGAAAGATAAGGTTTTTGGGGGAGTTCTCTATGTGAAAAACCCTTTGATTGGGCATAATGGTTTTAAGTGTTAAACCTGAAGATAATCTGTTTTCGTAGATTTGTTCATTAAGAATGCCAGTGAAAGAAACATAGCAAATTTGCTATTTTAAGGATTAACACTTAACCAGTAGTTGGCCTAAAATAGTATGCTCTTTAAACACCATATTAATGATGTGTTATACTGCATCCTGTAAGTGAAATGCCCATAACAGTGATGATGAAAGTGGAGCTGTATGCTCATCCACAACTAACCACACGGTTGTATGATTTAACCAACAACTTGTCAAAATGAGGGTTGAATTTGCTGATTTTTCTACTTTAACCTGTCTTTTTGTAGACATGTTAAATTATTGGCTAATAACGCAAATAAAAAAAGTGCATTATAAAATTCTGGCAAAGCCTGAATCTCTGAAATCTCTTGTTTTTATTTGCAACGCTGTCTTGGAATTTTCTTCAACATGGATTTAAATGTCCTCTTGTGGTTTTTGGAGTTCCTGAAGGCCAAATTTCAAGTTGAAAATCTGATTTACATGTTCAAGCTTTGCTAGTGTTTAGCCAGTTTTGAAGGGGAGAGAAGAATTCCTTCATTTCTTCATCTTAAACTCAATTCCACAGATTTGGCAACTCGATTTGTTGCATTTTGACATCTCGTCCAGTTTGGATTTTCAAACTTGGATATTGGAGCTCAGTCTCATTTGGATCGTGGAAGTGTTGACGCGACCTCCATTCTTCGTGAACAAATAAGATGATTTACATGTCACTGTTATGTTCAACGTTTGGATTGATTTATTTTCAGATGTAAATATGGCAGTGGAGAGACGGCAAGCTAAACCTCAATCCCAGCAGAGCCCTCCACGAAGGTAAAGTAACGTGAAATGGGTGTGAAGAACTACTATCGCCTCTGAGGTGTCGGTAAAAAACAAAAAACAAAAGCGTATTTATCTTTTCCCCAACTGTCATTTCCACCAGTGGTGAAGTCTGATTGATGGAACTTATCGTACCATTAGGTGGGTTTGTGATGGTGTATGGGACAGACGATATTTCATCCTAAATTAAAATTTCAAGATGTGTCAAATAAAGAAAAGAGACATATGAATGTAACTTAAGTGTCTTTGTCTCAGAGATTCTTGCCTTTTATGGCTTTTAAAGCTCATGTTTTTCTGATTTTGTATCGCATTTCATCTTACAACTACAATAAGCAACTTTCCAGCTGAAGAAAATGTAATGCTAGTCCCACCCTGCCCTATATCCATTAAGCAGGTTCATGTGCTACAACATGACCGCTAACTAATAAGGTGTGTACATTTAAACTACATTTAGTCTGAAGAACAGCTCTCTGAGAGCCAAACGTGTTGAAAAAACAGATTTTGATGTAGGAAATTTTAAAAGGTATCCCGTGGATGCATTTTTAATGTAAACAAAGTTAATTTTACATTTACCGTTTCTCACTAAAATAGATTGTGTTTGCTTGATGCCTAATAACTGTGTTGACTGATATTTCCATCCTCAAAACAAATGCAAAGCTGATCGTTTTTTTAAATCTGCATTGTTAACATCCATGTCTGTTAGCAAGGAGCGGTCATTGCTACATTTCTTGACATGCTAGCACCAACAACTGTCAGTAAGTTGAATTATGTAACGCCATCAGTATGATTGTGTCACATGCGTGAGTGCATGAGATGCAACACAGTCTTTGCTAATAATGGTTAAAAATCAGCACACGAGCAGTGTTGGCCAGTAATTTTGAGTCTCACCGACTGAAGGTTTAGCCTCGATACTTCTGTATGGTGCCACTGTAACCAGCTCAGAGTTCACATACTGCAAACAACGCGTATGATGGTTATTTTAATATCCAGTTTGTGGTACTTATTTTCTTTTCAATTTTCATGCATTACTTTTGAGTTAAGCATCATGGAAATTTTTGAGGTCCAGGATAGAAGACAAAAGAAATCATGAGGATTTAGGAAACCGAGAACCAAGAAAAATACAAACATTTCTTAACTTGGCTTCCACTTGGATATAAGTTGGTCAGTTAACATTTTTGGAAGCCTAGTTTCGAAAGAAGTTTTTAATTTCTTTTGATTTCTACAGTTGCTTTTGGACTGCTTCATATATAAAATCACCAGAATTTCCTATGCAGTTCAAAGTATTCTCCTTCTTGAAACATTAAAAATTTTCGAAGGTGAGAAATCAGTTGTACTAGACCTCTACAGTTCTATTGTAGTTCTGGTTTCTTGAGAAATTTCAAGCAAACAAACTTTTTTTTTTTTTTTTTTTTTTTTTTTTTTTTTTTTTTTTTTTTTCTTCTTTTGTTTTGGTGACATATTTGCCGCGTGGGAATGTCTTTTACTGAAGAACAAAACGCAAATCATCGTAAGCAAATTGAGCAAAATGCACAAAATAAACTGCCCTTTTCACAAAGGCTAAACAACCAAGGTACTTGTGTAGAGCTGGATTTATGGTCAATGAACCTCAAATGGTCGACAAATCGATATTGTTGCGGACACGGATCACTGGACATTTTCAAAAGATCGTTGTTGAAAGGACACTTACCGGAATCACCTCCTGGACTGAATATGTGCTAGTTCCCTTTGCGAACACAATAGCTGCTTTCTGTTGCTCTGCTTTGGTTGTGTGAATAAATACATTCACAAAATCTGTTAAAAGGAATGGACAGATTTCATTAAATTTACAGTACCAACTGTAGGCCTATCCTCATCAGTCGAGGATAGAAATTCCTATTCCCTCTAGTGTTTCATAAACAGCCTGAACTCCAGCCGTTCTTGCACTAATTGATAACATCTCTCTCAGGGCCCCGTATAGCAGTTATGGGGACAGCAAAGAACCCCGGGGTCGGTCCCGTTCACCCGTTTATGGGCGTGATGGGCGTGATGGACGTGAGTCTCGGGACAGCCGTGATGGGAGGGACTCGGGTAGAGAGGCGAGGCCGGGTGGCCACTCTCGTGACCACGATTACCGGTACCGTAGCTCAGAGAGCAGAGACAAGGACCCCAGAAGTGACCCCAGAAGTGACCCTAGAAGTGACCCTAGAAGTGACCCCAGAAGTGACCCAAGGGATCCTGCATACAGGTAAGTGCTGACATTCAGCCCAACAGTTTGGATTCCAGAGTTAAGCTGTAACACTTTTGCCTCAACCTGAAATGTTTCCATACAGCAGAGATGATTATGACAGATACTACCGCAGTGGCAGTGGTGCAGAAGACTATTACCGAAGGAAGGATGAACCCTACAGGGACCCTTACAGAGATCCCTGGAATGGACGCCGTGAGCCAGAGGGTATGTGTACTATCCAGCATACATGCTAAATTGACTTAGTTGGACTGAGTACTTCGCCAAAACTATGACAGTTGTGTTCACTTGTGCATCTAATTTTTTTTTTCTCCTGGATAGAGTAGAATTTCCCTCATTACTTGAATAATAATAATAAAAAAAACTCCCCAGTTTCCTTTTTCTAATGTTCCATAAGATGTTTCTGTAGCAGACGCACCTTTTACAATATGATTAACCTGTAAAATATTCAACTTAGTTGAACTATATTCTTTAAACTACGTATTAGTTGAACATGTGTTTTCTGATCATTTCATTGTAAAATGTTAAACCAGGAATTCCCAGACTGGCTTTGTAAGCAGATTTTTCATGTCAGTTTATAATTGTATTCAATTTGAGGAAATTATACCAACATTAAACTATCCAATCCCCTTCTTCCCTTCCTCAACAGCAGATGATCGTGCTCGACCAGAAGAGCGTCGGCGTAATGAATTGTATCGACAGTACTATGAAGAACTCCAACGGCGCTACGACACTGACCGTCCCGTTGACTGCTCTGTGATAGTCGTCAATAAGGCGCAAAAGTATGTCCACTTTCTATTCTTCACAGGAAACACTGCTGTAAGACCAGAAACGTGTCTGTAAATATTCTACCAGTGCATGGCAGGTTTTCATTTCATATCGCTCCTCCGTGTGTGTGTCTGTCTGTACTTCTGCTTCGATAACAACTGTAGGGAGTATGCTGAGACGGTCGGGCGGAAGGTCCGTGACTTGGGCATGGTGGTGGACCTGATCTTCCTCAACACAGAAGTGTCACTAACCCAGGCTCTGGAGGATGTAGGCCGAGCCCGCACTCCCTTTGCCATCATCATTACCCAGCAGCACCAGGTCCACCGATCCTGCACTGTCAACATCTTGTTCGGCACACCACAAGGTAATGCGGACAAGACGACAATATGAACCCATTGGTTGGTGTGGTTGCTTTGGTCACTCCTAAGGTAACTAGCACAGCATTTCATCTTTTGTTGTCTCACATGATATTTTTTGTGTCCTTATTGCCATAGAGCATCGAAACATGCCAATGCAGGATGCCATGATGCTAGTTGCCCACAACTATGACGCTTACAAAGTTGAAAACCGTGAGAAAGAACGTGAGGAGATCGCCAGAAAGGCTGCCAAGATGGCAGACGACGTATTACTCAGGGAGCCTGACAGAGAGAGCCACCCCATTTCTGTGCTCACTGCCATTACGCTGCTGTCTGAAAACAGGTATTGACTGTGTAGACTTGAATAAGTAATGTAAATTTCTGTCATACACTCAGTCACAGTTTTCATTTTTGAAAAGTTTGAATTTCAATAGGGCCTGTGGCCTCTCATGGATAATTAAAAAAAAAAAAAATCTGTTTTCCGGGTAGATTTGTGACCCCTGAGGAGTTGGACAGTCTCATTGCATACCTGAAGGACAAAAGAGCCCGGCTGGTACGAAGCGCTGCAGACCCTCTTTCAGGTAAGACATTTTATTTGAGGGAGTGTCACATTAAATGTTAGTGTGAAATGTAAATTTATATGTCTATTCTTCAAACAATACTCACATGCCCATATATAAATTGAAAGAATAATTGGTGGCTGTTGTCTTTACTTCTGTCCATGCTGGTCCTGATGAGATAACTTCCTAAAGCAGCGATAGTGGACAGGAAATCTGCAATTATCAGTTTGTGCCGAAACACATTCCAAAGTTGAGCTTAAGTGGGTTTCTTCTTATTTTTAGCGCAATTTCCCCGACAAACACTGTTTCCTTTCTAATCTGTTTTAGAGGGACAGTGACAGAGGAAATTTTAAACTAGAGACTGTATTATTGGATACCCACATAATTTATCAGATTGCTGAATCCTCATTAATTTAAGATCAACTTCACAATCCAGAATGAAGACTGAGATTTTGGTTCCACATTTCTAACAGTGGAATTGTTAGAGAATGTCTTCCTTGGTCAAAATGACGAGGCGGAACAATTTCAGCAACCAGAAACTCTTTCAATATACACATGAGCATGTACATTGAAAACCAGCTTTGTCTGTTGTCCTCTGACTGTTGAGTGCAGTATTGTTGTTTCTAACTGAACCTTTCACCCTACAGCTGCAGTCCATGTTGCAGCTCCTGCAGACGTTCCGCCCTCAGCTGCAGGACTGCCACCCTCATCCCATTCTACCCTCACAGCCACACAGTCCAGCCACCTCGGCCTGTCCGCTGGTTCTAGCGCCTCAGCTAACCCCAGCCATCAGCAGGAGCTGCAGGCTAAAATCCTCAGCCTGTTCAACAGCGGCTCCGGAGCCTCAGTAGGCGCTGGTGGCCTGCCCTCCGCCTCCTCCCATTCGCAGGCCTACAGTTCCCTTGGCCCGCCCCCTTCCCAGAATCCACCCCGCCCAGCCATGCCTGGCCCTCTTCCAGCTGGATCCCAGGGTTACGGCACCCCACCGGGCCGCATGCCAGTTGCACCAGGTGGTCAGAGGCCCCCCACCTCTGCCTCAGGTATCAATTTTGACAACCCAAGTGTCCAGAAAGCTCTTGACACACTCATTCAGAGCGGACCATCTCTTAACCACCTGGTGAACACTGGGGCATCCCAGCCACCCCCCCGACCAGCACCTGGCATGGGCCAGGCCCCGTCTATGTCCATGTATCCCCGACACTACTGACGGAGTGTAGAATATTAATTACTTCTAATGTGAGGTCCACCTTTCCCTCTGATACTAGTAGACACAACACTGTGTTTACCAGCTGTGTATAGGTAAACCGTAGAGATGTTTTTGTAAAAGCTTTTAATTTTTTTTTTTTTTTTATTAAATCTTTTTATTCTAGGCGTTGTCCTCAGTCAAATTTGATGACTTGTTCAGACTACTTAATGGTCTACATTTTCAATCGTTATTAACCAGAAGACAATTGGAGTCTTCTTGCGTGTGAGTTCAACAATGAAGAAATGGTGCATGTCTGAAGTACATTTTGGTTCTTGATGGACACCTTAGTTGTTTTCCAGCCGTGATCTGTTCTGTGTTTTCATTGTCAAAATGAAGACATTATTAAAAACTCAAGACACAATTGCTGTAATAAAATGGTATTGGTTTATTGCATTTTGTGCTGACAAATCTATAAAATGGAACGGGTATCGCCAGAAGCCATAGAGATATAAGCATTTGAAATGTAAGATAAAACTACTTTTCCTCTTTTTTTTAATGTACCATGAAACACAATAGAGAATAATACGTTTTTTTTATTTTATAATATTTAACTTACACTGACACAAAAAATAAACACCTCCACACTAACTATACTTGATTTATTTACATGTAGCTCCCTCCCACCCTCGCCCACAACCACCCCCGCCCCCAGCAGTTACAAGTGCACATGTACACACATACACACTCCCACAGAACTGAAAGGAACACACTACGGCTTTACCATAAGACTACGTACGGTATCAATGAACTGTTCAGAATGGGGGGAAGAAAAAAAATCATATTAGTGAAATTTTGATACACGTGTCTTTCTGTGTAAATCATCCATATCTACATCCATTACATTTTTAAAGCATCCATACAAAATGTTTCCCACGACTCCAGTGAATTAAAAACAAACCCGCACAGTGATTGGGTTCCTCTGGGGGGGGAGGAACTGGTTATTAAATAAAATAGTGAATTTACAAAGGCCATAAAGTCTTGAAGGAAAAGACATTTTGGGAAATACACTTATTTCCAAGAGTTGAATGGGAAGATCCATATAACTCATGTCTGTCAGTCAAATATGAAGCTCTAAATCTTAATAATTTATATTGATTAAAGCTGTATAAAAGGCTAACCATAAAAACGATTAATTTTTGTCCTGTGAGGGGTCACATGGCAGACCATTAGCTTCTCGTGCTGCCTGGTAAAGGTTACCATCCAAGATAAAGTCCACTTAACAGCTTTTTATATTTTGGTTTTTGTACAAATTAAACCAAATTAAACATGTCAATTAGTGAGCTTTTGGACCGTGCTAGGGCAGCTGTTTCTCGTTTCCTTTCTCTGTGCTAACTCTCAGCAATAAAGCAGAACAAGCAGCAGATTTCCCAAAATGCTTCACTTTTCCTTTTAAGGTTGACTGGATGCCTACATAAAAAATAAAAAAATAAAAATTTTGGCGATTGGAAATGTTTATATTTATAGACAGTTATAGAACCAGGGTGACTTTTCATTTAAATTGTGGATTTGCAGGCAACACTTCCAATAATTTGGCACGTCCGGACAGTTTTATCCTTTTGAATAATTTGTATCCATTAACTGATAAATGCTACAATTATTTACAGCATTTACGCGTCTGTCTAATTCACTGGAGCTCATTTTCACACGATCATTTATGTCGTTAACTGAAATATACTTTGGTAGTCAGATATTTGACACAATGAGAGGACCTTGTCAACAAATCTACCATAAAAAATAGAATATTGTACTATAATAATAATAATAATAATATTCATCTTGGATACAATGATTGGCCAGTCCTAAGGAAAGAGAAAAAAAACTATAGTGGTAGAAAGAAAAGTTTGTAACTGATATAAACAAAATACTTTTATACCACAAACACCCAATATATTTTCAATACACCTTGTTCAGGGTAATTGCATGCATGCACTGAGTTACACAACATAACTGGAACAGGGCTCTGCTTGCACTGCATGGATAGCCACTTGAGTTTTTCTCATCTGACTCCCAGAGAGATAGACTGTGTGAAATGTAGGTGCAGCTGCTGTTTTACCTCCGGCATCAGGCACCTCTGTCTGATGCTTCTGCGAAGATACTGCAGGGTACAATCTAACCTCAGCTGCAGACTGTGAGCCCTCTCTGCAATAATCTGGGATTTGTTTTGTTTTTCCTCTGTTGGTGTCTTAAAGGACAGCCTCCTCAACCCGGTAACAGATGTGTTTCAGAGCCCTTAATATCCATTTAAGGATGGAGACTGAGTAATGATCACCGGCAGGTTTGTCTCATGCTACAGTTGTGCAGGCGAAGGATCTGATCTAAATCATGGATCAGTTGGGGGGAGAGGGACATGCTGGTTTCTGAGTCGACTATCTCGTGACGTCCAAGCGGAGCCACTGCCAGATTTGGAAGCGCGAGTTTTATATTCTTTGATCATTTTTCAGAATTATACTGCAATCACATTTAAAATACAGAGCTGGGGTGGATTTAGTGGCTGGGATGGGAGAGGCCAGGGCAACTTGGGGCAGATGGGGTTGGATGGGGTTGGGGTCGGGGTGGGGGTGGGGGTGGGGGGGTGGATTCTGGGAAGGCTCACCTCACAGATTGAGTGACAAGCACTATAAATTTAACAGTTACTATTATTCTTTTAAAGAAGTTTGGCAAGAGAAAGGAAAGAACGCGATGCATGCTAATGTGTGAAGAAAATGCTCAAATGATGAGATGTAAACAAAATCAGCAGGTAGATCTCTGGGTTGTTGCAGTTCAAAACTGCAGCAAATAGTGGGATATGATTCTATTTGAGTCTGAGCTGTCAGACCTCCACAGCTGGCTGTAATACACTCCTGTGCCACCAGAGATCACTGTGGGATAGAGTCTGTACAGAGCAGGCTGGCTCTTGTTCGACCCCCACCCCCATTGCAGACTGATCCCGTCACAGAGTGCCCCCTCAGTGTAAAGTGCTTTGCTGTCTCAGCCACATTTGGGATGAACACTTTAGATCTTTAGGGTCCGTAAGACCTGGTGACAAACATTCTGATGAAATAAGTGACTGCTGACACCTCCAGTTTATAGAAAATAAAAAAGCTGTGAGAACAATATTGCACATAATCATACAAAACTCTAAGACTTCGTCCACAGTGATAGAACAGTGTACAACAAAGGACAACACTAGTAGGTTACAGTGTCTCTGACTTAAGTGATATATATTTACAAAGGTGAAATGACCATTCTCAAGGCCCATTCATTCGTAAACTCAAAATCTCCTATTACGTTACATAAGACTACTTGAGCAAGATTGAAATATAACAAGTAACAATATAGTGAACTCATACGTTTTCTTATTTTTTGCAAGAGACTTGTTTTCAAGGTCTAGCCATGTCGCTGACTGTCTGGCAAACACTCCCGAGTTCTCAAAAAGTCTAACTCAATGAGAACATTTGACGACCTTCCTCCCAGCTCTGCACCTTGAACATGTAAGTCATCACTATAGAAACCACTAAAACAAATATTGCCACATAGTACCATGCAAACAGCAATTATAAAACATTTATAATTCAATAAATAAATTCATTTCCAATAAACGTCTCCAATAAACATCAGATATCTTTTCTTTTGAATAAATTTAAAAGGCTCAGTTGATGCAGGCAATGTTGTGGAGACAATCCCAAGATAGCCATGTTCTTCAAAAACGTATGTGAGCGTTAAACAACCCCTTTGTCAGAGTTAAGTGTGACAAGCTTAATAAAGAAAATCTTCATGACTTGGCACCCTAAAATCTTTGAAAACTAGGAGTGGCTGCTTCTTAAGTATCACAGGTGTCAAAGGTAGGTGTGTTAAAAATTTGCAAACAGTAAGGTTTAGCAGATAAGCCATAAATATTCATATTGAAACATATTTTGGTATTTTCTTGAAGTAAACGATGTAAATTAATCATCTGTTACCTTAAAATTGGTTCACTTTACTCATGGGATTAAATATGAGAATAATGACGAGAGCATTTCTTTTTAAAAAGAGAATAAAAGGGTGGAAAGGATTTTGCTCTCAGACGTAATATTGCATCAAGGTATTCAGTATATTTCTCTAATAAAACAGAAAGCTAACCCTGTCCAGAGATCACAGGCCAAATGTTTACAGGTACAGCCTCGTCTTGTTAGACAGCCACCACCACTGATATGTATGTCTATACCCTTTTCACTTGATCTTTAATGTTGCTTTAGTCTTCTCTATTTACAGTACAAATAAAACTATAGATACTAGCAGCATTCACAACATATGGTCCAACATTCAAGCAACACTAAAAACATTTAATACTGCTTTTAAATAGTTCTAGAAACTAATATGTTTTGCTTTCCTATATTGTATATACTGTATATATATACGGATTTGTTTATATTCATATTTCTACTACAAGTGCAACTGACCAAAAACAGTTTTCTTTAAGAAACGAAACAGAAATAATCAAAGTAAAGTGACAGCTGTCCTTGGTCAGAGTGAGATGAATCTGGATTTTATAAGACTTACGAAATCTACATATACAAAATATATGTGTAAAAAAATAAATAACATGATCACATGAGTCCGGATTTCAACTATTGCACATTCCTTCCAAGATGCACTTTTTTTTTTTTTTTTAAACCTAAATATGATTTTGCTCACAAGTCATTCAGTCAGGGACATGTGTGGCTCAAATCTTAGCCAATCTAGAGGATATAAAATCTCACTGGAGAGTCTACTGCATAGAGTTCAGTCTTGTGGACAAAGTGAGTTTCCTAGCTACAGAAGCCATTGTCCTCTCTATTTATTTAGACTAGATCCCATAAACAATCAGTGAACAGATGTTCAGACTCTCACCTCTGTAAGAGCTGATACCCTCAACAGCTGGGTGTTGGTCGCTTTATGGAAGTCTGAACATCTGTCCCTTTATCATCTACAGGGCGACTCCAACTACAGTGTCATCACCATGCTAGTTTCATGTAGACACCTCTGTTTTTAGCACACTTTGTTCTCTCTGATTTAATCAATAGAATTTTGTTCACTATGTCTCTTTGAAAAATACTTTCATATGGCACATTTAATGTATCTAAATTTGGCAAAGCAACAATATATCTTTGAGTGACAATCAAAATGATTACAACTATTTCATCAATATGTGTAACTTCTATCTATAAACATAAATACATATTTGTTCTCTAGATGAAAAAATAACATTTAGTATTTTTCTTTTTTTAAATTGAATGATCTTGATGAATTCATCAAAATTTCACTTGTTGCACAGTGGCGGACAGTGCAGGTGCAGTGCTTGTCGAGGTTACAATGACAGTTACCATAGTGACAGGAGCCTATGCCATCCAATAAATAAATCCGATAAATAAATAAATAAATAAATTTTAAAAACAACGTTTTTGAGCTGTCCCTCTGAGCGAAGGAACGTTTTCTCTCCACTAGAAGCTTTTTAGTATGTCACAAAAATACTACACTCATACTGAACAACGCGCCAGAGCTTGTACATTATTTACAGTGATCCACACTAGGGTCGAGGGGTGCTGGCAATGATAATCTCCTCGAGGGGGGGGTTGTACTGTCTCCCCACTCCACTGTCACACCAGCCTTCTGCTAGGAAACGCACTATTCACAGTTTAATTACGTGTCAATCTCTAAAAACTAAGCTAGCCTTGTTGTATTTTTTTTTTTGGCACTAACAGTGGCCACGGGGATAAACAGCCACTAAGAGATGAGTTGAAAGGAGGATGGGTAGAAGACAGTGATGGCAGTAACAGAACGAGTGGAGTAAAAACACACACAGTTATAAGGATCTCATGCTAAGGAGTGATCAGGTTAAAGATAATACTGCAGGTTTGATCCACGTGCCATTTCAGTCTTCTTCGAATATCGATGTGAATTTCACAGTTCATACTTAACTATATTCTCTGTCTTCCAGCTGGTGGTCCAGACTGTGGGTCGCAGTGTCTTTTGCCTTGAAAGATAAATCACATCAAAGACAACAGGCTGGAACGCTGTGGGAGGTGTCTGATCACCACGAGGGAACTAAACAGAAAACCTACACTGAGCTCATTTCAGCTGGCTCTCGTTCTTTCCAAGCAGAAGCCGCTTCTATGCCACATTTGTATTTGAAAAGAAAGAAGAAGAATCTGCAGAGATTAAAACAAAGACGGACACATACATGCATGTGCGCTCACACCTCAGCTAACAACACACACCCACCACCACCACCACCTCCCTCCTCTTTACCGAGTGACTCCGACTCAATGCGAGTTACTACAGTAGAATACAGACTAGCAAAGAAAAAAAAATGTCTCTTTAAGAACAAATCTAGACAGCATCTAAATTAGTCTAGAGCCTACGATAGATATAGTAGCTTATGAGACTAAAATGAAAGGTTTACTAGCTGAGCATGTGATACTGCTCAGTGGTCTGCTGGGGATGGAGCAGAAGGAGAGGTGCTGAAGCTGAGCTGAGCTATTGGTTGAGTGTGAGAGGACTATCTTACAGAAATAAACGGTAAGGGGCAACATGATGATGAAGCAGCGTTGATGAGAGGGCGGGAGCATAGGTGACACAGGAACAGGGCTGAGGGAAGGGTGGAGGGATGGTACAGGGGGAGGGGGCTGCTCTTTCAGGAGTAGATGGTGATAACCTCGCGGCCGCCGCCGCGGACCAGGAGGACCCGGTTGAGACCCTCAGTGAGGACCTCCAGGAACTCCATGTCTGAGAGAGAAGCGTTAAAGAAACTAGAGGAAACAAATACAACACTTACATATATATTATACAGCAAGTGATTCTGGGTCCATATAATATATTTTTGTATTAACAGTGCATCATGTGACTGCTTGTATGTGACACGTATCAGTTGTGAGAAAAGTTTTCACTTCTACTTTGTCGGGTCTTTCAGCTCATTGTTGGGTTTACTCCAGACAACTTTACTGTTTTGGTTCAGTCTTCTCACAACTTTTTCTTCAGCAGCAGCAGGTAGTTGTTTTTAGCAAAAAAACAAAAAAACAAAAAAAAACTAAAACTTAGGAAACTGACTCTCTGCTCAGCCCCAAACTGTAGTCACACAAAGTTAAAACTGGCTGGTGAACATGAACACAGTGGAGCCTGAAAACTAATAGGAGATTAAATATTGGACTTCAACATGTGGCCGAAAACACGACTCCAAATGAACGATAATGTTGCTGCGTGTGTGTAAATTTCTAAAAAGACACCTGTTTGCAAACAAGTTCATCACGTCAACTTAAAAGGTGGTAACATGTCAGTGTTGTTCACAGCTTGTTTCTGCTGCCCACAAGTGGCGAAAAGTGCAGATGCACCTTTTTGCTTTTATCTATTAAACACTAATTAGCTGGATAACAGCAGTTTATTCAGCACAGTTATCAACCTCACCTCTTCATCCTGCTTTGATGCTTCAGTGTTTATTCTGCAGTAGTGGTGACAGCATTATTTGTTTGTCAGATATTATTAGTCAATAGCAATTTAGTTTGTGGTGATCTACAGTTGCAGTAAATATCATTTGCAAAACATTTCCTGTGACTAATTTAAAGCTGCATTCATTGATTTTTCAGCGACACAGCAGCAGCGGAAACGAGCTGTAAACACAACATGGAAATATCACCTTTCACAGTCGTTATGGCGAACATGTTAGCAAACAGTTGCCTATTTACATCTGACACAGACCAACATTAGCATTCACCTGGAGTCGTGTTTCTTCCATTGACAAAAGCAACTCCAATATTCACTCTCTCTTAGTTGTGTTTTGATCTCCACTAACTCCAGAGGGAATATCTGACTCTAACTGCTCGACTATGTTCCCCAGTCAGTTGCTAACTGTCGGTCTGCTGCTTGGTGTCGGACAGGTAGCACACACTGGGTTTATCAAAGCTTTTTTGCTGAATCCAAACAGTGACTGCTGGTAACAGGGTTGATTAGAGCAGAGACTGAACCAAACAGTAAAGATATAAACCATAAAACTTGAAAGACATTCAAAGCTCTGCGGAGCTGAGGAGAACTGCAGGGTTTTGTGATAATTCTCTGTGGGTTCATCACTACAAGTGACACCTTTCACATTGCACATACTAATGATACATTGTTAATATTAAAACATAGATTAGATTAGTATCACTTTAAATAAAAGATAAACTCCTTATATCATCTCCCTCTGACGGGAGATAGAGTACTACAAAATATGGACAACGTATTTCATAATGTGATTTATGTATTAAACTGTAACTGACAGAATCTATGTGAATCAAAACGCAGTGTCAAAAGAGTAATTAAAAAGAATTAACCAAAATCCTAATTACTACTTTGTCTCTGTTGCCATCTTGCACTTATCTTCTGATAACAAATCACAGTGCTTTTTTTTTTTTATTCCTGAATCCAAGTCAATTAACTTATCGTTTATTGCTGAAACACAAAATCCAAGTAAGACAGAGCCTGGAGGCTTAGACTAGAGTTGACTGTATCTACAGAGCACCACTAAAACTTTCACTGTTTTGCGCACCACCTGAATATCAATTTACTTACTCTGTTCGCCATAATTACACCTACGTGGGTCAGTATATCTGTGCCATGGGATCTTTGGCCTCCATTTTTGAGCCCCCACATTGGAGGTATCCAGAATTCCCAGTTTAGTATTGTAATGGGACCAAGCCATCATCATTCTATAGTCAGGATCAGAGTGCATCCCGGCAGACCATCACACAATCACACACACTTTTAACTTCACTGTTTCAGAAGTAATACTGATTAACCAGGAACACATAAAAAAGCTCTACGCTATAAATTCATGGGGTTATTATGAAGATCAGCTCTACGAGTGATTCCTTGGTCCAAATTCTTTTTGTCGGTTTATGGATGAGCGGTTCATTGTGACTCAACAGTGTTGCTGCTTATTACTTGTGTTTTAAAGAGGAAGGCAGCACTGTCTCCAGCATCTGTAGGACTCTCAGTCGACCCGCTTCTCTCGAGGTAAAGGATACAGTTCTCGTCACCTGTCCGGTTCTTGGGTGGCCCGGGCATGTTCAGGAGGACTAGCTTGGCCTCCGAGGACTTTTTGATGATGACTTCATTCAGCCGGAGTGCTGTGTGCATACGTCGCACGTTGGACTGGTTCCTGAGTGAGAACAAATTAAAACAAAGAACTGATTAAGACGCACTGATTGAGGCCTAGACACGTTATATTTTAAAGTGTGGTATGCAGCGTTTCGTGATACCGAGCTGGTCATGGTGACAGATGCTCATTCACACGCAAGTATTTCATCCCCATCTGCTCATGAGACCAACTCGGTCAATATGAGATGTGAATGGACTAAATGAGGTTTATAGGAACTTCAATACTTACAGGTTCTCCCACTCACTGCAGCGTGGCAAGGAGAGAAACACATGAATATCAGTACTAAGCTATAAATTCAAAGTTCTTCTTTAACAGCGTTCTGGCAGACCTCTTTGGTCGTATATTATACAGCAGAAAAGACTTTGGAGACTTGAGGCTCTTTGTCAGGAACAAGAAGGTAATTCACCTTTACAACAGGTAAAGGTTCACTGAACATTTCAAAGCACTCACGGCTTCATGTTGAAGATGTCTTTGATGCCCTCTGGTGTGGCTGCGCCAGGCGGCTTGGCGGGCTCCCCGTCACACTTCTCAGTCCAGGTCATCTGGATCTGATCCCCGGGGCTCTGAGCCCCCTCTGCGGGGGTCAGCGGGGTGGCCGGGGTTGCGGGGCTGGTCGGGGTGGTGTTGTCGTGGATGAGCTGGACCTGAGTAGGGGAGGACACAGGGGAAGAGGCCGACTTTGACTATGAGACGAGAGGAAAAGAGGACGGATGTGGATTTACATGTACATTACATGGAAGAGTCACAGTTGAGGTGGAAATGTAGGAATGCAGGTTAAGTCACAGAGAGCCACAGTTTGAGAGAGGGAGAGGAAAGAGAAGTGTTATTAAGAGCCTTGTGGTGTTTCCTTCTGTACATTACCTGCTTTCTTAGTCAGTAACAAGAGCTATTAGAACAGTGATATATAACATCATTCAACAGAAAACTGAAAATACCAGAAAGAGGACGAGTGTCAGCCTGGGCTGAATGTTTGTGTGTTGAAGGGAAAGTTCAACATTTTGGGAAAGATGCTTCCTCGCTTTTTGCTGAGAGCTAGATGAATAGCTTGATACCACTATGACTCCCATACCTTTACAGTAAATATGGAGCTACTGCCAGCAGTTGCTTGGCTTAGAAAAGAAAGAAACAAAAACAGCTGGCCTGACACATCGTCTGTGAAACAGCATCATTTTCACATTTGGTTTTTGCACAAATGAAACAACATGTTCATTATTTAGATTTAGAGATGCTGGTAGATGGAAATGGGGACAGAGCCAGGCTATCTGTTTCCTTCTGTTTCTAGTCCTCATGCTATGCTAAGCTAACCAGCAGCTGTTTACTGTACAAACATGACAGTGGTATTAATCTTCTAATCTAACTCTCTGCAAGAAGTAACTATATTTCCCAAAATGTTGAACTATTCCTTTACATCATTGGAGATATTAGTATTTCTATTTTGTCATTACACCTTCATATTGCTATTTTTAGTTGTACATTTCACAAAAAAAAAAATCTCCTGTGGGTGTTTAGTTTTATCGCATCACTCATGCTCTAATCACTTAAATCAGAGCTTGTTTAGAAACTTAACACTTCAAACTGAGGTCTCTTCTCCACTGGAGGAGCTGACCCTACCTCCTCCTCAGGTTTCTCCTCCTTGCTGGCTGCTGGTGGATCCTCGGTCACGCTCAGCTGGGTGGTAACAGCGGCCGGGTTCTTACGGCGGATAGACCCACGGGATGAATCAGTGATGCTCTGGATCTGTGATGACACAGATGAGAGAGAGGGAGAGGAGAGAAGTGATATGAGCCGAGATATTTTTGTCCAGTGTTCATGAAAAACAAAACAAGTCAGTAATATGTTTTTACAAGAGATTTGTTTACTGTATATCAACAATGATTCACTGATTCAAGTAAAGTAAAAGTGAGGATAATTTCACAGCACTCATTAACTTTATTGACCTAGAGGACCAAGCAATCTTACAGTTCAACAAAAACTATGAGGGAGGTAATAATGTAAGATCAATATCTTTCATTTTCCACATCTGTCAAAACACCATCATGCCCCACGCACAAAAGCAAAGCAGAGTCTGCAGTCAACAGTGATAGAGAGGGTAAATATGGTGTCCCATCGCTCCCATTTAAGCGTAGATATGCTTTTGTCCAGAGGGGTTTTTGTGTCACGTTAAGTCAAATCAAGTTGAGTCATGCCAAGTTGGCCCGTTGAGTCGTGAAGTTCATGTGTACATCTTTGAGTGCGTTTCAAAACAGCAAAACTTTGACATAAACAAACTTCCTTACCTCTCTCTCGCGCTCGTTCTTGGTCAGGTTGATCTGTTTAAGCATCTGCGACCGTTGTTCCATCACCAGAGTCTTCTCGTAAGTGTAGGCTGAGATGTCGCTGTCGTGCTGCGATGAAAGAAAAAAACAAAACAAGTCACTTATGAGCGGTTTCATACGCTTTCTCCCAGTGTATTTTGAAACAAAGTCCTTTATGAAACGTATCGTCTGACCAAGTCTCAAATCAAATGTGTTTATTTCTGTTCTAAATGGCCATGTTGAATGAGGAGTGAAAAACCTGCTGTCATAGAGAGGGTAAGAAACGATTCATCATTCAAACACGGGATAATGAAGCATACTTTCGGTTAGCCTCGGCGTGGAGGCGTTTACGCTATTGCCCTTGGAAAGTGACAAAAGTAATTGTGGGAATAATGAACAGCTTGAGAGATTTAATTCATTTCCTGCCCAGTTTTCCAGTTGCACACATCTGGCCACTCAGTGCGTTAAGTGGATCTGCAGGTTGAATTGTTGATTTTGGAAAGTTACAAAAAGTGTTGGACACAGCTCGCCTCAATTCCAACCTTGGAAAGGCTGAGTGGAAGTATCTTTATATAAATCTTTTTACTGATATAATTGTTGTTACAGTCAGATATTAAAAAGTCAGTCTAGTCTTGAGAAAACACTCACCATTTCTACAACTTCCACCATAGCGTCAATACGGAGGTGATAGAGGAATGTGGTCAGGTCCTTCTTCATCTGGATGCTGTTGTCGTCCATCTGGGCCACAGTGAAGATGCGCATCTTGCACTTCCTCCAAACCTGAGGAGCAAAAAACATAATTTCTGGTATAAATGTATCCACATAATTCAACTGCTCTCTGACTACTGTCTGTAGTTTTATTTACTATTAGTAAACCTCATTTTATTTCATGTTATGGACAAAACTGTGCTAAAGAAACTATGTCTGAGCTACATCTACTACAAGTTGAACTTCTTAAAATGTTTATATAATCTGTAAGAAACATGAATGTGCCTGTAGGAATCCAGGCTGTGCTTTGTCAGTTTACTGAGTTTTGTAATAATAATGCATCCCTGTTTTGTCTTTTGTTGTAGGAACGATTACTGCACAGTACCTTGTGCTGGCGGAGGAGGAAGGGCAGCAGCATCAGCATGCCTCCATCGTGGACGATCCACCACACGTCGATGTGACCCTCAGTGAAGCGCTCGCCATTGGACGGGAAGGCCGAGATGTTCTTTGGGACGAGCAGAGCCAAGTGAGCAGCTGTGGTTTCTCTCACCAACTCTGCCGAACACAAAGACAGATGCAGCGATAGAGGAAGAGCGTCAGCTGTACTACTTCTGCAAGCTCTCTTCATTACTGAAACTGTTACTGCAGTTTTCATTACACTTTTAAGTTGTTTTGACTGGTTCTGGTTGACTTCATCAGGAAGTTTTGACACTGATTAGATATGATTTTATCATAGGCATGTTTCTCTTTTCTCTTCAGAGTTTTTGTTACTGATAAATAATTCTGCTGTGCATGAGCAAATCCTCTTCTGATTCATTATGTTTCCTATTTTTTAAAACAGTGTACTGTGTGATTAGGAATTTTCTTTTGACATTTGAAAAGAAGGATCAGCTGCTCAAAAGCTGGAGCTGGTAGGGATTTTGTCTTGCTGATGTGCTTCAGAAGCAACGTTGCTGGACATAAAAAAGAGCGTGAAGCCTGCAGGAGTCTTTAAGCACCACTTCACTTGTCCACATGACAAATGAGCCTCAAAACAAAATCAGATTTCAGCCTTTTTGGATTGAATTATCAGTTTCTTTTCTTTCCCAGTGACCCACCGATGAAGTTCCTCCAGGTCTGGTGCTCGTCTCCTTGCTTCCAGTTGCGTGGCCAGGAGACCAGCAAGGCGTTATGTTTCAGGCCGCCCAGCCCACTGGCCTGGATTAGGTGGGATGTAGCATCACGCAGGTTCGAGGACACGGTCACTTGACAGAAGCCCTTCACCTTCTCTGTTTCCATCAGTTTACGCAGTGCCTACAAAGGTATGACAGAGAGAGTAACCGTTACCAAGGTGCAGATTACAACTGAAAGGGGCCAAACTGGACAACATCCTAAAGTTGTGACCTTTTGCACATTTTGAGAATTTAAACTGTTAACGTTAGTTATTGATGGTTCAAAGCTCCCTACCTGCTCTGCACGCTGGACCTGGTCATGGTTCTCCAGGTATGTGCCCTCTAGAGCTGTCCCAACAATGGTGAGACCTTTTCCCGCCTTCAGTTGGTTGGTCAGAGACAACAGACGAGGCTGCTCCACGTTCTGCTCGCCGTCTGTACTAACCAGGACCAGCAACTGAGGCCTGAAGAGAGATAAGATCAGAGGGGAGAGAGAGTGAAAATACAGTGCAGAAAAGAAGTAGGGAGAGTTAAATAAAGGCATGAAGAAAGAAATGGCTGGGTTGGCCAAGTAAAAGTCCTAGTAGGGAAAGATAGAGAAAAAACAGCATGAAAAGTTGACATGTTAATATGAATTCACAAACACTCTTTGCAATTTGACAGCTGAGATGAGGACAATCACTTATAACTGAGAGAAAATGCCTGAACATGTACAGACATGTTCATCTCTGTGTTTATTAGAACCACGATAAAACAGCTCAGTGTGTCATACCTCCAGTTCTTGGTGTGTGGGGGACCTTCCTCCAGCCGCATGAGAGCGTAACGCGCGGCACTCAGAGACAGACCTCGTATTCCATCACCCCACTCTTTCTCCGCACTGAAACACAGACAGCACCAATCAACATTTGTCACTCAAAACATGAGCAGTAGTTGTGCAGCTTCACTCTAAATTTAAAAGGGACAGTGATACAATCAGCACACTGAAGCAAACCTACTTTTAGACGACAGTTTGACATAATGCAGAGTGATTGAGGATTGGGCATCGCTGGTAAATGTCAAGTTAACATGATGTCCCTCAGCAGAGGGAATCACAGCACTTAAATACACTGCCTGAATGGCTCTGTACCACTCCATTATAAGCATGGGTGGATTACTGAAAGGGTCTTCCACTCACAGGCACAGGGGCCTGAGGGGTCAGGGGCCCCCTGGGCTAGAGCCAACATTTGTTGTTGGAAAGTTACAGAGCTCAGTTAAAAGCAGGGGCCTCCTGATAACATTTGCCAACCAAATACATTCAAAAAAATGTGTTCTTGTTTATTTGTTACAGTAACATTTCATTACTCACACTTCATATTTAGTGTGAACTAAATATTAAAGTTCAGTGGCAGGTTTTGAACCAGCAGCAGAACCTGAGAGACAAACTCTTTCACTGAAAGAGACGCAACATGACTACAGAGAGACACACTGCGACTAGGAGACACACCACGACTACCAAGAGATGCAAAATTGCAACAAAATAATAATTATTATTAATTATATAGAAGGATATAGGATGTTAGTGTAACACATGGTTGCTAGGGTCTCACATGACAGGAGGTGACAAGAGCCCAAAACAAACAGTGAAGCTATAACCCAAAAAACAATCTTCCTTTCAAACCCCCCGAACAAAAATGATTGATGGTGTGGACTTGAAAACACACATTTACAATACAGTATGCACACACACACACACACACACACACACACACACACACACACACACACACACACACACACACACACACACACCAGCCAAAACTATGGCAGCCAGCGAATCTAATCTCTCCTGGGGTTGCACTCCACTCACCCTGCAAACTCGATATACTTGTAGATAGAGCCGGCAATAACCATGGCGACAATGGCGTAGTACCAGGAGCAGAGGAACATGAGTGTGAGACACAAGCTCATCCCCAGGAAGGACAGAGCCCTGTATAGATGGACAGATACAGAGACACAGACAGTAAGATAGAGATCAAGAGAGGTAAACATGTTTGTTTGTGTTTCTCTCAGTAGCTGCTGAACGGACCAGTGGTAGAACTTGAAGCGAGGTCTCCAGTTTGGAGTCCTCAGCAGTGTCTGCAGGGCGCAGGCCAGGTTCACAAACATGTAGCACATGAGGAAAAACCTGCAGGGCGCACACAAGCACAGAAACGTAGTAAATCAGAGCTGTCCTGGTGTCCTGTGACACAACAGAGTGATTTCACTAAATGCAGTCCAAGAAGAATGCTGTCTCAAAACCTGTCACATTTACTGGTATTTACATGTATCAACAAAGCAGAAAAGCGGTCTGCCCATTCGTGTGATGGGCTAAATCCCAATCCCACAAAATTTGGCATTTGCATTGTTTAAGGAATTGTGGGGGAGTGGCTGCTCTGAAATCTCCCACTGAAATCTGGTAGAGTTTGTTGTTTCACTTCTCACATGGAGAGGATGGGAGCCACTGCATCCAGGGAGGCAATGAGGATGCCGCTCTCGCAGATACAAGCTGTCAGCAGGAGGGACCATGTGGGTTCTCCATTGGCCTTCCCATGGCCAAAGATCTGCAGGGATGACACAGAAAACACATTCACACCACCGCTATGGTTGAGGTGATTTTTCCTGCTTGTTGCGGCAGTCATTAGAAAGGATGGGAACATTATGAATATGATATGCAAATTTGAAGACAGACTGACCCGAAGGGCGGGCACGATGCCGTCCTTGGCGATGGCCTGCATGAGACGAGGAGCTCCTGTCAGACTCTGCAGCCCTGCGCCGCAGGTTGAGAAGAAGGAGCCGATCACAATCACCCACGGTGACGGCCAAGCTAATGTGCCAATCACAAGGTTCCCGTGCACCCCCTCCCCGAACCTAAAGGAGATGAGAAAAGGTTGCTTGCCATTTCCAATGCATGAAATCTGGATTTTTTTAAATTGTATAATTAATAGCACGTTGTTTGTCTCAGCTAAGGAAGAATGAACTTACTTGTCTCTGAGGACCACACCCTCGATGCAGGCACCAAACAGAATCACGCTGGACATGTCTGAACAGTTATAGATCAGGAACGTTGTCATACAGACGAGTGCTGTGTTTTCTAAATGGTGGATGTTTGATATTTGTTTAGCCAGCTTACATATTGACCTGGTTAGTGATTGGCAGGACTTAATTAACATTTATAAACCTTTGCTTTGAAAAACCACGTAATGATCTGATAAATCAATTAACTATATTTGCTGGGGAAATACATCAATCGATTTTGTTTAGGATAATATCTGATAGATCAGTGACATTGTAACTAATATCTGTCTGCTTTATTAACTTGTGATTGCATAGGCAGCTCAATGATGCGATTAGAAGTCCTAATCAAATTTGGTTAGACCCCCAAGCTCATTACTGTGAGATACATTCAACATGGCTGCTTCAGAGGCCTGTAATCACCAATGCCTTGTATGTTGCGGCACTTGTGTAGCAGCCAAATCCTGTTTCAGATCATTTAGGATACAAAAACCTTCAATTTAAAACTTTCCAAAACAGTAAAGTCATCATCCTCCACAGTATAAGACTGTGTAAGGAAAGTTTGGAGGGAGAATGCAGTCTTAGATGTGCCAGAAAAACAGTTTACCCACCACTTCACACCACTGCTTTTGTGCCATAACCATGATAGTATATTTTAGATCTGTTACAACATTACAATAGCAGCATACAAATACATAAGCAAAATATGAACATGGTGAACAGAAGTCTTTGAGTGGAAAAAAATGAGCGAACTGATTCAGACGTCACATCACCAAGATTTAAGAAAACAGTCACCTTCCATGAAATATACAGGAATACTTTGGGCCAGACAGAAAAACAATGCATTACCCCTTGTCAAAATCAGACTGGTATTGTAGCGGTTCTGGCCTGTCACCGTTTAAAACATTGACCTTTAATTATGGTGCTCCCTGCAGGCCAATCAGTGTGTTTTTGTTGCGGCAGAGCAAAACACCACGGTGCATCATTGCTTCAAGTCCTGCCAAAATTGGACCAGAGCTGTCTGACATATCGTCACTAAGCTTAAAATACCATTTGAGTGGATATCTGACTGGAACTCAAGGAGTACTTTTAGATGTCTAGTATAAAGAAGGTCAGAATTAGGGTTTTGTGTATCATTAACAGTCCTGGGGAGTTCATTCAGTTATTAACTTAAACTTGAACATATTAGTATTGTGTCCTAACTGCAACATCTTATGGAAATCAGTGCATTTATATAATATTTGTGTCAAAAATTGACACTATTTCAAATGTTTTTTTTATTTGTCTGTGCAGTTATTCCTGTTATCCTGCAGGGGGCAGTAGCGAGAGGATACAGACGGTGGAGGTGGTGGTGATGGCCGCAATGGTTCCAACGGGGATAGACTTCTGGGCATCACGCAGGTCTCCAGAGCGGTTGGAGCCGGCCATGATCCCTGAGCAGAGAGTCGAGACGCAAACATCATCAGGATCAGAGATTTACACACATGAAAACAAAGGGTGTGTTAGAGGCAGCGGAATAGTAATTAAATTCTGTACATATGTAACATGGATACAGAAGTGTTAACAACAGAAATCTTTTTTACAGTCCTTTTTTTTTTTTTTTTTTTACAGTTTTAGTCAGCATCTATTTCATCATTTTGTTTCGTCCTAGATAAACTTCACACATCAAAAACACAAGAATTCACTGGGGAGTTAAGAATTTTTTTTTTTTTTTTAAATGTCACCTGTCACAGAGGGGAAGTAGATCCCGACCAGCAGTGTGAAGAAGCTGGTGATGTCGGCCAACACGTAGCGGTTAGCGTTGGTCAGAGGATCGTCCTGCTCTTCCACTGAGTACGTGTCCTTCTTGGCAATCAGGTCCCCCTTCTCGTAGTAGGTCCCAAACAGGTTCTCTGGGTAGATGAGAGGGATGAAGGGAAGAACAGAGGAGATCAATGTTCCATGTAAAAACATGGTGTTGAAATCACAAGCATGAACTGCAGCTGATTATGTTGTTGTCTCATAAAGCCACGTCTTTTAAACACAGAGTGCTGAGAGAAAGTATTCACCTCCTCTGAAGTTGTCACGTTTTACAACACTGAATCAAACTCGATTTTAATGTGGTTTTTGTTTTACACTGCTCCGTTTCAATGTCACAGTTCGTCAGAGACTTGTGAACCAACTGCTGGTGACAGTTGTGTCCTCTTAAAGAAGGTGAATACTTATGCAAACATGTATTTTGTATTCTATAATGGTAATCAGTTTAGATCTGTATTCACTTTGACATTGAAGGGCATTTTTCTGTTGATTAGAGTCAACATGAAAACTTCCTGGGGGAGGGGGGGGGTGAACACTTTTTGTTGGCACTGTATTAACCATGGACTCTAATCTACAAATGTGAATCCTTGACACAGGCTTTACTGTCAGCCCAGCAAATAACACTTGAGTGAAACAAGGTCAAGCCAGCTCCGGACTTCCTCTGGCTAAGGGCTTTTTGTTAAGCCCAGAGCTGAGAAATGCAAAGTGCCGCTGTTACTTCCCTCTGCTTTGTCTTTGTGATACTTCATCGCTTCCTACAAATACTTTCAACAGGCACCGAAGAATGAACTTTATCTTGTTTTATCTAGTCACATATACAGAAGGAGGAATGAGCAACAGTGATGGCATCTTTTCAAATGTAAACGTGCATCACGGACTATTAAGGCAACTCTTGAATTATGAAATGACATGGATTGAAATACAGTGAAAATAGAGCATCTTAGTATAAGACATACAGTAACTAATGTATATAATGAAAACAAAATATATCAGTGGGAAGCTTTGTTATAATGTCATTATTCACTCTTTCCTCTTAATGTCCTCTGTGCTTTTCCCATAAAAATAAAAAAAAATCTGTAACCACTCCTACTGGAGACATTGTTATCTTTCCCCATTTGACAACAGACTTTTTCTACAACAGGAAAAAGCAGTATTAAAAGTTACACAGACTGAACTTGTTTTAAGTCAACTTTTGCATTTGCATTCTTGTACATAGCCAGTAATGCATTCTAAAACCAATTTGAGATGCAAACACTACAAATAAATTGTCAGTGAATCAGCAACACAGACAGATGAGATAAATAAATATTTGTGAACTGTACATGTGTGTACGCATGTGTATGGATTGTGTTCAATCAAACTGAAAATGACACATTGGTCTTCACTTGTCTGCAGATCCAAACTTTATGAACCAACCTGCCAGGATCCCGCTGGTGACCCCCGGGATGCCCTGGACCCGCGTCACATTGTTGTCGGTGAAGAACTTGTCGCAGGTAGCGTTGAGGTACGGTGAATCACAGAACATGCGCCACAGCTGCGTGGTGACTGTCCCATTAGCTGTCTCGACGGTCTTGGCACACACATCAAAGGTCTTCCACACCAAAGTGCGGTTCCCCAGGAGACAGACACTGGAGAGAAGAAAGGCACAAAATGTCTGGTGTGTCTGGTCGTAAGCAATTTGTTTTGACCCCTTTAGTAAAGATTCAAAATATCAAATGACAAAATGTCATTCTGCCTGCGATTTGATTCAATTTAATTCACTTTGATTTATTTGATCTGATTGAGCAAGCACAAAATAAACCTAAAACCACTTAATCATTGATTGTAATGTGATTTTAAATTTCAAACTTCAAAATCATTTGAATTAAGAGAAGTTTTACTCATATCCAAGCTTTCAAATCAAAGGATATGGCTGTCTAGCATTCAACCAATGTAGCAGCTGTGTATTATTGCCCAGGTGTGTTTCTCTGCGTGGCTATCAGTCTTATGTTGGCCGCTTACGGGAAGTCTGGCGCGTCGATGGCGGTCTTGATGACCCCGGCGTACACAGCCAGGATGGAGAGAATGACGCAGGCCAGAAACACCAGGGCCAACTTGTTGACGTACTTCACGCCGACAAACACCACCGTGGCCATGGAGATGAGGAGGATGGTCCCGTACACGCGCATGTTGTTAAGCAGGGCAGCCTCCGCCTCGGCACCTTCCAGTCCCTCCAGGGGAAAGATGGCCGCTTTGGGAGCTATGTATATCTGAAGTGGAGAAATTACATTACTATTTCTTTACCTTTTTGTATCCAGGGAAAACACACCTGTATTTGTCTCATAACAGCTCCATACAATCTCATTGTTGCTTAGGGGCATCTTGATGGTAGTTGTTTAGAGAGTGCAGGTGTTACTCATCCACTTTCCCTCCTCCCTTTTCCCCAGTCTGTCTGGGGATATAAACTGGCAGTTCTCAGGTCACAAGCCTGCTCTTGTAGCTCATTGTTTACTACTGAATTTAATACATTTCACCCTGGGTAAATAAAAAAAAAAAAAAAAAAGATGAAATAGAATAAAAGAGAGGTGAGAAAACCAGTGAGGGATGAGGTCAGTGAGGGGGGACAACTATGTGAAGTGTGAAAACATGTGATGCTCACATTAACAATCCTCTACTGGAGCTTGAAGCAGCACACATAGTACTGACTGCTATTTTAATTCAGCTTAATTAAAGAACTAAAGCATGGTATTAATATTTGAAATTAACTGCCATTATTACACTGTTACTACGGGTCAATCTAAGAATAGTCCCATCATATATAAAACGGTAAACCCTTAATTAGCCTGTCAGGATCTGCCATCAGCTGTAGATGATTCATGACGAGGCGGTTACATAAGCATGGGAATTTCTCTCTTTTTTAAAATAATCGTTTAGTTTCCACACAAACTGTTTAATCACCACAAAGGGCAAAGACTATTGAAGCGAACAAGCGGGGAGTCGCGGCTCATTTCGGTCATTTGGCTGGAGAAAGTGGTCTGATGCTAAGAACAGCATATCACTAGGCAAACAAATCTCCTGCTTCACCGTGAACTGTTCATGCTTCCTAAAATAGCAGCATCAGTTTGTGTTCTTGGCTTGGGTGGAAGGATGAAACATATTCAAATCAGCCTTCTCCAGATCCGCTCCTTACAATTCTGCAGGGATTGTTATTTTACAATGGAAACTAAGCCAGCTTTGACCCAGAAGACAGAATTAACCTCCAGGCATGATCAAACTCTGCATATCCATTAGAGGCATCCAGAAGGAGAGTAACGAAAGAATTAAAAAAAACAAAAACATACTCTGGTATGTTGATAACAGTGGACCAAAGTGACGAGAGCTGTTTCAAGGAATGATCTTGTTACTCCGCCAGTGTCTTGATCTCCCACTAATGCAGTATTTGCATAATTACCCAGTACTCCATGCAGCAGGGGCTGCAGTGGCAGAAGTGTGTAATAAAAGGCAGAGGAGGTGGAGGTGGTGGAGGAGGAGGAGGAGGAGAGGAATGAAGATCGAGATGAAAGATCTCTGCATTTCATCAACTTATCAGAATCCACGTTGAAGAACACACAGTTTGAGAAAAAATAGCTTCAAAGCACTGAGGAGGAAAATAAACTGAAGGAGAAGAACTGTATTTTCACTAAGACATGGCTCATGGTGGTGCTGTGCTATGCTCAGTTTCAGTTTTTATAGAGCACAGGGTTTTTGTCACATTTGCTAATTCACCAGTAATTTTACTGCACTGAAGTGTCAGCAATTAAGCGGCACAGAGTTTTGCTTTCAAAGATTACAGGAATATCACAACCTGTTCCTAGATTATATTAAAAATCTGTTAAGCATAAAAAAAGAGCATTTTCCTGATGCAGCTATAAAGGTTGTTACGGGTGCAGAAATAACAACTTTGAAAGTAACATATTCTGATCAACTTGACAAACATTAAAGGAATAATTCAACATTTTGGGGGAAACGCTAATTTACTTTTTTGTTAAAAGTTACATGAGAAGATTGGAGAGGGAGAAACAGTCAGCTTAGCTCTGTACAAAGATAACAAAATCCACCTAGCAGCCACCTACAGTACCTGCTGCTGATGGTATCTTCACATTGAACGTACTGACATGAGAGTGCTATCAATCTTCTCATTTAACACTCAGCAAGAAAGTGCGTTTCCAAAAATGTCTAACTGTTCATTTGGGTTAAATGCTCCAAGAAACAACTACTGCGGCCTCCATGTCTGCTGAAAATGACATCAGTGAGAGTGATATGGACAAAACCCAACAGAAAACTGATGACATGAACACAATATCACTTTGAATAATGAAGTGAAAGTAAAAAAAAAAATCAGGTCTCCCTGGAAGAACAGATTCTGATCTCATGAATCTTTTACCTGCTTAAATAAAGTTATAGAAAGGAAGAAATGAACATGAAGCACCGCAGGGCGATGCAGCTGTGCTCTCAGTAGACATCACTGCCTGGCTTCTGAGAACCTCTGTGTGGCTGGTTTTGTTTGGCTCCTTGCCTCTTGTCATTGAACCATTTCCAACACTGGCACCATTTTTTTTGGACCTGAGCAACCTGATAGCAAATCTTTTATGTATTCCCAACATAATTTAATCTAAGGGGTCATATTCGCTCGTGGTAATTGTGCAATCGCTGCACAATGACATCAGCTTCCTCTTGAGAGTATCCTTTGTGACACTGTTATCACCATGACAAAATTGTCAGAGTTTGATGTTTAAGAGTTCACTGCAGGGAAGGAAAAGCTGTGATTTGAGCGGTCATCCTCCGCTAACCTGGCAACCGCTGTCCTATCATTTTCCCTTTAGCTCATTGTGGATGAATTAGCTTGAAATGGATGTCATTTCAAGTGGGCTGTACAATAGAGGGTTGACAGTTCTCTCCTTTACTCACATCAACATGAACCCACTCACTGGGATGTGATCTGTCTTTGCTTTTAATTTCCTGTCTAAAAAAACAAAACAAAACATGCTAGCTGTTCTGGAAACGTGAAAAATGATAAAACCAGAATCAAACTTAAAATAAATCTGTGGTGAGAAATAAACCACGCACCTGCAGAGGAATGCATTCTTTTATATCTACAACACCTAGTGTGAATTATTTATTATCATGTAATTTTCTTTTTTTAAAGCCGATACGCTGAGAGGAGAACAGAGGATGTTTCTCACCAGGAGGAGCTCTATGGCCCCCAGGATGTACATGGCTCCAGCGAAGGTGGTCCCCAGGTAGAAACAGATCCCCACTGCTCCACCAAACTCGGGGCCCAGCGAACGGGATATCATGTAGTAGGAGCCTCCAGCTACGCAACAAACACATCAAGGTTAACAAACAATCAGAAGTATGTGTGTGGTCTGTAAGTACGTATATAATTTACACGCTACTGACAGTCTTTTATGTCCATGCAACTGTATCAACATGTGTTTCACTAAGTGTATAAGAGAAAGAAATTAGTGATTATTTAAGTTTGATATGTGTGCCACCATTTTGGAGCTGCTGTGCAACTGTCAGTCCAAAAAGTGTTAGTGTAAGAAAAACAGCTTCACACCCAGTGAATATTTATTTTCACTTGTAAAAATGACTAAAATGAATTGTCACCTGGAATTGATTACATTCTCATAGATCAATTAATAATCTGGTTTAAAACATTTGTGTAATTGCACTAATTTACATTGGTCATATTGTTTTCCAGTAGTTGTATTTTTGGTTGTGCTATTTTTGTTACTAATCTTTCCTCACTGTGTTTTACCATAGTGTTTGTATTTACTACGAGTGTGCAAATAAATTAACTGAACATAAATAAATAGACTTTAATCAGCACTTTGCAGCAGCTAAAGGCTGGAACCAGTTATAACAGAGACAGTTATAATTGATGTACAGTCCCACACTTCTCTACCAGCCTGTGTTTCTGCTGTACGCACATCAACTGGTGCGACGCAGGCCATCATTACTATGTAAAAGCACATTATAATATATAGCTATACTGTTTGATGTGTACATTAACATGTCTGCAGACAGATACACACACATATACTCAGTTTTATATTTCAGGCATTTGGCTGGTGCTTTATTTTGTGTAAATAATGTTGTGTGACAACAAGTTAAAGTGCACAAGATCCCAGACTAAAGCTTTTAATGTTTCTGGGGATATCAAGCTGCGCTGGGTGTAATGTGCCAAAAGCAATCAGTGAAAAGAGAAATTTAGAAGCGGACAGCTTCAAACAGTGATGGCTGTGTGGTGCCAGCGTCTGCTCACCCACCTGGCACTACTCCATTGGTAGCGATGGCACTCATTGAGATGGCAGTCAGCATAGTCTACACAGAGAGAAGGGAGTCGACAGGAAAAAGAAAGTTAGATCATATTTACCAGATTCCACATATACTGTAAATATGATAAGTTGAATGCTAAGCTTCTCATCCTTTAATCCTTGAAAAGTGTCATGTCAAGTATCAAGTGTCAGCATGCTAACATGCTCACAAAATGACAATGCTAACATGTTAGCAGGTATAATGTTTATCTTGTTCACAATCATAGTTTAGCATGTTAGCTTGCTCACATTTGCCAGTTAGCACTACACATGAAGTACAGCTGAGGCTGATGGGAATGTCTTTAGCTTTGCAGGTATTTGGTCATTGAACAAAGTATTTGACAAAAAGAATTTTGATGGTCAGAGAAGTCAGTGAATCACCAAAGTTATCATCCTTGAGTTCTTCCTGAGGGACACATGAATGTCTGCGTCAAAGTTCATTGTAGTCCATGCAATAGTTATCAGGACATTTGACAAAAAAACCACAAATGTGAACCTACGGAGGCAGTGGAAAAAATGTCAAGGGGATTGCTAAAGTCCATCAAATAGTTGTTGATATTCAACCAACGCTGCCATTTTAGCACAGCTAAAAATCATAAACTGTCTTGAATTTTATGTTGTCTGCCAAAGTCGTTTACTTTAAAAGTAATCTCTCCATATTTAAATGTCCTTCCAGTGATGTCCATCATAACTGCATCTGGCCTGTGGTGTGTGACATCAAAACACCCTGTACTGGAGTTTACATGGGGACAGCAGCGATTTACAGCAATGCTAAATGCTAAAGCTGCCTGGTTGTTGATTAGATAAATAATAATGCTACGGGGCCTGTCAACAGCTGTCAGAGCACATTCAGACAACCAATGACAACTCTCATGTAACTCCGATACTGAGTGGGAGAGAAAAAAAACACCGGAAGAAATGTGAGGGCATGCCAGAGTGGAGATCACTAGTTGCCTGCAACGCAAACAGCCAGCCCTCATTGCCCTGCAGAGGAAGAGAGGGAGAGATGCAGGCAGCGAGCGGAAGAACAGACCAGAAAAATAAAAAATGACAAAGTGAGAAACAGAGAGGGTGAGTGAGAAAGAGAGAGAGAGAGAGATAGTGCGTGTGACAGTACAAAGACAGCATTAAGATTTCATCATTCTTTCAAACGCTATTGTTGAATTTCTGAGTGTCTTTTTACATTGTCTTCACATGAAAGAGAGCGATGGAGAGAGAAAGAGAAGCATGAGGAGATGTAAGAGCAGGCTGGTAAAAAAAATCAGTGCCTCCTTCTGAAACAGCTCCTACTTTTACTTGTTCCCTTTTCCCAGCCTCACTGCTGTAATCACTGCTGATATTACTTGCTATTTTTTAGCAAGAATTTTTTTAGTTTTAGTCATTGTTTACATATTCAAAATACGACTTTTTATTGTCCACAATATTAATATATAGTGTCAGTGATTCAACTTCTGGCCAGTTTATAAAAGCGTTCAAACTGTTGATGTATGTATTCGGTATGGGGTAGGTATTTCCTGGCTAAAATTCTTTGTAACACATATTTCACATTTACCACAGCAGCAACAGTACAACAGAAGACAAACTGGGTAATTAACATTTCAACCGTGACACGCAGCTACTGTATGTCTACAGAAACCTTGGCAATGAAAAATCCCAGGGAAAAGACATCACATTATAACAGCACCTGTAGTATATCAAAGTATATGAGAATATGAACTCTGCAGCAGCCAGACACTATGCTCGAGCAAATCATGGCTCTACTGCAGCGCTCAAACTCTCCTCCCCAGAGAGGAGGAGATACGGTCAATATACTACTGAGAAGCTGAACCACATGGACTCAAGATAGAACTGAGCATTTCATGTTATCTGAAATCTGTGTCCCAACAACAGTGATAGTGTTATTCCTTTTAAGATTTAGTTATGTAACTGTTGTTTCTTGTTATGAATAATAGTGGGCTGTTTGTTGTTTCCCACTGCAGCACCTTCCCTCTTCAGTGAGTGCTGTCATGACATCGGCTCACAGATTGATTAACCAATAACAGACTGTTCTCTACATTTTTTTCAAATATATAACAGTAAATAACAGTAAATTATAACAGTATATTAAATGGAAAAACATTGACCAAAATACTCCTGATCTTGCAGATTATGAATCAAAAGGATACGTCTGCTGGTTTTAGCTTATCACAGATATATTGTTATCAGCGTATATGTAAGCAGATCAATAACAAAGATAAGTCGTTTATTTAATGTTCATAATACAGGCTTGCCCACATCACAGAGCATTTACTTTTCATGCTCATTGTAGTTAAAGATCCCATTTAAACATTTTTTTTTTAACATTTTAAATACTTTGCTCGAAAAAACAATTCATGTCTGAAGTGTTTTTTCAATGAAACAAAATCAATTAGCTTCCTTCTACGTCATTGAAAAATCTATAATAAGCTCTATATATAATATATGAATGTGCAAATATTTTTCAATTTATAAGCAGCATACAAACATTTTATAAATGGTTTATAAAGCACTGTAATATAATCAAACACAGCTTTAAGGAGATTTTTGCTGTGTTTAATGTACAGTATTTGTCTCCTTATAATTGTGTATAATTACAGCTGAGTTTCACTGTATTGTCATTCATTATACACTAGCCTCCAGTTATGGGTGAGGGGGAGTTAAAATTGTTGACAAATACACTAATAAATAGTTATGCTGCTTAATGCTTACAACTACATTACAGTGCATTATAATCCATTTATTACATGTTTGCATACAGTTTATAAATGCTAAATATACGGACATAAAGTAAAGTGTTACCCATATATCATTTGCTCAGCTTTAATATATTTTTGATGTTAAAAAAATAAATATTAGCAGATGAATAAACCTTTCAATAGCAATGTTAGAATCAACCTAAAAAATCCAGTGTATTTGGATTAAAAACTTTAACTTCTGACTCTGCTTTGCTTTTGTAATAATATACTAATACAACAACTACTACCATTAACAAATTAATAACATATGTATAACATACTATTATCATTCAGTGGTCATTGCTGTGGTGTTCCTGCACTGACGATGAAACATTTAAGTATCTTAGACACAGCAAGACAAAGAAGAGAGTGAATGAGACTTCTAATGGAACAAAGTGTGGTGATTCCCAGCCACAGGACGACATGCTGGTTATGTTTGACTATCATTACATCTGTCTCTGTGAAGACTGTAATGTGGTTAGTGTCACCTGAGGGCCTGGTGGACTGACGATCCGGAGTCAACAGTGAGTGGGACTGGGCTCTGTTCCTCTCTCTAATCTGGTCCTAATGAGGCCACAAGCTCTTCTCCCACCACAGCAGATAAGACAGTAATTGTTTAAGTGTTTTATCTGATGTGGGCAGCAGCCACGCAGAGGTAGTCCGTCGCATACTGAATCACTGAATCACCACGCACCCGCACAGAACAGCCACGAACAGACTCATATGACTTACACAAGCAGTACAGTCAAGCACCACATAATATCCTGTGCATTAGAAGTATGACTGCGGATTACATACGTTTCAGTAATGGTAAGGTAAAGCAGCAATATTATTAGAAAGGAGCCATTCTTTTTCCCCAAAGCCTTGATGTTGTCCTTAAAAACACGTTTAACAACTGCTACCCTGAACAGTGATTATGTTTGTGCGATTGTAATGTAGTTCGGAGAGTGCTTGATTTTTTTAGCCTTTCCAAAGGTAAAAACATGAGGGAAAGAGTGTAAGGGATGGATTTAACAGCGTGTTTATGTGGTCTAAGGTAAACTGCAAAAATTAGCATGTCCAGCTAACTTGTTTACTAATGTTTTTTACTACCTACAGTGGTAAGGCTAACGTAGCGTAGGCTGACATTCTACTAAAGTTTATAACTGGCTATACACATTATATATACTACATTATTGTAGTATATATGTAGGTTTCTATAGTTAGCATTCAAACAAGGGTCTGTTAGAATAACACAATAATACATTTTTCCTTATCATTTTGCATTGTGAATTATACTTGGGCTAATTAGCTCTACCATGCAGTACAAACATAATACTACTCCTGTTGTCTACATTGAGCATCAACTGGTGAGTGTGACTTTTTCCCTCTGACTTTATCATATCATTAACGTAGCCATTAATTGCATATGTGAGACTTTTTCACATGCTTCTCATTTCAAAACAACTCAGCTGGACATGGAGTTTTAAACCTATTCTCATGGACTTAATGATAATAAGCCACTGTAGCTAGCTACGCCTGATAAAGTATAGTAGTGACAGTTGTTATGGCAGCTGACAATATCAGGAGTGGTCAGCAAGAAATTAGATACCTGCCCATTGTGGTAAACCTGCCACCATCATAACCATGACCTCTCAGAGCTCCAGTTTGTCTCCAGTGAGATTTCACTTCTATCCTCTGGTTAGTTTCTAATGGCCTGTCTGTCATTTTGTTTTGCCTGGATTTTTTTTTTTTTTTTTGTGGTTTCCCATTTGGGCAATTTACCTTTACTTTTGGCAGTGTCCTACTTTTATTCCACATGACCCTCCGGGCGTCACTGCAGACAGGAACATTAACAAACGTCATCAATCAGCTGCTGTCACAAACTCAGTGGATTGTTCCTGGCCGTCCTGCAAAGTTTGCACTGACCTCAGAAGGTCACAACCAGTTTTTCAGCAAATGTAAATGGTCCAAAAGTCAATGTTAAAAGTCAAACACTAAAATCTAAGACTTGAATTGTTTTAGTGTTCTTTTGTCTATTTTTTTCCCTCTTCAGACAGTTGAAACCCAATAACTGTACCCGATGTACTTGTGTTTGAATTAGCAGATGATTGGTGGACTGGCACTGGAGGCAGCAGTGTTCTGCTGTAGTGGGCAGGATGAGCAACATCTTTTTTCCCACTGACCCAGAGCCTGTGGCCCGTTTAATCGTCCCACTTTCAGGCAATGCAGGTAACCTAAAACTGTGATGTTTGGAGAGTTTGTGTGATAGAGTGTGTAGCCTACTCTGGTTTGCTAACACTGTCTTTCTCTATGAAGCCTGGAGTCAGTGCCTGTACCTCCAAACTCGCACGTACCTACACACTCTCTGGCCTGTGAGCATGCCAGCAGACAACCTCAGATCATGCCGCCTGCCATCTGTCTCCTCCATATGAGGTGCAACAGCAGACAGCTTATATATCAGACAAAAGAGGTAAGGCAGTCTGAATGCTAGCAAAACTTGAATAATTGCTAAGCCTTCACAATTATGGCTGAGCCTGAGGAATGTGTTTATTGAAGAAGCTAATTTTAATTCTTAAGAAAAGTCTGCTAGCTGATATACCCCCCGACACTGACTGCAAAGGACACTTTAGGTCTGTTTCCTCCAGACAAACTCTGATTTGGCCTTTAGTCGACCTCGGAGTTGAGCAGAAATTGGTTTTGACAGGAATGGAGCTTTCGCGCTGCCCTGAGAGTGTGCTTCATTAGCATGCTTCATTACACAAATGCAGAATAGTTTTGTCAAGTACAACTTCATCAATTCACATCCAATGGTAGAGTGGAAATCTATGTTCAGCGCACTGTTTATCACTTGAAATCCCGGTGGATTGGTGCGCTGTGGAAGGCAAAAGTGTCAGGTGAAGGAGATGGAGGAGATTTTTTCAGACTGACATTGGGGAAAGAGGGTGAACACAAGAAGACGTTATGCGGTGGTGTGAGAGAGGAGGAGGTGGCAAAGCAGGACAAAAATTGGACGGTAGGTAGAGAGAGAGAGAGAGAGAGAGAGAGAGAGGGAGGAAACAAAAGAAAGGAGACGAGAGGGGAAATAATGAGACCGTAAAATGAAAAAAGGGTTTGAGAAATTGAGGAAACGAAAGAGATGAGAGTAAAAAATGAAAGAGATGGAGGGAGAAAAGCATCCTTAGCATTTAAATGAGTCACGACAGAGGGCAGACCACCCTTCCTCTTGCAGCATTTGGATTCAAGACCTGGAAGTAATGAGGAAGGCCAAACAACAGATGACTTTCCATCTAGAATATTAAACCTCATTTTATCTTGGTGACAAGCCTGAATTCATTATCTAGGCTAAAAAGACACACACACACACACGCAGCACATGTTTGAATGTACCAGCTTGGAGAACACTTGTCTGCAGAAATATACTGACTTTTAAAATGGGTGGTTGTGTGTATTCGTCGTTGTTAATGGTATAATGTGTCAGAGCTGTTCCACGTGGAGACACATTCTTCATATAATCATGATTCACAGAATGAGTGAGGGTCTGGCGGCTCGTTAATGTTCTGTCAAAATGTTGTGTGACGGAAAATAACAGTGCAGAAGTGTTGGACAGGTTCAGACATGTGCTGCTGTGACTGAGCATCTAGATGAAAAGTGCTCTGTCAATGATATACAATCATGTGAATAAAACATGGGGTCACGCTGTACATTATCGAGCTTTACAGCACGCGTAATTCCTCCGCTCTTCAAGTCCTGTGGATTTCACTAAGGCGGGGATTGCTGCATACATGTATGTACACACACACATACACACACTCCTGCGGTGTGTTGTTGGTAACCCCTGGAGGGCTGGGTGGTTATGTGTTATGTAAGGAGCTCAGGAGGAAAGAGGTGGGGGTTTCTCACCCACCGTTCACGCTCAGGCTTATCGCCCCAGGGCTCTGCAATGAGCTTGGTGTGACTGATAAGAAGTAAGTGTGTGTGTGTGTGTGTGTGTGTGTGTGTGAGAGAGAGAGAGAAAGAGACAGAAATGGCGAGAAAAAATGAGAGCGAGAAGCAAGAAGGAGCAGAATATATTTTTAAGAATTCAAACATTCACTGGTATTTGCATGTGTGGAAAGTTTAGTATCTGTGAGTGTCTGCCAGCATGAGATATTTGGATATCTGTGTTTGTGTGTGTTCGTATGGCTTCCTGTCAAACTGAGTCTGAACCAGTTTTGATCTTTAAAGCACATGACACTATTTTTAGCGTAAACGTGAGCGTGGCATATTTTTCTTTTTTTCCAGAAGCTTCAACAGAATAGTTTCTCTTTTGGGAAATTAATACATTGATATTAAAACAAATTAAATTCTTGCTGTTTTAAGATGGGAAAACAATTTCAAAGTGATCTTTTGTCCAATATAAGTACATTCAAAAACAGCTTTGGTAAAATTACCAGTCATTTTAAAATATTTATTTTTTAGAGAAGCGAATGCTAAAATAATAAGATATTTTATATAACAGCGTTGACATGTTATATCAGTTTCCATATGTGTACAACAAAAATAGTAAAAAAACATACTGCTTTCCCGCAGTCTGCCGTTTCACAGCCCTCTCTACACTGTCACACAGAAACATGATTGGGAAGCATATTGCCTGTGTGTCTGTGCAGGCAACTTTGCTATGGTTGGGATTTGAGGGGGTTGTTCTATAAATACACTCTGTGCTAGAGGAGAATCTAGGCTGCACAAACACACTGACATGCCAACATACAGTCCTGCAACAACGCACAGTGCAAACCAGGGAGAAGATTCACAACCATGACAGCTGATAGACCACACAGTTTGAATTAAACTGCGCTGTACAATAATATAGGGAGGCATCATTATACTGCTCATTGAGAAGCAAAATTCAAATTGAAACATAATGCTTCTTGATGCCTGACAGGAAGCTCTCCAGCTGAAGCGGGATATTGTCATGCTTTCAACAGAAAAGCACTGCAGGTAAAACGCTTCCACCTCCTTTCTACTGAATAGATAACATGTTAGGCATTCAGGGAAGAGGCACAATATATGTTCCCTGACAATCAAATGCATCAAACAAGTCAAACACAATCAATTTGCAACAGCCACTCAGATCACTGACAGCAGCGCTGTCGATCCTGTAGGACAGTGTCTGTTGTAATTCGAGTCTCAGGGCCACGACGGAGTGTCAGTCTTACACCAAAGTCACACTGACACATGACTACAGCTCTGTGGCATTAATGGGAACATTAAAGGGAACCAGAGAACATCACAGTGTCATCGTCCATTTTGTTCTTCCTACAGACTGAATGCGTGCCGTCTATAAAATACAACTCTATGCATACCTCAAAGAGAACCTTGTTTGGAGCAAGACAGCCTTCACAGGTATCATCATGTGACTGCAGCTGCTACATTATAGTCCACCAACGGCCAGTATGAGCAAAGTGGCTAAAATAAGATAAAAGTTAAAACCTCCTCCCTTGAAATGCTGGTGTTGAAGCAGGGTCACTATTGCCAAGTAAAAATAGATATCATGTCCCACAGGCAATAAAACTCTTAACTATGAGTATCTTATTGTGTGAGGTAAGAGGCTACCGTGTTAGTCAGATGTTGGTCCTCTTACTGTATCAAGCAGTGATAAGGAACCTTATGTACAAATCTATGTGTAGAAAGAAAGGCAACAGTCTAGTTAAAGCTTCACAGTTGCACTTTGAGCTGTGATCCTAACTAGGTTTAAATTGAATGTTTTTTTTTAACCTATGTTTATACAGTATTACAGTATGGAGGTTTTAAATGTAATAGCGGTGTAATACAGTATGTATCTGACTTTGATTTTTGATTTTTTTTAAAGGATAAGACTAGTAATAATCTCTGCTTTTTCTTCCTATCAACAAATCCCATGAAAAAAGCAAAACCTTTAGCCAAAGCCTTGTAAAGTTTACTTGGTTTCTCTGTACCTCAGAGCTCCACTGTCCAAAAACTATTAAAAACACATTAAAATGAGCTTCCCTGTTGCGCTGGCTGACATGTTCCTTCATTATGATGAACATGGCTGTGTGGTTTATTCTGAGTACATGGATGACTTGGTTAAGAACAGCCAGAGCTGACTCTACCTTCTGAGGTGACTAACGTCATTTCAAGACTCTGAAAGACAATTTATGAGTCTTTGCAGAGCTCTGTGCGCAGTTAAATCTCAGCTTCAGACGGGAAGAGACTGGGCAAAATAATTAGGAAGGCTGGCTCTGCGCTAGTGTGTTTTTTTTTTTTATTTATTATTCCACAGAGGAGGGAGTTAATTATGACCAAAATACTGCCTATCTTCACGGTAGGAGTGGATGATAATGAAATCCTCCATTGTGATATGATTTTATACTATATAATTTGTAATGTATTAGATTTTCTGGAAAATGAAGTGAGGAACTATTGATGGATAGAATAACCACTGTTTTAATTAATCCAGTGAATTAAATATCTGACAAATCGAGGAACTTCATTCCATTCATGCAAAAATCATATAAAAATACAGTTTGTTGATTAGCAGCATTGCCTTTAATGGCCAAAATCAGCCACAGCTGCAGGTGTTACAGCGATAGCTGTAGTAAAAATGACAAACTTAATTTCTCACAATAGACAAATTGCCGTTGTCTGATGGGATTTATTGTCACATTGCCCATCCCTAATCCCAGCAGCTCCTTAGATCCGTTAATCTCCACTGTAATCAGCAAAGGTAATAATGGTGAACATCTGGTATCTTTCACTACTGCACAGCTCATTACCACTGCATCTGCTGCCATGTACAGGGTGCTATAAGAATGCTGCTCTCCACTCTGAGGTCACTTTTTGGTGCCTTTTTCAAACATGTGGACTTCAGGATAAACCAGGCCAAATCCCCCCTAGTGTGTTTGAACAGACAGGCTACAGTAAAAGTAGGTAACACACTCACTGTGGCACAGCACATGAAGACGATGATGAAAGTCCCAATGACGCCTCCAATTCCCACCAACCAGGTCATCCTGAGGAAGAGGATCACTCCGAAGATGTTCTGGATGCACGGCAGATAGACACCCATCAGAGTACCGAGCTGGGGGGCCTGGATGAAGACGAGGAGAGAGGTTATTGTCATAAAAATTTTGACTTGTGGAGAATTCATGGACCAATAAGGTTAATTAATAAACTTTATTTGCAGTCATCATGATTTGTTCTGCACTGTGAGTTGGCCTGCACTGTTGAGTGATGAGTTTAAGTTTTAATATAATTCTGAATCTCAGACAGCAATCAGACTACAGACAGTAAAACGCTAATAAAGCTTAGCGTCATTTGTCTGTTGCTGTAACACCAACACACCAGATGTGAAGCATCGACTGAATGACTCCGTTTGACTGACTACATTTGAGTGTCTGTGTGAATCAGTGAAAGTCAACACAGCAGCCGTGCATGCTGGGAAAGCACAGTGTGCAGATTTGTTATAGTTTGTGAAGAAAACAGAACAATTCAAGGAAAACACACTGCAGATGGTCACACTGCCATCGAGGCAAAACAGACATTTACTAGTAGGACTTCACAGATTAGTTTGGTATTTTAATACTGTGCTTTGGGTTGAAATAGCTGCTGTTGCTTTATTACTAGCTTTGTTTATTTTCATTTGTTTTTTCTTTCTCTCTCTCTCAGCTTAATATTCATTTTAGACGGTAATGTTTGCAAATCATTCGAGCATAGCTGTAAAAAGACGCTGTATTTTGCAATTCAACATTTTGATAAAAAGGATCACGTTTCTTCCATCTACATCATGCGCCCAACTATACTTTTTAATAGCCTCTTTTTTTTTTCTTTTTAATTTAAGGGTTTCCCACATTGCTTTCTGCAAATCCTCTGTTGATTTCCACAACAATAATTACTCAGAGTCCAGTCCAGAAACAAAGAAAACTTTGAGATCAGGAGGTAGCCAGGGGACCAGTCTGTTCAATGGATGGATGGATTATTATTTTATTTCTTCATAGGCTGGGTTTTTTTTTTTTTGTGGTGGATTTGTTCTAGTTGGTTTTGCTGCAGTGCCGTCCCTGCTGTGGATCAGTGGACAAAGAGAGAGCTGCACTCTACGTCCTCACACAGTATGAAAATCAGTTTCAAGGCTGTTCCACTGAAGGCAATTACTGCCTGAAGATGTATAGGAAGTTTCTTTTCCTTAAGAGTTTTGGGATGTTCTTGATGTGTGTGTGTGTGTGTGTGTGTGTGTGTGTGTGTGTGTTTGTAAGCGTCTATTTGTTTGTGTACAGTACATGTCCTCTATGTGTGTGTCTGTGTGTGTCTGCACCATCATGATAGCATGTATTAAATCTGAAGGACACATCAGCTGACCCTGTACATAATAGAGAAATATTCATTTCCCGCTCAAGGACAGCTTGGCCAATGAAGGGTAATTATGCCGATATCCAGCCATGACCCACTTTACCAAGTGAGAGCGCAGACCTTAACTGTCACATCATGACATCACCGATAACATGGGAACAAACCTTCGCTGCTGCATCTCTGCTTTAACAAACAGCATGAATAGAGGGCTGATTAGCTGCGCTTTATGTCAGTGAAGACGGTATTACACACGAGGATTTGTCCTAAAAAGGTTTATAGTTCACTAATCAAAAACTAAATGTAGCTGTGTGATAAGAATTCATCTCAAATGAGCAATTTCAGCAAAATGGGGATTACAAGCTCCACCAGGCTCCACACACTTGAGAGCTTACTGAATCAATGTTATTTATTGGAGCTGCTTGTTAGATTACTTTAGTTCTGTCAACCAAATACTAATCTTTTTATGGATGGGATCATATATATACTGTTAAACCACTGAAGCAACAAGCGAAACACACAAACATCAGCCCAGCTGATGCCATCCTAATGCAGAACTGCAGTACCAGCAGGTTAAAGGAATAGTTTGATATTTTTGGAAATTCTTTCTGGCTGAGAGTTAGATGAGGAGATTGATACAACTTTCATGTCTGGCTGGTAAATATAAGGCTACACCCAGCTGTAGCCGTTTAGCTTAGCTTAGAATAGCATGGAGACTGGAAACAGCTACAAACAGCTGTTTTTAGATTTGGTTTTTGTTCAGATCAAACAAACAAGATATAAAATGTTAATTCGTGAGCTTTAGAGGTGCTGGTACAGGCAGGTTTAGTTACGTTCGCACACTCAGGCTAGCTGTTTCTGTCTTTTTTCAGTCTTACCATACACACATGAGAGTGGTATTGACTTTCTCATCTAACTCTTGGCAAGACAGCAAATTAACATGCTTTCCAAAATGTTCCCAAAACTATTCCATTAGAGCATTAACAGCAGCAGCAGTTTACCTGCTGAATGTGTCATCTTCAAGTAAATGAAGTAATAGCTTCGACAATTTTGACAGTCGTGTCACCTGCTGGCGTTGACTGTTACAAGCTCTTCTTTTTCCATTTCTTTTTTAATTGCTCTGTGTCTGCCTGTTTTCAACATGCACAATGTACGGGTTTTGCAAATTGAAGCAATTAAGTCAGGATAACAATAGCTGCTATGATAAGAAATTTCAACTAATTTCAAAGGATGTTTTTCAACTGTAAAACATCCTGCTCGTTTCTTGAATAAACAAATTGGCAAATACATCAATATCGGTATCAGTCAAGCTGATTTATATCTACCTTTTTATCTTCTGCCTTCAAAATGCATTGTGAAACAATGATGTTGTTTGGAGGGAATCTTGAACACTTCATGGTTATCGTTGCTGCTCACCAATATATTTCTCCAACAGTAGTTGGTTATTAAATTTGCTGTAACAGGATGGACACTACACAAGATAGAGGATTTAAAAAAGAAGCTCTGCACCGGGACGTGACAGCAGATGCTGAATTCATAAACCAGACTTATAATCACATCATCCTGACAAGTGGCTGACATCAAATGAATAATATTGTGTCTGATGCTACAGTATGTGATTTGTTTGGAGAGGCTCGCTTTCCAGCATTAATAATGTACGGTTTGCAGAGAGGAGAGAGAGCGAGCAAGAGCAGGAGAGAGAAACGGAGCGAAAGCAAGTCCAAACAGGTCTCACAAATATAATTATCTTCTAATTTTCTTTGGATAAACAACAGCGCAAGAGCTCACACTCGGAACTGTAATTAGTGAGCGTATCACTTTGAAAACCCCTGATCCAGCTGAGAACAGCAGCAAATGGCTGATAAACATTTCGAATCATATCGTATCATATATTGCATCACGTGTTTCTCATCTTTATGTGACATTACATTAACGCAGCTTGATATACAGTAGCATGACTAGTCGTAGTCTGCAGCATTTGTAAGAAACACTGTGATAAAACAGAAGGGATCAGGCACCACTTTTAAAATTTTAAATAAAATATAGTGTGTTTGCTCTCATGTGTTCTCTTGATCCTACGCAAACTGCACTTTTTATAATCGACTTAACAAGATCATAAACATAAGAAATTACTATGATTATTATACGGTCCAGAAATGTAAATCATTGAAGCTGTAAGTACTGTTCCTTTGTATTTAAAGGTGCCTTGTTGAGTTATCATGTAAACAAACAAGGTTTCTGTTTGAAATCTGCGTTCTTCTTCACTGCCTTTGTTGGCACATCCCTGCATTTCTGTCTGTAAATCATTGCTCCATAGTGCTACTAGTGTAGTGGTACAAAAACACCGCAGGAAACCTTTAAAATGACAAGAAATTGAGTTTGATGTGAAAACTGAGGCAATATGCAGAGATGTGAGGTGTGAGGTTTATGTTTTTGATGCCGTCATTAGTTTACAGATCCATCGCAGAATAAATCCTGACCTTCTCAGTAATAAGTTGCGAATTTGAATGTTCAAAATTGACGGGGCAACTTTGTCACGGTGGAGAGTGAACTCATTGGTGAGCTGCAGCTTGTCTGTCAGACATTTGTGGTAAACAAATCACACAGAAAGTTAAATCCATCACGGCAAGACAAGACCATCCTCTTTTTATGGAATTTGCCATCGTCTGGTCAGATACAGTTTTCTGAAAATTAAACACAACAGGTTCAAATTTAAAAATGCTCATGCCTTTTGGTTTCTATGCACAGCGTAGCATTTTATGCCTATTCTTATTGCTGCAGTGCTGCTTTGCTTATCACATAAACCTTGTATTGTATTCTGTATTATGTGTTTGGAGTCTGCAGTCTTAATATCCTCAATTGTCTTACTTTGCTTTTCTTTATGTTTGCTTTGTTGCGAAAATAATTTCCTCTTGTGGAACAATAAAGAACTGAAATTGAATCTAATATTCTGTATGCTGTTTAATTTTCTATTGATTGATACCTATAAACATCCTTTTCTCCTTTTGTCACATCACATTTGTCACCATTTTCGTGTGTGTGTGTGCGTGTGTGTGCGCATGCAGTTATCTTCCACAGAGCTGAAATGTAACCTACAATCTCGCCTCCTTTACAAGTTAATCTTCACAGGAGGGGATCTCTCAACCTTCAGCCTCACTGAGCTTTAATCAAAGATCCACATCGTGGCCTCCGCAGGTCGCTGGATGGAGCAGCGGAGAACAAATCTCGTCCATCTCCGTCACCTCCCCCATTATATGACACTGATTTGCACAGTTTGTCTGTTGTCTAAGCTATGCAAATCAGATTGTGACTCAGTGTGACTGTGCCCTTCAGTGTGTGGCAGAGAGGATTTTTCATCATCTGCTTGTCAAGGTCTTAATAAAGTTTTTTTTTTTATGAATACTGAAACCTTGAATGGGCTCTCACCTATTCGTATTATCTAAGAGATGTTTACATACAATATATTTACAGAATATTTATTATCTCTGTGCAGTTTTCTAAATGTTGGTGGCCCAGTATCCAGTACCAGTTATTCTAAGGTCAGTCTAAGTTACATTTACTAAAAAACCAGTCAGTCTACCTTTTTAAACTGAATTTTGTTCTGAAAGGGAAGGAGACAGATTTTAACCCACATTTACAGTAAATAATTACAAGAATAATAGTTTACGTAAAAATAAAAAAGAGAAATTGATCTGTTAAAATTAAAAAAAGACCACATGAGTCGTTTCATTTCTGACACTGTCACTT